TAACAATTAATTAATTTATTTATTGTCTAGTATATCAAAACAATTAAACACTTATTTTTGCTAATACTTTTATTTATTCAAAATTAAATTGTTTTATTTAAAAAAGGAATTATTTTATTCATTTATTTAAAACAAATTAACTGATAAATTAATTGATAATTATTATTTATTTTATCTTTTTATCAAAAAATGTCTTAAACCTCAAAATTTCCTTTTCAATTAAAATTCCAATAAAATTCTTGATTTAATCTTTTTTTTTAGAAATTTACTCATAAATTCTCTTTTTCTCTAAATTTACTCCTAAAAATTAAAAAATACTACAAAAATTTATGTAGCCGAACACAAACCAGTCTTATGTAATTTAATATATAAATTTATCTAAAAATCTCACAATTTAAAAATAATATAAATAAAAGACTTGCACAATGGACACGGAGTTTGGTATCCGTATCCAGATATTTACGGTAGATAGAAGCATGCATCTTGATATTATATATCTGTATCAATATCCGCAAGTCTGTAAATAAATATATTTTTATTTAAATTAATGATATCATTTTATTTATATACTATTAATAGAACTACAACAAGCATTCCTTCTTTTAAAACATAAATAGTATTATGTTTTTTTTGTATATTATCCCCCACAAAACTATTAATATAATACACCTGCTTCTCAAATATTATTTAAAAAAAGAAACAAATAAATATATACAAATCTTTATTTACTTTTAAATGTTTATTTTTTACTCTTAAAATATAAATAACTCAAAATAACTTTTTTTTAATTTTCTAATATTTATTTTTAAATTTAAATGTACTCAACAATTTAAGAATAAAATTATTTAAAGGGATAATCAAAGTACTTCAAATAAATTTAGATATTATTAATAAAATAACGGGAATTTGTATCCTTTTCCAAAAAAATTTTTTAGTTTCTTAATTTTTCTTTTTTTAAAATTTTATTTACGTAATTTTTTAGTATTCGGATAAAAAGAATTTTCTTACAGAAATTTTAACATTAAAAATATAAATTAACCACTAATTTCTATTTATCTACTACATAATTCTTTATTAAGCTAAATTTGATGTAATTAAATGTCTGGACTTTTACAAACCGGCTCAACATTGTGCAGTTCTCAACGATCAACAAACTCTGCACACACACAATTAAAACCTATTTTAATGGCTAGAAATTCTTCTCTTGGAGAAAATGTACCTCCTTCTAATGGCTCTTCTGAGGTTTTTAAATAAAAATATTTTTAAGAATATTTTGATAAAATTTATTTAATTATGAAGATTTAATATTTTAAATATTCTTGAATTTATTTAAAATGATTTTTTAATTTTAAGAATCGACCACAGCAACAACAACAAAACCACCTTGCCCCTCCACCAGTTGCTCCAGACAGTCCTCGACCACAAAAAAGTGATCGTAAGTCTCTTAAAATTTTTTATTTAAATACATATTTTAATTTTAAAAAGAATCTCCATTGGCCTCTGTTGGTTTAACTGTCCCTCTGCCAAGTACTGGTGGCAATACAACCAAAAAATGATTTTGAAAATAAATTTGGATATTTAAAAATTTTTATTAATTATAAATATATATGTATTCATTTAGTTATTTTAAATAAAACAATTTATCACATATTTTTTATTGTTAAATAAAATGTATTTTTATATCAAAATTATTTAAATATGTATATACAATCAAAAATTAGAAAAAAATAATAGTAATTTTTTCCCAATGATCAAATAAATCTCTTCCATATAAATTTAAAATTCGCAATTAAAACTAATGAAAATCTATTTATTCAGTTAATCTTAAAAAATAAATTTAATCTTCAAAATAAATAAATATTTTTTAAAATTAGATTAGCGATTATGGTTACTTTTTGTGTCCCTTATAAGTTCTGATTTTTATAAGTTCTGATTTTTTTTTAAAAAGCCAAACAGCTTTTTCCGAGTTGAGTATACTTTAATGTTTAATTTAAATAAAATATTTTGTAAATTCCAAATAAATTAAAATTTGTGAATAAATTTTTTAAAATTAATTTTAACAATCAAAAAAACTTTCTGTACATCAAACTACTTCAATTAAACTCTTTATTTTTTTCTTTCAAAAAACGCTTTTCAAAAACTAATTGACCTTTTGATTGAATTATTTGAATAATTCTTTGAATATTTTTAGAGAGATCTTTTTTTTGTTATTTGGCGCCCAATTGTTGAATTTTCTTTAAAAGGAGAGGAAAATACTAAATATTTTGTACAAAAATATATTTATTTATTCCAATTTACTAAATAATTAAAGAAAAATAAATTCGTTTTTCTACAAAAATTAATTAGAAAATTTTAAATATCTGTTTAGGTTGACAGAAAACTTATTTTATTGAATTGACCCAAATTTTAAATTTTTAAATAAATTAGAAACTATTTATGTAAATTAAAATAAAAAATACTTGTTAAAATTTTAGATTTTATGTTATTATTTAAATGAAAAAAAAACATTTTTTATCCACAGGTGTTTTTTAAAATTAATTTATTTATTTGAGGACACAATTTAATTATAAAATGATTAAAAAATAAAAAAATAAATTCCTTAAAGATGTTTTTTAGTAATAAAATAAATAAAAGTTATTTACTGAAATAAAAAAGAGCTTTTACTTTTTTAGATAAAAACAGGTGGCTGCAATCTGAAACATATTCTTACTTAAATAAATAAATATATATTTATTTTTTTTAGTTTATGTCTGGGCAAATATTACTAAACTATATATTTATTTAAATATTTATTCTTTAAATAATTTTTTATATTTTTAATTTATTTTTAATTTATTCTTAAAAGGATTATTTTGTCACAAAATCTTTATTTTTTCCAATCTTCTGTTTTTGACATTTTTTAGCAAAAAAAGAATTAGTAGCTAATATATATTTTTTTGACAATAGCAGCCAATTTTTAAGAAAAAAAATTTCAAAAAATATTTGTGTAGTTGATTCTCTTAATTCTTTAAATTTTTGTTTTATTCATAAAATTCCTTTTAAATTTTTTTATTTTCCTTATTTTCTTTTTGACAAAAAAAAATAAAAAGGATTTTCTTGGTTACGATTGAATACTTTAATTTTTTCAGTTATTTTTTGATTTTAAAATTGTTTATTAAATTGTTGAAAATTTTGTCGTCTTTTTCTTTAGAAATCCTAAATTTAATATATTTATTAATTATAAATAAAAATTAAAATATTTAAAAATAAATTATAATACATATTTTTAATTAAATTTATTTATTTATCTTATTCCCAAACTGATAAGATTTTAAATAAATTAATTGTACAAAATAATGCTAACTATTTTTTATTTTAAGTAATATGTATTTAAATTTATTAAAATATATTCTATAATTTACATTTTTTAATATTTTAAAAACCAAAAAAATCTACAAATTAAATTAAGATTTTTTCTCCAAATTTAGACTAAAAATAAATTAAATAAAGCAGATCAATAAAAAAATTCGAGAAAAAGGAACACAAAAATAATTTAATTCTTTAAATATTTATTTAAAATTCAAAATTCCTTCCTACCAAAAACCTAAAAAGCATTAAAAAGGCAGCAATTTTGGGTTAAAATAAAATAAAATAAATTAACAGTAAAAATAAATGTGGGAAAAGCGACAGGAAAAAGGAAAAGAAAAAATTTTTGTTGGTTAGTTAGTTAGTGGTTGCGAGAATTTTTAAATAAAAATTTTTGTGTCAATTAAAGAAAAATAAAAAAAGATTTTATCGCCAAAATTATATTTAAATTTATTTAAAGTTAATTATGTATATTTTTTAAAATTAAATTTTTTAATCTATTTTCCTCTAAATATTTTTATTTATTTCAATCACTCCTTCCCCCTCAACCACCAAATAACTTTCAAGGTTGAGAATTAAAAACAAATAAATTTATTTGCGGGAAAGAAGCTTTTATTTTAATAAAATAAAAATAACTAATTAATTTTTTATTCTTTCCCCCCTTTTTAAAAAAAACGAACACGAAGAAACAAATATTTTCAACATTAAAATATTTTCTTTTTGTTCATTCCATTTTTTATTCATTTAATATTTTTGTGCCACTTCACACTTCCATTTAAAAAAATTTTAAACAAATTTCTCTTTTTTATTTAGAAAGCTTAAAAAATTTTTTTATTTAATTTTTCTTTTTTTAATGATTTTTTGGCCAAAAATATAAAGAACTTAAAAACGGCAAACAATTTGTTTCTTTTTTTATTTGATAAAAAGCACATTAACTTATTTGTTGTCATTTTAACTTTTCCTTTTTATCAAATAACAAACAAAATTATTTATCTATTTATCTATTTTATCAAAAATTATTACCAAATAACCAATAACAACAATTCTTTTATTCCCCCTTATTCAATACCAATTTTAACCTTTATTTTCTCAATTTGGAGACATCCAATTTTGTTTTCCTCCCACTCATCCAAACAAGAAAATCTAATTTTATTTATTTATTTCTGGCAAATTCAATTTATTTAATTAATTTTGGGGTTTACAAACAAACAAAAAATAAAATTAGAAAATTTAATTTAAAAATATTTTGGACTAAAGAATTTTTATATTTTTCTAAAATTATTTTTTAATTGAGAATTTTTCACTATCTTTTTGTCAAATAAATAAAAGTATTTAATTATTACGGGAAATTTAAAAAAATAAATTTTTTTTAAATATTTTTTACATCTAAACTTCTTGTTTAACAAATAAGTGTTGTTGTCTTAAACTTATTAATTATTTTAAAAAACTGGAAAAAAAATTTTTTGAATAATTATTTTATTTAATAAACCCTTTATTTTCTTTTAAATAAAAATTCTTTTTTTCCTTCTAATAATTTTATTTAAATAAATTTCTTCTTCAAAAAAATTCTTCTTCTTATTTTTTTGCAATAAATAATCTTCGTTTTTATAAAAATAAATTTTTCTTTTTTGATCGTAAAGTCCAAATGAAGAATTGCCTTAGCAATGAATTTCTTTGTTTGTTTTTGTGCGTGCCTTTATATTTTTTTATTTATTTTAATGTTGAGTCAGCCGGTGGTTGGTAGATTTGCTTTTTCTTTTATTTTTTTTCAATTCCTTTTCTTTCCCTTTTTTCCATTTTCATTGCCTTGCTTTTCGTCTGCTCGATCCCCAAAGGATGTTTTTGCTCTAGAAGGTTTTCACATCTTTTATATGCTTTACTTAAACAAATATATGGAGAAATATATACACCAAGTCAATTCTTATATTGACTTGGTTTTTAGCTCATTTATGTAGCTATATTATTATTACAATTTTTTGCAATTCCTTTACATATTTAGAATGTTAGAAGATTTTTTACTTTAATATTTTAAAAATGTTTGAGTAAAAATAATAGGGATATAAAGATGATGGGATGTGAAAAGTTTTAATCACATGATGGGATGTGAAAAAGTTTTAATTTTAAAAAGGGAGAGACCAGGAGGAATATCCTCGATAATCCAAAACTTTTTAAATTTTATTATATTTTCTATCCTTATTTTGATATTTAAATCTCATCTCATTATTATCTTTAATAATTTCTCCTAAAAATATTTTTATTTTTAATTAATCCAAATTAAATATAAAACAAGAATTAATCTAATTTTTAAAAATTAATTTAAACCACAAAAATTCCCGTCACACATCGTTCTACTTTGTTGTTCTTATTTTTATTTATTAATTTTATTAAAAATATAACCTGTTTATTAAAAGAAAAATACTTTTAAATTCATTAAATTAAACTTGTTTTATTCTTAAAATTTATTAAAAAATTCTTTAATTAAAATAAATAAATATTTTATTTAAAATTATTAATTAATTAATTATTTTAAATTTTAACACAAATTCTCTCTCCTTTCTTTGTAAATCCCTTAAACAAAATATTTTTCATCTTCTCTCTTTACATTTATTTTCCACTATTTGCATCCCCAATTGGTCCTTTTTCGCATGATCGCGCTTATTTAGTTAGTCGTAAATTAATTTTGTAAAATTAAATTGTTAAGAAATATATGTGTGTTAAATTATTGCCTAATTCTTTCCAGTTGGTGATTCTCGTAAATTTATTTTTGTTTTTTTGTCTTAAAATTGTCTAAAGAAAAAAAAAGAATATTTATTTATTTAATCAGCCAGTTTTACATATTTATTTATTATTATTTGCTTGTACATACAATTATTGCACTTTTCGCTTGGCTGAGATTGTTTTAGACAGCTTCTGTTTTGTTATACTTACTAATAATATTTTAGTAAAAAGAATTATTAAATAAATAATTAAATAAATTAATTGTTGGGGGGGGGGGGGGATTGAATAAGAAAAAGAATTACATCTTCTACCTATTCCAAATTTCTATGTCAAAATTCTGATCGAGATTTTCTTCAGAAAGTATTTTCATTTATTATTCTTTTAATTTAAATAATTAATTAAATTTTTTAATTAATTTTAACATTTTCCCCAAAATTATTTTTTATAATTAATTTTTAATTAAATATTTATTTATTGTCTAAAACAAAAAAATTATTAAAATTTAATATTTTTATTTATAAATATTTTTTCAATTTCCATTTATTAACTTTTAACACCTTAACTTGACATCATTAATTTGTCAGTTTTATTAATCCTTTAATCCTCTATTTACGTTTTTATTTTCAAAAATTAATTTACTTTTTTTATTATTTTTAAATATCATTTAATGTGTAGTTTAAAAAAAATTTTTAAATTTCTAAATAAATTTTATCAAAAAAAATTATTAAAACTATATAAAATTATAGAAAATACATATCTACAAATTATTTTATTTAAAAATATTTACTTCCTATAAATCTTTAAATTTAAAAAAACTTTTTTAATGCCTCATTAAATAATTCTTTTTTTATTATTTTCCACGTCCATAACTAATTTTTACCTCATTATTATTAACATCAAAGAGCATTCTTTAATACCTACAAATTTTCTAAGCCCTCAATTAGGCTAATTATTTAAAAGAAAATTGTGTAAATACAAATTAACACAAATATGTATTATTTATTTTATTCAAATAAAAAATTATTTTAGAATTAATTTTTGCTTAAGAATATATTTAAATGATTTTTAACGAAAAATATTTTTTATTATTTTTTGGTATTTAATTTAAAATAACGGATTTTTAATTAATATTTTATTTAAGTCTGAAAATCCAAAAATCTTCTCTATCATCATCTAAATTCTTTTTTTCATAAGCTTAACTCGAATTTTAATTAAAATAATTCTTTCAATCCTTTACTCAGAAACGAAGACTGTGAACCAAAAATAGGCTGAATCCTTGCTTTTTAGTTAAGTTTTTTAGTTAAACAAATAATTCACAAGGAATTTTTAATAAGGAAGGATAAATGTAAAGAGGGTAAATCAACTACTTCGTCAAATTCGAATAAAGAATCGAAAGACTTTGAATTTCCTTCAATCCATTAAGTACTTTATTTTGATATTTATTTTTAAAATGTTTCTTTTTTTCATTTTTATTTTTACTTTTCTCCAATATATTTATTTTTATATATTTAATTTCACAATTTCATGTTTAAATTTCTTTAAATGACCAAAGCTCATTATTTCCATTTTATACTAAATTAGCTTTTTCCTAGTCAGAAACACACATTTTAGATAAAAAAAAGGTTGGGGGAAAGGATATTTTATATTTATTTAATTTCAGGAAGGAATAGTAGAGGAAATACCTCCTCCCTTCCTCTCTCCCTCCCTCCCTCCTTTCATTAAATAGTTTTAGACCAAACTAAACTTAATCTTCCTTTTTAAAAAATTAATTTTTATTTAATTTATAATTACCAATTTTATATATTTTTTGTATATCTACAGATATGTAATTGTATATTTTTTTGCAAAAAATAATTTATTACTATTTATAAATTATTTTCTCCAAAAAATTACCTATTTCTAAATAATAATTTACCTAAATTATTTTTAAATTCCATTTATTTTTTTATTGTCAAGACTTTTTGCCCGCTTTCCATATTAAATTAATTTTCTGACATTTTTTCAGAAATAATATAGTAGTATATAGAAGTACTTTTATTATGTTAAAAACTCCCCTCCCCCCCCTCCCTTCTCATTTCCTCCTTTCCTCACTCTTTGTATAATTAATTTTCTTTTTTTTTATTTTTTACTATTTTTAACCCAAAAAAGTCGCGCCAAAGTTTTTTTTTACTTTTTATATACCCAAAGGGATCGTTTTGTCAAACCTTTTAGTGTTGAGTGAAATTTTGCCTAATTATTTTTCTGGCCGTTTTTTTACTATTTTATTTTCTACAAGTTGGCTATATAATGACTGGCTATATATTTTTGTTTTTCTCAAAAATATATGGAATTTTTTGGTTGGCATTTAAAAAGTAGAAAAGAATTGGTAAAAAATAATTTAGTAGGAAAATATATAAACTTACCTACTTGCTTCTTTAAGTTTTAAAATTATGTTTATATTTTTAATTTTAATTTAGTAAATAATCCATTTAATAATCTAAATAGAAAATATTTTTTAATTAAATTAAATATTTAAGCATCTAACCTTTTTCAAAAATTAAATTTCTAAAAATTATTTTCTAAAATCCTCCCTCTTCCCCTTCCCTTTTTCCTTCCCTCCCCAAATCCCGTCCATTTCCAATTTCCCCCCACTCATTTTTAGCTAAAACCACTTCAATCCACTTTGATTACTTTTAATACTTGTTGACATTTTGCTTTAAACACAAAACAATTCACGCGGTAAAGGCAATCCAAACAAACAAGCAAGTAACGTTTTTACTTAAGCTATTAAAGTACTTTTAAGTTTTATGTAGAAGGATTTTATTTTTTAAATTTGATTTTAATATTTATTTTTATCTAAATTTATTTATTATCTTTAATTTCTAATCTATTAAATTGTTTAATTATATTTAAAGTATAATTATACTTTGTACACTTTTTTGCCTTTTCTAAAATAAAAATAAACCTTTTTATATTTAAATTAACTAAATATCCTTTACTTTTTTTGAAAAAAAAATTTATTTAAAGAAATATTTCTAAGAATACAATTAAATATTTCAAAGAACACATAAGAATATATAAGTAGGCCAAAGATTTTCTTTAAATTTCTTTTTCCTTTTTTAAGAAAAAAATCCAACAATTTGCAGCAATCTTCTCCCAGGATGAATTTAATTAAATAGATAAAAGACTAAAATAAAATATTCGAAATTTTTTTTTAATTTTGTAAAGAAAATCTTTTTTAAAATTCTTTAGAAAATTTTAACATTTTAATAATTTTTTTATAAATGCGAAGCTAATAATTCTAAGAATTTTTTGAAAATCTTTAGCAATTTTTGCTAGTAATATTTTTTTTAGCACGCAAATTATTTATCTATGTACATATCAGTTATCTTTTTTTTATTGTAGATTTAATTTTCAACAAAAGTTTGTGCAAAAAATAATTGTGCGTCACACTTTAAGCCATAAATTCTTTAAATTTGTAATTCTTAAATTTGTAGGACTTGTGCTGAACAATTATATTTTAGGGAGTACCTAGGGTCGTCGATTAGGCATATTTAAATAGCCCCGCCCTCATTAATTATCTTAAAAAATACCTTAAATTGAGAATGTAACTAAAATGAAGTGTAGCTTCATCTGTACCTACAGAAGGATTGACTGTATGAAAATACTCCTTTCAATCAGTTCTTAAATTCATTGAAAAATTCTTTCCCTTGCTCTACATTTTTAAAAAATTCGTTTATTGCCAATCCGACAAGGACCGATTTCAATTTTTGTCCTCTTTTTGGCTTCTTTCCCCACTTTTTTTCAATATTTTTTCATTCCACACGGGTTGCCGTTGGCAACGACCACTAGCGCGATTTCATTCTTTTTGGCTGTCCAAAGCTTTTTGGCTTTTTCTCTGTTTGCCAAATACAAATAAGAGGCACATTTGTATATATTTTAGCTGTCAATAATAAAGCTGCGCCTTTTCCCTCTCTTTACCCCCTTCATTTTTTCAATATTTAAATATTTTTTAGGATTGAAAAAATTAAGAGAGAAAAGAAAGAATATTTACATTATTTTAACCAAAAACTTTATTTAAATAAAATATTATTTTTTTATTTACTAACTAAAATCCTCAAAATATCATTTTTCTTAAAAGTTTCCCATAAAAAGTATTGGCAAAAATAAAACTAAAAAATAATGGGTTAACATAAAATTGGCCTAAAGCTTTTTTTTGTTTGTGTGCCCCAGCTGTGTTTCTCTCTATAAATTATATTTTAATCTCCCTTAAAAATATGGCCAAAGGGGGCTTCTAATCTGGGCAACTATTTAAAATAAAAAAGAAAATATTTATGTATTGAGGGTTTTGTCATTCTCTCCCTCCTTTCCCCCTTCACTGTTGGCAGTCTTCGCAATTTCCTTTCTATTCACCACTTTTTACCTCTTCCTGTTTTAAATTGGCACAACCTGTGCCTAGGCATTTTTATTTTTGTGTCATTAAATATTTTTTAAACGTTTTTATGTTCAATATTTAAATTTAAAATTGCTAAAAAAATAAATGAACACAAAAAAGATTTTCTTTGAATTTTCTATCTTCAATCATTCAATCCTCAATCACAATTTTTCCCCTCAATGTGGTAAAAATAACCATAGATTATTTAAAATTAGACTAATAATACTTCCCCCACACTTTTCTTTTAAATTAAAAAAATAAACACCAACAGGAAATTAATAAAGATAATTGATATATTCTTTAACATCTACATAATCCTTTTATTTAATATATTCTTTATATTTAAAATTAAATATTTAATAATAATATACTTTTTTTTAATTTTCTTTATTTTTTAATTATTTTTTTCTCACATTTTTGTGGCATATTTTAGTTTTATAAGGAATTCATTCTTTTCTTCTTTTTTTTTCTTCCTGTCATTATCATCCTTTACTTTTTTTTCTGTTTGTTCTTGATATCTAATACTAAGAACACATCTATTTATTCATAAATATTCAATCCTCCAAAACTTTCCCATACTTTTTTTTATTTGAAGATGTTTTAATAAAAATATTTTTTTAATAATCTTCTTTAAAAATTTTTATAAATTTTTCTGTTTACCATTAACTTTTAGTTTACTTATTTATTGCTAATTCTGTGCGGTCATTAATCATTTTAAATGAACTTGAGGACTTAACATAAATTATATACTTATTGTTTATATCCCTTTACTATCCCGCTCTAACAACCAATGGTCTTTTAAAGAGAGTATATAACATTCTCATTTATCAGAAGAATGATAGTAAATTTATCCTCTTGGATTTATCCTCGTGCAAATTACTTAGAAAGTTCCTGGCTGACGTTAACAATAGAGTAATATTCAAATGGTAGAATGGGATTCAATTATATCTCTTGCGCAGTAAAAATTTTAGTTTTTTAGCTAAAACAAAAAATTCTTTTTGCGCAAATAAACACAAAATATTTAGAGAAAGAAAGCGAATTTTATCCAAGCAAGGACTACATAAGAGAATTACTTTATAGATTAGAAAACCGCGGAACAGCGCGCAAGCATACATTGGGGGAAGGTAAAGTTTTTAAAGTCGAGAGAGGGAACACATTCTTGTAAAATGAAAAAAAGAGGCCATTTACTTTCCAGGGTTATTTTCTTGGATTGACAAGGCCGTTGAAAAGCTGTCGAACGGCTGGCAGCTTTGTGAAAATATTTATGTAGATATAACTAGCTGCTCTCTTGTATGTGTAGACTTTTCTATATATTATTAGTAGTAGGCAAATTCCATGAATGAACACGTATTTCTATAATGTGAAAAAAATTCTTTGCCTCAGTGCTTAACCAACACTTGTGTGTTTGTTGAGAGACACAAAAATGTGTGTAAAAAATATATTTAAAGTTATGGCTTCAATAATTTTGTTATCTTAAAAGAAACGTCAATTTGGCACATGAACTTTTTTTGTTGGCCATAACTCATGAGCATATGTATGAAGTACAAATTTTTTCATTTAAATGTATTATTTATGATATTTATTTGTAAAATTAAAAGTACTTATGCTTAATAGCTTCATTATATTTTTTATTTTTTTTGTTAGATTATACTTTAATTTTTAAAAGAAATATTAACTACAAACTTTACTTGAAAATTTAATAATTAATTAATTATTTAATTAATTATTAATCAATTCTTTTAATTCTTGTTTTTGCGCAATCTTTAGCTCTTCTACTCCTTTTTTTATTTCGATTAGACAATCACTTCAATTTTTATTTTTTTCTTTATTTCCAATCATTTCATGACTAAACACAATATTAATGCATTAAATGACTCACAAGAATTTTTTTAAAAATATATTTTTAAAGCATTTTCTTTTTAGAATTTTTATTTTATTTGCCATTTTATAAATATTTTCTTATCTAAAAAATTATAGTTTATTTGTTCTTTAAAAATAATTTTATTTTTATTTTTAAATAACACATTATCTACATATTTTTTAAAATTATTTTTTAGTACCCAAAAATTTAATTAGAAATGGGTGGTATTCCTCATTTATTCAATACCTTTATTTTATTTCTCTTAACAATTTCTTCTCTTTGTTTTGGACGACATAAACATTTTCATTCTCGAGTACCAATAATTGACTTAAATGGAGCTGAAGAATTAATTGGAACAATTCGAGAAGATGAACATTTAGTTAATGTTTCCCCTCAATTACGAATATTACATGGAACTGGTGAAACTTTATCGGGAAAACAAAATATTTTTTTTATTTTTTTAAAGGCCCAATATGTCGTTATGAATTAAATTGGGCTGATGATTCTTTAACTGAGCCAATTCCTTTTGAAGTTAAAATACTTGATGCATCAGAAGGTTTAGCACAAATTCGTCGTTTAAATATTCCTTCTTCCTCCTTTACTCCACTTGATTGTGCTCATCGTTCAGATTATTTGTTGAGGCTAGAAGCTGTCAAATGTGGAGATGAACCTCCAGCAAAGAGTGAAATAACTAAATTGAAAATTATTGTACAAGATGTTAATGACCATTCCCCTGAATTTGATGCTCCTTGGTATTCCTTCGATGTAGATGAAGGAAGGGAAGCACCTTTTGAGATTGCTCGATTATTGGCTACTGATTTAGATTGTGGACATCCTTATGGAAAGGTAATCAAAAATAAGAAATTTATCAGAATTATCAGAATTTAATTTAGAAAACAAAAAAAATTTGCAAAATATTTTCTGATTAAACTTTAATATTTTCTCATTCTTCAATATATTTTCTAAAAAATATTTTTCTTTAAAACAGATTTGTCGTTATGAACTAACAAATACACTTTCGGACAATCCATTTCATATAGACGATAGAGGAGTTCTTTCAGCTATTCGTCCATTAAATCGTTCACAAGCACAATCACATATTTTGACTGTTATAGCTGAAGATTGTGGAATGGTAATTATTTTTGTGTTCTTTTAAAAACATTTCTCTCCCAACTTTAAGCGACGTTCTAAATCAGTACTTGTAACAGTCAATATTCGCCCAAAATGTGTTGATTCTATTAATTCTGTAACAGCAAAAATTCCAATTAATTTTATTCAAGGGGATAATCCAAAATATTTACTTCCAGATGCTGAAATAAATATTTGTGATAATTTAAACGAAAAATGTCAGATAGAAACTGAATTAAAGATTTTATCAGAACATCCAAATTCTTTAAATAAAGAATTGTTTAATGAATGTGGAATGGATGAGGGACTAATTGAATTATTGTCTGAAGAGAGTAATTGGCCTGTTTTTAAAAATAAAACAAAAAAAGAGGAATCTTCAGAGGAAGAAGATAATGAGGATGAGGAGGAGGAGGATTTAAATGATATTAATGGAAAAGTAAATGAAGACAAAAATACTCTTTTTGATGGAAAGAGGAGTGTAAGCATTTTTGAAGATTTTAAAATTTTTTAGAAAGTTATTAGTTCACTTTATTTCTTTATGGCATCTACAGTACCGTCCTTTTTAGCGAATTTAGGGTTGTTCAAATAATACTCTCAAAATTTCCTTTTTTTCTTCTATCTTCGAATATAAATATTTTTAAATTAAAGTTCAAATAAAATTTAAAACTTAATTTAATTGTAGATTGATATTGTCGAATCACGATTACCACAAGCAATTCCAGAAAGATTTAGCCTTCTCTTTTCAATGAAAGCCAATCCTGGAACAGAAGAACAACAACGTTTAAAACAAAATATTCTTTGTGAATCTGATGCCAATGGATTAAATAGACACCATTTTTCTGTTTATTTACGTCATTGCAAATTGGAACTTTTACTTCGTAGAGAACCTGAAGATGCTAGTGCAGAATTCCGAGCTGCTGAGTGGCGCTGGAATGATGAACGTATTTGTGACGGGAATTGGCATTCTTATGGACTTTTGTTTAATGATTTGGATAATGTACAATTAGTTATTGATGGAAAAGTTTTTAATTCGACACAAAGAAATCCAGAAATTCTTGATGATTGGCCTTTACATCAAGTTAAAGATAAGGTATGGAAGGGAAAGTTTGGAAATATATTTAATTTTTGATTGCTTCTTAAATGTAGGGGAAACAATTTAAAGATATTCCCCCTCATTTTCTAATATTGAATATTCTAATATTATATTAAAAAATAATATTAGAATTTCTTTAATTAAAAATACCCCCCCTCTTATTTTCTAATAAATAATATTTTTCTAGAAAACTCGTCTCGTTATTGGCGCCTGCTGGCATGGCCGTCAAAAACAAATGGTTCAACACTTTAATGGACATCTTGCCTCTATGCGTATTTGGATTAATCGTGTACAAAGCTTTGAGGCTGTAAATTGTGTACATGGGAAACATGAAGGATTATTAATTAATGGAAAAGTAAAATAATTCGAATTTCAAAATAAATATATTTATTTAGAATAATATCCAGTCTTCTTCCCTTCATTTACAAGCACAATCACCAACGGAAATGGAACATCTTTTACGTTCTGTACAATTTAATATTGACCAATTATTTTCTGGAAATACAAGAATCTCCCCTTCCACAAATCCTGGCAAACGAAAAATTGAAATTTCTGGAACTTTAAAATGTCCAAATGATTTAAATAAACCTCTAATTCCAATATATTCTATTGTGAGTTGGAATTTTGGATCTAATAAATTAAAAATTAAATTTGTTAGATTGATGTTAGTAAAGGACAATTTCATCCACAATTAATTATTACTGGTAAACATATAGTTTTTGCTGACAGGCAAACTTTAAGAAATGGAGCAGCTCTTTTACCTGATGTTAAAATTACTGTTACTGAAGGTAAGGGCTTCTAATAAAAATCGAGTTTAATTAGAGAGAATTTCCAAATTTTCAGGTAATGTAGACAAATCTTCCTTCCATAAATTATCTTGGTGTCGAGTACACATGCGCCCTGCTCGTGATATGGATTTGGAACTATTTTCCTCTCCAACCCTTCTCTTAGAAAAATTAGAATTGCAATTTGTACATGATAAACAAGGATTTGTTTTGAGAGGGGCTGAACACCCTTCTGCCTATGCAGAAGTTTTGGAGCATATTAGATATTTTAATTTACGTCCAGAATCGTTCCCACATCGCTCCTATACTCTTCAGGCAAATTTTTTATTAATTTTAACAAAAAATTCTTTTATTCTTGGGATGAAAGTTTGTTTGGTTTCCCCTTCCTTTTATTTCCTTTTTTCAGAGAATATCCAAGAAAAACAGAATTATTTATTAAAAAAACTAAACAACAAAATTTGATTCCATCTTATTTTTATAAAAAAAATTTCCTTTTCATTATAGTGTTCTCTACTTGACGACAAAATTCTTTCAAATGAGCTCTTTACCACAATGAGCATTGACACCACTCCTGTGTCAGTAAATAATGGCAAAAATAATGATGAACTTGACGAGGCTGTACAAAAATTAGTTCAAATTTCTGACAAATTAGATAAAGATATTTTGCCTAAAGAGAAGGGAGAAAATAATTTAATTGAAGAAGAATCTCCTTCTTCTATTGTTACTCATCATTTGGGAGGAGTTCCTAGTTACGACCAACTTGGAGCTAATCGACTTCAAAATATTCTGGAAATGGATATGCCTAGACCTAAGGCATTGCTTGGACATCATAGTTATGAAGTTGGTCAGGGAGCTGTTGCTGGTTAGTTTTTGAATATCTACTAAATTTTTAAATTAAAATATTTTCCTTAACGGAGTTGAGGAAGTCTAGCAAAATTTCTAATTTTTCTTTTAATAATCTAGGTGGTGCCGTAGCTGTTGTTGTAGTTGTTTGTGTTGCTGTTCTGCTTGTACTTTTAGTAATTGGAGTACTTAGAATGCGAGACCATCCACTTACAGCAAAACGGCGTCGTTCACGTCGTGATTCTATGGTAAAATTTAAAAGAAATTTCATTTAAAGTTTTTAAAAAATAGTTGGAATGGGATGACAGTGGATTAATGAATATTACAGTAAATCCGTTAGAAGAAATTGGAGGGAAACAATTTTCCGCCGATGGACTTGAATATGAGGAGGATGATGAAGAAGACGATGACGAAGATGATGATAGTGGTTCTGAAGATGGAGGGGAAGGGTCAGGAAATTTTTAAATAAAATTATAAAAATTGGTTATTCATTTTTAGTTATAGAGGAGTAGAGCATAGTGATGATGAAGGTGGGGATGAAGAGAAATTAGTTTTGCCTCATGCTGATGAAGGGTCTCGTAAAGGAGGTGCTAACAAAAATTAGATTTTTTGTTTGAAAAAATATTTTTTTAGTTGGTTTGGAATGGGATGACAGTACTTTAGATGGACCTTCTTCTCCCGGACCTTCAACTAGTCACACAAAAAAGGGTGGAGCACATCGAGTTTAAAATAAAAAAATTTTATTGAAAAATATCTATTTTTGATATATAAATATGTGAAGAGTTTTTAAATACACGCAATTGGTTATTAAACGATCTCACATTTAATTATAAATTGAATCCGAACCCATCAAAATACTATTATCAAATTTTAATATATTTTTTATAGTCATTTTATTTAAAAAAAGATTGCTAAATAATTTAAATAATCTAAAAAAATAATCCCCAAATTCCTTCAGCTTTAATTCTCTTTTACCTCAGTCTCGGCACAATTTATTCTTGGCCCCTTATATTATTTTCAGAAATATTTACTGTTTTCTATTTGGCAATCTTTTTGAATATTTAATTTTATTTTCATTTATTTTATATTTAATATACCACAACTTTATTTAAACAGGGCTAGGATTAGAACTTTAATGAAAGTAACGTACTTTAAAATCAGCTCAAACTTTAGAAATTCTACTTTAATTAGTAGTTATACGGAAAATTATTTTTAACTTTAATTTTGCTTTTTGTGTTAATCCGAGCCCTAATTCAAAGCATTTCTCTAATATTTTTAATTATAACCACCACAACATAAAAAACTGCGAAACATTTTTCGAAATTGTAGCCATAACTTTCTTTTTACCAAAAAATGAGCACAGAATTTATTTTCACTAAAATCTGTGAAATTTGGATTAAACTTTATTTGATACAAGTACTGTACTCAAGACACTAATTTCTTTTACTCATTTAACCACATACTTATAAAAATAAAATCCATAAAATATAGTAATTGTATCGAGAATCTTTTAAACATTTTTGTAAAATAAAATACTCTTGATACAAATAATTTTCTTTCAAACTTTTTTTCAACTTTTCTTTTGTAAAAATCTTATTTCGAATAAAAATTATCTATCACAGTTATCTATTGTTAAATGGAAACTAAAAATCTGCAAAATTTCAGTTACACAATTTTTATCTTTACCAGAATATTAAATAATTAAAAAATAACAAACGTTTTTGCACAACAAACAATAAATTTAATTTTTCAAATTATCCACTCAAATTATTTTTGTAAGCAATTGCCAAATCAACTTCAGATCCAGTTGGGCTAGCTGGTGCATTTGAACGTGACTTCTTAATATACTGAATGCATTCAATTTCTTCTAAATCATCGCTCTCATCATCTCCATCATTATTGGTGCTATAATGATTGCTGGTTGTTGGAAAAGTTTGATTAGCTGTAAAAAAAATTTGTAAAATATGAAATTAAATTCAAAAAACAAACATCTTTCGGTTCCAATATAGACGCTCCTTTCACGCGAACGGCTATTCTTAAGAATTGATTTGAGACCGTAAGTTGGCAAATAACCGTAATGTAAACGCGGAGCTTAAAAATTTAAATAAATATTGTGTCGTTACACAAAAGCAAATTACTTGTACAAATTTGTGAAGTACTCGGAAGGTTACTCACAACATTCTCTTCTTGGTGGTTGTAACTCTCATCTTCCTCATTGTTATTTCCTTCATTGCTTTCCTCATTATTTTCAAAATTTTCTTCATTCTCTTCATCGCTTATATATTCCAGCGGAATTGTTTTCATCTCGCGCTCATCATTTTCAAATAATTCTTCCTGATCAGGCTCCAACACTTCAAAGTTACTAAATATAAAAAATAGACATGTTAAAGTTCAACAAATGTAAAATCCCCTACCGTTCTCTCTCCAATTCGATCACTTTTGATAGACTATATCGACCATGAATGACCTGAGGGAGTTCAATTTCAAGTGGAAACAGGTTATATACTATACGTAAAGAATTCATTTTTAAAATAACCACTAAAATCATTTAGAAAAATAAAGAAATGTGAAAAAGTGATAACAAAAGGTGATATATATAAATTACTTTATTAAAATTTGACGCAAGTCTCCAAATGCAATTTAAAAATAAACCCAAGGAACATTGCAACAAAAAGATAAAAATAAATAAAAATTTGTTTAAAAAACATACTATTAACTACAACAATCATGGCACAAAATTTTATTTAAAATATCCATATATGATCAAATAAAACAATATTTTGGGGAGAGATGGAAGGAAAACGGAAATATATGTGTACAATATTATATAACATTTACTGGCAAATAAAAGTTGTATAGGAGAATTTTGAACTTTATGAGCCCTTAATTCCTCAAAAAAATAATTTTGAAAAACAACTCACTTCCACGAAGTTTTTTGTTTTCATAAAAAAGGGGCTCATAAAGTTAAAAATTCAAGTTACAATATACCCATATAGGTAATGTTATTTTTAAAATTTGCCTAAAAATTCATCAATATATTTAGAACTACAACATTTGCTTTGCAACAAGAGGGAGAGAGATTAAATTCAGCAATGAGGATGAAAAAACACTAAATTTTATATAAATATATTTTCCCTTATTTTTTTCTTAAAAATCACCAAAAAAAATTCCCTTATTGGCCATACAAATCACGACTGCGAGAAACCTTCAATTTCTTCTGGACTGGCTCAACTTCCCTTCTTTCCTCATCATCTACCGGTTCCTCTTTCTTTACTTTCTTGAGAAGCAGACCACGCGACAAAAGATACTCATGAATTTGACGCTCCTTTTTTTCAATGAAATCCATGAGTGGCAATGGAAGACCCTTAAAAATAAAATTAATTAGTTATTTTGTTACTAAAGGAGTAAATAACCGCGTGAAGATAAGCCGTTGTCCACTCAAAAAATTCAGCACCATCAATAGGTGAATTGGAAATGCTTTGAAGTCCAACATCCATATAGGCATTTGAAACGTGTCGAAGCGTAAGTTTACGATACATCTAAAATTTGGATAAAGCTGAAAATTCAAACTTCCCAACTGACCGTATGAGTAGTAACTGAGCCAGCCATTGGTACATTAACAGCATATTCATCACTTTCCGTGACCGCAACAATTTGAGCGATCTAAAAATAAATTTACATTTTAAAGATCATAAATTTAAAAAGTTACCCCATATTTAGTTTGGCCAGTACTGTCATGTCCAAGCACCATACGCACAAAACATCCATCAATAATACCCTCGCCCTCAGTACTTTGAACCAACGGGACAAGACGCGAACGGCTCAACACAATTTTTGACAGTTCACTTACGGATTTAACTTCAGAGCGCCTGGAAGCGTCTCGAAGCGCCAAACGAATCTCATCAGAACGCTGCTTAATCCAACGAATTGTGGGCAGAGGTTGCTGAAAAGAAGAATAAAAATTTTGCCTCAATGTGAGAAATACAAACAGTTTTGAGTTTAGCATTTTTGTACCAAACATCAAATTCCTCTTGAGTGATTGGATCCACGGCGGTACTTTCAAGAATTCGTTCAGCCTGATTATCAACACGAATACGCTTCGCATACTTTGACTTGCCAATAGGAACCTCAAAAATAAAAAAATGCGAGTTTTTCGATTCAAGTACCTGAGTATCAATAACCCCAATAATACGATAGATAGCGTGGAATGTCACTTTGTCCGTCTTTGTCAACATTCGAACATAGCAGTTTTTGACAAGTTCGTCAAAATTTTCTGCCTTCTCCGCCAGTCGAATGAGATTTGCACGAGAGAGAACAACCGGATCAAGTTCGTGAATAAGACGAACCTGAAATTTGAAAGAATTGAGGAAGAAATTTAATCTAATTTTACCTCCTCAAATTGGTCGACGCCGCGGTTGCGATCAAAAGCCATCATATATTAAGAAAAGATATAGAATAATAACCTCTAAGAGATAAAAGTTTAAAAAAACTTTGAAACAAACAGAACACAAGAAGCAAAAAAGCTAAAAGATTTTCTTTTTATACTTTCAAAAATTTATAGACATAATGCCAAACTCAACGCCATAAACGCTAGATTTCAAATGACTAATTCGAAACTATTCGAACTTGTTAAATTGACCGGTATAATTTCGAATTATATCAAATTGGCAGGCATTTATTAAAAATTCGAAAGTTACGGTGCAGTTCAATGCGTAATTATTTCTCACCAGATTGATCCTGCTATTTTTAACTAAATCTATCAAATAATTTGTTCCAATTAAAATTTGGTTTCAATTAGATCCTCCTTAATAATCCTAAAAATAATGCGGGTACACGAACGGCCAGGTACACAAACGACGGTACACAATGGTCCTGTTCCCTTCCTACTTGATAGTCACATCTCGCCTAAAGAGCGAAGTTTGCCACTCGGAAAATGAAAAAGGAATTTTCAAAGTGTCCTCTTTTTTCAAAAACATTTATTTTCGAAAACCATTAACAATACAAAAAATCATTTACATGGAACAATATATAAATTATTTAGTTATTAGAAATAAGAATTCATATAGACAAAAGATGATGATGACAGAAAATTATAAAATGGGAAATGATATGTAAAGTTATTTACTGAAATATTCGGTTAAAAATCTCTAGTGTCCATAGAAATCCAAAAACTTGAAGGAAAAAACATCTAGAATAAAATATGTATGATGGATTCACAACTAATTCAGGCTGAAGAAACGACGGCCTTTGAGCGCTCCACTGGTTTCCGCTCCTTCTGGGCGTGATTTATCTGATGATAATAGTAAAAAATTTATTTGTTTTTCTAAAATTAATTTTAAATGTTTACCTTGTCTCCAAGTGAAAGCGCCATTCCTTGCGATTTTGCTCGTATGCGAATATGTCCAATGATTGGACTATTAGTATCCAATGGGTCAGATTTCTCAATGCTTACATTTGCCAACGCGTCTTCTCCAAAAATTGAATGAGCACAGAAATTGGCAGCAAGGAAACCACAATCACCCTCTTAAAATAAAATACAAGGATTGATGTTTATAAAGAACCTAATGCAGCATCCGTAGTTAATAACTTCATGTTTGTTTGCGCTGATAAATGCTCCAAATATTGTCGTAAATCGATTATTGGAGTGATAACACCGACCTTAAATTTGAAAGTTGGACAAGATATTTTTTCAAATTACTTTATTTTCCCATTCAAAGTCGGCCCACATCTTTCTAAACTCGGTGTCAGTACAAGTCCCTGGCACGATGTAATCCTAATGAAAAATTATATTTATTTAAATAAGAAGACAAAACCATAATGTCAATATGGATATCTTCTAAATAAACACAATTTCTATCTGATGTTGAGCCGCGCACATCATAAGCAATTGTAGAGAAAATTACACCATTTTCAGTTGAAGATACTTTTACAGTTGCCTTAAATTGTTTTTTATAAAATCAATCATAAATAATTATTTCTAAAAATAATACTTTTATATTAGTAAAGTCATGTGGTGCTAATGTTACTGGCGACGGTTTGTCAACCAGTTTAAGATCTCCAACAGTGGAAAGCTCTAATGATAAGTTTTGAAGTGTGTCGGCAGTCTGATTCACTATTAGCACGTCAAGAACGATATCATATTGATTAACATTGACATAAGCCTCCGCATAAACTAAAAAAATTTGTTTTCACTAACTTTTTTATTTTGTCAAAACCTGGATCTGAGAAGCCAGCAAGCTGGATGACTTTACCAAGTTTTGAGGTAGCAAAATCAAATTTCGAGGGTTTCGGTGCCGTTCCCAGTGCTTGAGATAAAGATAAATCAAAAAGGTTTGTCCCAGTCACGCCTTCAGAAACACGTGTAGATAATTGAGTAAACATAATTGTTTTGTCAGGCTTAAATGAAAACGAATGATCAATAAAACAAATAGGGTCACCTGAATCACTTTCTTTTTAGCATTCTTCATTTCAGCATTCTCGTGGCGATCAACATCTCCCTTTGCCTGTAGCATTTGCTCTAATGAAAACCGACATTCCTCGAGGAATCCATTGACAGCCTCGGGCCACTGTTCCACTATTAGTCGAATAGTTGTAGATAAACGATCAAGATCGTCTTCTGTGATTTGTTGTTTACATTGGCCAGACTTGCCCAAATGAATTATGTTAGCAGTTAATAAAAGTGCCTGGCCAGCAATTTTGTTAACAGTTGTAGGCACTCCTAAGGAAATGAATCAAAATATTTTGAATAAGTTTTTAAACAAAACCTTTGTTCAATTCCGAATAACGAAGTACTAATTTGGCCAAATCGTTAGCTACAGCCGAAGCAATAAAGAAATTTCCATCTAGTAACAGTTTTTTAAAGGCTGGTTTATCGTTGTCACCAACATTTTGAGTCGTAGTCGAAAACATAGCTGTTTGAGTTGCATAAGTTCCATCAGCAGTAATTAATTGGCGAGGCTAGAAATTTAAAAATTAAAGAAAAAAGTAACTAATGCACCTTATTTTCACCCATCTGTTTAGTAGTAGTCGTTTTTTGCTTGTCATTATCTGATTCTAGTTCTGAGGAACCTGTGCCATCAATTAGAATCTCGCCTAATGATTCTTGGACTAATTCAAAGACCTTTGATATCGTTTCAGATTGGTCACTATATTCCCCAATATCCAAAGAGTAGAGCGGAAGATATTGGCATTTCGAATTGATGGAAACACATCCTAAAAATTAATATAGAATTTTGTTTGAGTACGTTAAATAAAAGAAAAATGAAAGGTAAATTAACCAAAAGTAACTGAAGAATATGTTGTCGTAAATGTGGTAATCGTTGTATTGCCTCTCGAATAAACAAAAGAACATCCATAGCTGCCGCTTCAGATTGATCTGAAAGAAATTCCACAAGTACAGGAAAGATTTGTTGTGCAACATCAGGAAATTTAATTGTAGCACTATGAAGAGTTCGGACAAGCAATTGTCTATAACGACCAGTATCTTCCAATTGATCATTATTTGTCTTATCAATTTCTTTTTTCATAAACATAACCATCTCATTAACGTTACGTGATGAAACTAATTCCAAAGCAAGTTGCAAAATTTTGCGTCGAACTTCATAATCTGTCGTAGAAAGCACACGAAGAATGTCCATAACTAATTCTTGGAGAACTTTGTCATTTGGCAATACTTCACGAAGGCCAACTAAGCGGTCAAGGACAATTAGCTAATAATAAAATATGAGATTTAGTTTTATAAAAAATACTTTAACATTGTTGTCAGATTCTTTTACAATTAAATCAATATAAGTTGTGGCCGCCGCTTTGATAGCAGCTGGTGCAGAACTTAACGTAACCAAAGTACCAGCAGCCTCATAACGAACAGATGGAGACTGGGATTGAAGCAAATTGTATACACAACGAATGAAGCGGTTCCTCTCAGCAGGATCATTATGACAAACCTAAAAAACAAAAAATAATCATTTTTAAGAATTAAATCAAAAGACCTTATAAATTAACTCGACAATAACCAGTTGAAGAATATCACCAAAGTGTTGGACTTGATCAATACAAACTGACAAATAATCAAGCGCGCGTTGTTGATCAACATGAAGAAGCATTATAAATGCATTTCGTTTGCAAGAAGCATCCTGCTCAGATTCCAAAAGCTGAGAAATCACTTCAGGCGCATTAGGAACAAGAAATTCAAAATTTTCTGAATATTTTAAAATATTATTGTAAATCGACGAAGACATACTGTAGATTGTAAATAAAGCTAGAATAGCATTTCTACGAACATAGGAATGTTTATGCTCAAGGCATTTGAGAATAGAAGGCATTAAAGGTTCCAAAAGTTCAGGTTCACGCAATTTGCAAAGGAAACTAAAAAATATAAAAATATTTAAAAACAAAAAATTACCGTAAAGTAGATCCACGAACATATTCATTTGGATGTAACAAATCTTTACGATAAGCATCACAGACGAGAATCATTTCTTGCAATAATTTTCCGTCTTGATTTGTCTAAAAACTACTTTTACAATTAGCAATTAAATAAAATAACCTTTGGCAATACTTCCCAAAAATGAAGCAATAGCTTTTTAAGAAAATGATCGGTTGATGGTAGGCAAAAACGAATAACATACATCATCAAACTTTGACTTATCTTTTCCCCAGATTGAATCATTAAAATTAATTTTTTCAAAGCCTCAGTTTTCGCTTTCGTATCACCTAAATTCTAAAAGTAAAAATTTAATAATAAATAAACCATGTTCAAATTTATCTTTCAATTGTGCCTCGGAAGGAAATTCAACATCATTAGGCACGTTAATTAACGAATAACAAGGTTGCTCACCAGAGGTCATCATTTTTTAACTAAAATTTTATATATTCTTTTAATATGAATCAACAATAAGCTGCTAAAAAAAGTTAATAATTATTTTGTGTCAGCCACGTCAACAAAATAAATGAAAAGTTTCATTTGCAAACGTAAAAAGAGAATAAAAAATTATGACCATAATTACATTCGTTGGCGAAAGATAATTTTGGCGAATTGAAATATTTTCGATGATTTTACACTAAAAATTTTCAAAATCCCTACGCGTTATAAAAAATTAAAAAAATCCTCCAAGTTCTTTTTCGCTTTAAATTTTTTTGTCATCATTGGTGATATTTTTTATTTTTTAGTGATATGGATAAAATAAAAATAAAAAGTTCATTTCTTATAATTTCTGGTTATGAATTCAAAATTGCTGCTGAAAAGCAGATTGAATTGTCGAGCGAATTTTTAATGTTACCTGTTGACACTGGGAGAGAAACAGTTCTTGCGTCACTTTCCTTTAAACATGTCATCAATGTGGAGGTAGTTTTTCTTTTTTTATTTTTCAAGTTACTTAAAATTAGTTAATGGATAATTCGGAACAAAAAGGAGCTGGTTTGGCCCTTCATGTCAATAATTTTATGATGGGAAAACTACAACAATACTTGGTAGTGGAAGGCAATAAATTGATGGATTATAAATGTTCATATTCACGACATAAGTAAGACCATGATTTAAATTAGCTTTTGTTAGAACACTAAATATTATTTGAATTTTTGTGGAGCTATTTTTTTTATTCTAAACATGAAATATCTTTAGGCTCATTGTATTGGACATTCTTAACTGCGACTATGAGAATATGCATCATATTCGTCAAATTCTCAGCAATGCAAGCCTTTTCCATCACAATTATGTTGTGCAACAAATGAATAAAAATAAAAAATCTAAATTAGAAATTGCTGTTCAGTTTGTCGGTACGTTATCGCAATCTTCGTTTTTCTTATTCTTAATTTAAGGACTAATTTCACACAATCAATGGTCAGTTCTTCTGAGTATGCTGAGTGATACAGGTTTTTATAGACTACTAGGTACTTATTCCCTTCCCCTCCCTGCCCAGTTATTGATGTACAAAATAGTAATTTCTTACTTGCATAATTTCAAAAAGCTGACCTTTGGCATAATTCATTCAGTCACTCTTTAATTCGGATATTTCTCTGTTTTTGGATACTTGTCTCACACATTTTGTCCTTATTGTTATTAAATGACTGATTGTGAGTAAATCGTTGTTTATTTTTTATATTTAAAAACGATTACAAATAAAAAGCGAAATTATTCAAGGAAGAGTGACTGAATGAATGATGACAAAAATCAGCTTTTAGAAATTATACAAGTAATAAATGACTGACCATTTTGTACATCATTAAAAAACGACAGGAGGGAAGTGAATAAGTATCAATGACTTCATATTCGAAATATCAAATTTTAGGGCTTGTTGTTCCCATAAAATATGACCGACACTCTCAACGTATTCCGATAATTCCAGTAACGCAAAACGATCATGGATACATGCCTGACCCAAGAAGATTAAATAACAATCATAATAATATTGTCCAACAACATCAACCAACTTATCTCATACAGCAGCGCCCACCTACACCTCCACATTCGATTGTACTGAAAGCACCTACATATACTGCTCAAGGATTTATTATTGAGAATAAAAATGTTCCTCAACATTTGCTTTCTAAAAAAGTGTTAAATGATCATATCTTTAATGGTAATAATCATCTGCAGCTAATTGATGTTCAGCAACCTTCTCATTCGAGTTTTCAGCATCCATCAGTCTATCAAGTGCAGCAAACGGGTTCTCAACAGAAACAATCATCTCATCAACATCAGCAATCAGGTTATTAACGGCATCTTTTAGTTTATCATCAACCTATTTAGATAATCAGCAACCACAGTCAAGTTATCTACTTCAGGACGGAATTATTACTACACCAGAGAAACCATTGCGCGTTCATATAAAACATCAACAAAAAAACAAGAAGCAGAAGCCAACAGAAGAAATTCATTTGTCTGATGATGAACCGGAAGTGGTAAATTATTTGTATAACTTCAGCATTATATTGCTTTGTTTTGTGATTAAGGTTTACATTTTTTCTTTTAGGGAGTGAAACCTTGTTCGTCAAAATATCTCAATGATGTGCTGTTTCGTTATCCACAAAATGCTAATGATTCCTGCTCGGTACATAAATCCGATCTTAAACATCTTGCTCTTGATGTGATGTTGAACGATACCATCATTTACTTTTACCTCAAATATATTCATTATAGGTTTCATTTACCTTTAAAATTTATTCTCATCCTTTTATCTTTATAGTCTTGTCCCTGAAGACAGGAGGGATCGGATATACATTTTTAACTCATTTCTCTTTGAAAGGCTTACACAGGCTCCTGCTCATGGAAAAACGCAGGTCACACTGGCTACGAGAATAAAGCGGGTATCTTTTTTATTTCTATCTTTAATCCTTTAATTTTAGTAGTCTTTTAGGTTGTGTTTAATTTTCAAGCAGTTAAGAATTGGACAAAAAAAGTTGATATCTTCTCAAAGGATTATGTCGTCGTACCTATAAATGAAGAAATTCACTGGTAATAGCTAATTTTTAAATAATTATATTAGTTTTAAAATATTTTTTTTCTTAGCTTTTTCTCGGTATTTACACCTTTCCTCAAAGTATTTATACTATTCAGGTATTTGGCCATTATTGTAAATCCTCATGCAGGCGTTTTTGATATGGATGGTGAGGCAAAGTATAATCCATCTGATAGCTCCGGACCTTTTCTAATTGTTTTCAATTCGGTATTTATTCTTTTTTTTTGTATTTATTATTTTTAAGTTAATTGATCCTGCACTGGATAAACATCTCGATGTTAGGCAACAACTGAGTGAGTACTTACACTTAGAATATGCTGACAAACATAAGAAGGATGGAAAATACTTTAAAAGGGAGTCACTACAGGTCATCCAGCCTACTCTCATTCCTCAACAAAAAGGATATATTGATTGTGGATTATTTTTGTTGCATTTTGCAGAGCTTTTTCTTGTCAATCCTCCAACGGTTAGAAAAATTATTATAAAAAATTTATTTTTTAGGCGATTTCGAATCGTGCTTCATTTCGATGCTGGTTTCATGATTTCCAAATTCAGCATAAACGGAATCAAATTCAACAAGTAATACGTCAGGTGGCACCTCATGTGAAACCTTCAATGTTTATCTATCAGCCAACGCCTAATAATAACACAAAAAAGACTAGAAAATCGAAGAGACAACAACCCCTTTTGGAAGGTTAACACTTTCTTTATGTATTTAGTTTTTATTTTTGTACATTTAGCATTCCCTTTGATTGGTAGAGATCGACGTCAAAGCGAATCTAGAGTTAGTGAGATTGCACGTGACCCTCGTTTTTCAGTTTTATATCGTCCCAGATCTTGTGATTCTCTTATCGCAGAGAATAAAGAGAGGTTATGTTTGACTTAAAATTTTTATATATTTTAACCTTTCAGGCCGTTAGTTCTTCAGCCTCCAACTATTTTGGAAATGAAACGTTACAGAAAGATCAGGAATCCTTTAATAGATGCAATAATTTAGTAAAGGGGTTATTTTTTCATTTTATTGTTTAATTCCTCAGTTTTTATTTATATAAAACATTTTTTATTAATTTTTTTACCATTTTACATATTTATTGTTATATAGTATCTACCTATATCAATATTCTTAATTTGAATTTAATTTTTTAGCAATTGGATTTTAATTTAGAAATGTCAGATCCTTATTCTTTGCATGGAGGTACAGTCGTTGCGATGCGTGGAAAGGACTGTTTTTGCATTGCCACGGACTTGAGATTGGGCAATCAAATGAATACTATTGCAACAAACGTTCAGAAGGTTCTTAAAGGATTTTATATTTTTAAATTATGCTTCTGATTTTAAAATTTAACTATTAAATTAAGGCCCATCTTATTGGGGAAAAGCTTTTTGTTGGTCTAACTGGTTTTAATTGTGACACTGTTACGTTTGTGGATAAGATTAAGCAAGCTAAGACGTTGTATGAACTTGAAGAGGATCGTCCAATGAAGCCTAAGGTTTTGATTAATTCATTTAGAATATAAGATTTTAGATCTTGGCACATCTTATTTCAAATATGCAATATCAACGTCGTTTTGGTCCGTATTTAATTAATGTGTTGGTCGCTGGTATTGATCTAACATCAAAAGAACCGTTTATTGCAGCCTCGGACTCTGTTGGCGGCATGTCAGAGTTTGAAGATTTTGTATCTGTAGGTGCAGGTGACGAATTTGCATTGGCCTCCTGCGAAAGTAAGAATTTTAATATTTTAATTAAAATCTTTTAAATTATTTTAAGCTTTTTGGCGTCCTGATCTAACCGCTGAACAGTTAACTGAGGCGACTGCACAAGTAATGCTCGGTGTCATTGAGCGTGATGCGGCAACTGGATGGGGTGCTATTGTTTATACGGTCACACAGAGTGGAATTACTTCTCATGCACTCAAATGCCGACTTGATTGATTTATTATGAAGAATCAAGAATAATTTTTTGTTGATCAAGTAAATGATATATAATGACCATTCAATATTTTTACATATTTGAGAGTAAATTTTTTTGGATATACATATTTGCTATGTTTATTATATGTATCTAGGTTATACAGGAATTTATCTGCGTGTACATATTTTCTATTGAAAAAAATTAAAGTAATGTTCAAAATTGTGCAACGAGGTTCTGAACATGGGAGTGATCAAGAGCAGCCTCATCCCTCTAAACGATTACAGGGGTCGACACAACAAGGTTCTGATAGTGTCAAGAAGGATTCTGGGCACGAAGGACAAAAATTGACTTCAAATGAGCAAATTAAGAAGTCTTCGCCTCAAAGTTCGTACTATAATACTTCAATAAAAAAATTTTTCTTGTTAGCGCCGTCATCTGTTTTAGGATCCCCGAAGATGGAAGCTTCAATTCAATTAATTGACGATGAACTTGAATTGCTCGACTCGATTAAGGTTGGATTAATATATTGGTAATTTAATCTCGGTACTTATTGTTAGGAATTTATTTGTGATGGGAACAAAAGATATACAGTCGTTGGAGCGATTGGATCTCAAGGTTTGTTTCATCTATTATTTGGGTTTTCAATCATTCTTTTTTTATTTTAGGAACTGGAAAATCTACTTTTCTAAGTTTTTGAGTAGTTTAATTTTCATCATATTATTTTCAAGGTATGTTGGCTGGTAATGATACGATGGATATGTACAGGTTTCTAACATGTTTAATTAAAATGGATCACGTAATATGGTTTAAGGCAGTATATTTTCCGCCCCTGTGCACGAGAAGCCGTAGAATCCTGCAGATACCAGACAACAAAAATTTCCATTTATATTGCCCCTAAGACTAGGGTATTTTTTCTAGACTGTCAGGTAACTTTAATTTTATTAAAACTAAAAAATATCTTTCAAGCCTTTGAACTGTGCGCCGTTATTAGAGGATACCAGTCATTCCTATAGAAGCAAAGCTGGACCAATGGAGAGCTTGGAACTTGAGGTAAATTTCAAAAGTTTGACGGCTAAAATTATGTCCAAAAACATTCAAGTCACTTCAATTCCTGCTTTTACTTGCAAATGTTTGTCACACTGTTTTTCTTTGTGTTGATTGGTTTATTGATATGAGTATAATTCGGCGACTAATGCGAGTCGAACTTTTCCCTCAATTTTTGAACGTCAGTGAAAGCGTCAATTTAGGTAATTTACTTTTATAAATAATTCTGGCATCGAGTGCTTGCAAAATTTAGTTATTCTACATCAAAGAGTAAGGCAACAAGACTGTCATCCTCTATTGGTCAATGAAAGGATGAGATTATTAAATGGTATATTTGCCGGAACTATTTTCAATGTAAATGGTGGATTAACACTTGCTAATTTGGGATTTGATGTTTATCAACAAATTGAATCAAACGTAAATTATATTCTAATGGAAGAAATTAAACCAAGAACAAGAACCGAAATTTATTCACCAGGTGAATTAAAAGATAAAAACTAAATTGATGAAATACACCTTGTCTACTTCCAGATACATTTTCTCAAAAAACGAATTCATTGGAATACGCAACTGTTTTAAATCGTCTGCGTATAAAATTGCACTCCTTACCTAAACGTGAACTTGCAATGACCGAAGGAAAATGGTTTTCTTATTTGGTTGAATGCTGGTCTAAAATAAAGTTAGAACTTCTTTCAATAACTGAAGATGGATGTACAATCAAAACGAATTACCTAAAGGTGAATTTTTAAACAAAATTAAGTTTTGAAGGAATTGTTTAATTATAGGCTCAATTCGATAGTGTCGGATTAGCATCTGATAGAAATTTCTCAACAGAGGACAGGGAAATAGGAAATGATGATGTAATCGAAAGATATTTGGCCGTGGAATATCAATATAACAAAATCCCAATTAAGAGCTCTCAACATCAACAACGAGAAAGACAATGGAAAAACAGAGTATTTGAAAAAACTAGATCCTCTAGACAGAATTATAATGTACAGGATTAAAATTTATTTTAATTTACAAATAAATTTATGTTTATAAATCAATCGAGCAGGACGTGATATAATATAATTATTTTTTGAAGATTATGGTCGTTTGCTACATAAATATATAACAAGGCCATAATATAATTAAATTTCTTAAAAAATATATACATTTATGTAGCAGTCCATAAAATGATCGCAAAAATTCGAGTCTAAAAGCTGAACAAAATCCCGCTTAAGAACTTGCCCATGCCTCCAACTCAGCCATATCATCGTCCTCTTTAGTCTTAGCCTTTGCTTTCGGTTTGTCTTTTGGCGCATCTGGAAGTTTATCGGTCACACTACTGGCAGGGATTGTACCAACATCAAGAAGTTTCTCATTGATCTCTTCCTGAAAAATATAAAAATTATTTTTCATATTTTGTTTCCAACCCAACATATAGGGAAAGTTTTAAGTTAATTAAAACTGAACCTCTTGTATGTCCTCAAGTTCCTTGAGCAGCTCGTCTTCGTCTATATCATTTTGTAGTCCAGAAGGATTGGAAATTGCTTGAGTAATTTCATTAGTTACTTCCTGACTTTCTGCAATATCCTCCATAATATCGTGAACCTTAAAAATTCATTCATAACAATATAATCAAGAAAAAACAAGCCTTGTCAACATCCATTCCTTTATTTATGTTCTTCAAAGCTGCAGAAGTAGATGTCAAGACACCAAAAACTTCGGAATGCAAAGACGCATTCTCCAGAGAGCTTTTCTGATGATGAATCGTATTTAAGATACCCTCAATTTCTTCCAGCTTTTTCTCATGAATTTTCTTCTCCTTAAGAGCCTTCAGAGCCGCCCGTTTATTGGTGGTGGCATGTTTCTTTGCGGTCGCGATAGACTAAAAATACGATGAGAATTAAATTGTAAAAAATTGGTACTTTCAGCCCAACATTTCCTTTCCCATTCAACTTTTCGTTCTCCAAATATTAAAAATGGAAAAAAATAAAATAAAAATAATTTTAAAGTAAAGGCCAAACAAAACAAACACAATTTACAAAAATGTAATGTTCTGGTATATTTATTTTCTGAATTGGAAAGAGAGATAGTGTATCTGAAGGTAAATAAATTCTGGTGTAGAAAGGAAAGGCCGGAAGAGGAAATGCTAGGCAGTAAAAAATAAAAATTTTACAAACCTCTTCAATTTTTTTGCCTAAAAATTCTTGTTTCTTAATTAACATTTCTTCCATATTAGCAATTTTCTGAAGAGCTTCAGGTGTTGTCATTTCCGGCTTTTTATTCTTCTCACCAAATATTTTGCCAAACAAACTCATTTTTTTATTAAATATTTAAATGGTCAATAAGTAGAGTCAACTAAAAATTAAAAAGATGACTAATTTAAAGAGATCTAGGTAAATAAATAAACAAAAGAAAATAATTTCTCGATAACTTACGTAATTTACTCTTAAATTATAATTACCATTTTCTAAATTACCATTATGACATGTTCCCCACATGTTTCCATTTTGAAGAACCTAATCATTTTGGTAATTTCCGGTTTTTTGTTTCCGTTTCCGGAAAAATTATCCGTTTGTTTTAGAAAATCAATTTAACAGAGTAAAAATAAATCTTTTTTACTTTTGAATAATTATTATGACAGAGAGAACTTCACGTGAGCAAAGCATTACAATTCAAGGTTTGCTAACACATTTTTAATTACTTTTATTTTTTATTAATTTTTCAGTTATGCGTCTTGCAAAACCAATCCCCAGTCAACCAATTTCAGCATTTTGTGGTCCTTCTGATGTAGATTTTTTAAATTCTGGTAATCAATTAATCGATCTTCCATCAGGCCAATACCCAATAGTTCCACATGTGACGAGTTATCTAAATTTATTTTAAATTTTTAAAGAGCTATTTTATTTATTTATTTATTTATTTATCAACAAAAAAAAATGTCATCGAAAGGGCGTGCCACTTAATTCGACAACAATGTCGTAGCGTGGCACAATAAAAATAATAAAAATAAAAATAAAAAACAGCATATAAAGTCATACTAATTTAAATTATAAAAAAACACAAATTTGATATTATATTTGATTTATTCTTTAAATAAATATACTCCGTACCGACCATTTTAATGATTTAATTATTTTAAATTGTCAAAATTTAAAGAATTGATTTCTTCAACAATTTTGCTGCGTTTTTCGTTGTTTGTCATGTTTGCTGCAAAATTTAATGGAGAAAATTCAGAAGAATTGCGCTTAGACATTTTAGTCAAAAAATATTACCCAATTGTTTTAAATTTTTCAAAAGTCCTTAAAAAAAGCAAATTTGATTTAAAAGAGATAAATTGAGCAAAAATAAAAATTAAGAGAAAAGAAAAACTATGTTTTTAATTTAATGAGTCATCAAAAGAAAAATTGTATGGTTGAGTAAGAGACAATAGGATAAATTGTCATTAAATGTATTTTTGAACATAATGCCAAACAATAAATTTTAATTATTAATTTGAAATTTCCTTGTTCAAATATGCAAAATAGTAGTCATTTAACTATAGTTAATAGTGAAAGGAACGAATGCGAGAGAGAAAAACAAAAAACATAGAAATGAAAAAAATTCTTAGATTATACCAATAAAAAAGATTTGTTTAGATCTATTGAATAAGTATTGCTTTTATTTTATTTTTAAAACTAAGGGTTATTTTTGTAGTCCTAATTTCTTCATGTAAAACATTCCACATCTTAGTTACCCTATTAACAAATGAGTTCGATGACTTAGAATTTTGATTTTTAGATAATAAATAACATTTTTTCCTATTTGATATTTTAAAGAGATTGTCTGATTTAAGATGTGTATATCCATGTAGGATTCTATGTGCTAAAACGAGATCATAAGTTTTACGACGGTTTTCGAGAGTAGGAAGGTTAAGAAATTCTAATCTTTGTAAATATGGTATATATGGTAATGAACATTTTCTAAGTAAAGATTTTGTAAAGAATTTTTGACATTTTTCAAGTTTGTTAATTTCGGATCTTAGTTGTGGATTCCATGTTTCAGGAGAGTATTCTAGTAAGGGTCTTATATAACTTTTATAGATAGTAAGCCATGTTTTTATAGATTTTGATTTGATTATTTTAAACACAAAATTCATTTTTATATAAGCAGCCCTAATAATTTTTTGTACATGTTCTTGAAATTTAAGTTTATTATCAATTATGATGCCTAGATCGCGTATAGAATCTACTTCATTTATAGTTGTATCAAAAATTTTATATTGATCTTTAGGATTAGTTTTACCAAGATAAATGATATATGTTTTATTAATAGCTATATTTAATTTCCATTTAGTTGCCCATTGTTCAATATTTTTGATAGCATCAGTAAGTATTCTTCTTTCATTTTTAGTTTTGTGTATAACATATACTTTGACATCATCAGCAAAAAGTTTAATTTTTATACCATTTGGGATTATATCAGGTAAATCATTAATATAAATCAGAAATAATAATGGGCCTAACACAGATCCTTGTGGTACACCTGATTTGATATTTCTAGGTTTGGATAACGAGTTGTTTATTTTGACTCTAAAAGTTCTATTGGTAAGAAAAGATGAAATCCAAGTTAAAATCTTTCCTCTTATACCTATTTTATATAATTTATTGATTAAAAGATCATGTGGCACTGAGTCAAATGCTTTCTTGAAGTCTATATATACACAGTCAATATTCTTTTTTCCCATTATTGCATCATACCAGTCTTCTAATGTAGCGATTAGCTGTGTTGTAGTAGATCTATTTTTTATAAATCCATATTGATCATTACTAAATAGATTGTTATCATGTAGAAATTGAACAATGTATTTATTAAGAACCATTTCCATAATTCTGCATAAGGAACATGTTAATGCAATGGGTCTATAGTTTTCAGGATTTGATTTTTCTCCTTTTTTGAATAGTGGCATTATTAATGATTCTTTCCATATCTTTGGTAATATACCTGAATCTAGTGATATTCTGAATATTTCAGAGAGAACAGGAGCTATAGACGGAAGTGCTATCTTTAATATTTTATAATTTATATTGTCAGGTGAAGTACCATTTCTATTTGGTAATTTTTTAATGAAATTGATAATATCAATTATGTCAAAATCAATATCCTCAATAACAGGTATTTGATTGCTATCATTGATATCGTGGTTATATTGCGTATTTGTATTTGAAAAGTTTTCAAGAAAAATATCAGCAAAAATTTCAGACTTATCTATTGATTTCGTTACATATCTATTATTATGGAAAAGCACAGGGATTTCATTATTAGTAAATTTAAATTTTTTAAGATATTTATGAATAGAATTTCTATTTTTAGTAATATAAGCGTTTTGTTTTTTATTATGAAAGTTTCTAGTCTGAATTTTTATATGCAATGATATGCTATCATATAATTCTTTATATTTAATTTTATCAGTTTTAAGTAGCCTATAAATTTCAGCCTTCTTTTTAATAGATGCTTTTAAGTGAGGTGGGTAATCATGTTTAAGATCTTTTTTAGTTATAAGTTTTTCTGGTACATATAAATCAAGAGAAGTTAAGATATTATTTATGAAGTGATTATATTTATCTTCCAAATAATAATTTTGTGCGGATATAATAGGTAAAACAGAGCATAGAAATCTATTTAATAGAAGTGTATTATCTTTATTAAATTTTCTATATTTTATTGGTTTGATTTCTTTTTTAATTACAGGAAATAATAAATCAAAGATTAAAGCATCATGATCAGAGTTAAACAGAGACCCATCAACATATATATTTTGAAATAAATTTGGTTTATTTGTTAAACAAATATCTAAATATGCATCATTTCTAGTGGGACCAGGTGTAGTTGAAGATAAATTCATAGAATTGAAAAAATTGAGAAATAGATCGCCTAAATTGTATCGCCTAAACTTTTTATGTTGCAATTATTAACACAACTTTATTTAAATGTGAACAAATAAATATGAAGGTTTATCTTTTTAATTATTTTTCTATTCTTTTTAAAGTTTAGGTTGATATTCAAACTCAATTACAGAGAATTTCTATTGCTGAAACTTCTTTTAGTAATGTTAGTTTGGTACATAAACAACAAGTTGGACAAATATTTTCTCATGAAATAAATGAACTTGGACAGCATATGTTGGTAGATTATCGGGTTATATAGTAGATTATATAAATAATTGGATTATTTTTAACCGACATTATAGAGTCCTCCTGTTTATATTTATGATTTGAACATTCGGCTCTATCTGAAAACAGTGCCGGCATCCAATTTTTCCTTTCCTCCTCGAATGGGAAAGAAAAAGTTTTCGGCTGTAGTATAGTAAACCGGTGGTAAGGTAACTTTGTCCGAACTTGCTAGATCGCGTTGATTTTGTGTCATTCGACTCAGTTCGACTAGCTCTTTCGAATGATCTATCATTCAAAAAATCAAAATTTTCCTTCCAAAATTAAGCTTACTCCCCCTATGTTTTCCGATTTTCGGGGACCTATATCTCGATCCAGAGTTGAATGACACCGAAATCACCGTGATTACGTTTGGACTAGAGTTGGACAAGCCGAGACCGATACCGAGATTCTCGGCTTTTTTCCAATATCGGTCTCGGTTTTTTTATTCTCGGTCTCGAAACCGATACCGATATTCTCGGTCCATTTCTCGGCGAGAAACGATACTGACTCAAAGACCCCAATTTTCTTGTATTTTTTAATAAAGCTAAGGATTTTTGACCTTTGGCTTCTGAATTTCAAAAAATTTTCGCCTGCGGCGCTGAAAAGAGTGAATCCTTCTTTACTTGCTTTACAAAATCCGAGCATTTCATTAAGCCCTCACGATTGAGCTCGCACGACTGAGTTGCCCTTTTATCTAGCTCAACTGAGTCCCAGTTATTTAATGAAATTAAAAGGTGGGAGTTATTTGGAGGATTTGGGTGTTTATGGGGATATCAATGGATTTGGAGGGATATCGAATGTAAGGCGGAGGGATAACGAATGTAATCGAATGTAATATTTATACTTTTGGAACAGAGTGTATAATCCTTTTACCTATAAATCCTACTATTGTATTTTTTATAAAAAAGGATGTTAACCATCAATCGAATCGGATCCAGATGATGAAGAGATTTATCTGATGATTTGGATGATGAAAATAATGAATAAATTATTTTTACACTTATTTTTTGACATAAAATAAAATTTCTGTTAGTCTCGGTCAGTATCGTTTCTCGGTATCGGTCTCGGCTCAAAATGATGGTATCGGTCTCGGTATCGGGTTCTTGAGTATCGGTCAATCTCGGTCTCGGGTTGGCCGATACCAGTATCGTTTTGTCCAACTCTAGTTTGGACGAAGTTACCTTACCACCGGTTTACTACACTACAGCCGAAAAATAACTTTTTCTTTCCCATTCGAGGAGGAAAGGAAAAATTGGATGCCGGCACTGTTTTCAGATAGAGCCGAACATTCTTATTTTCATTTAATAAAACTATCTTTAAAATACTTGATTAATTCAGATTGGTTTGCAGTGTTTCTTACATTGGAGGGAATGAGGAGAAATTAAATCTTCGAAAATTCTTCAAATTTTCTGTTAATAAACCTGTTGATTTGCTTAATCAAACATTTTATGAATTAAATGTAAAATTTTTTTATTTCATTAATAATTTTATTTTTCCAGGATAAAACAACATTTTATGAATTCCAAATAAAGAATTTAATTCCTAATCCTATTTTTATCGAGTCTTTGGCATTTGAAGAGTGTGGCAATAATTTACCTTATAATTGTGAATTAACTGGTTCTCCTTCTTTAAACATGTTAATATATAAATTTTTCTTATTTTAATTTTGTTTTCAAATTTTTGCAGAGATTCAGAACCTTTGGGTCTACAAAATATTCATCAATATATTTTTCGACTAACACCTAATGAACAATTCGATGCTGAAAATTGGATGAAAATTCTCAATTTTGGAAGATTAAAAATTGTGTGGCGATCGACAACGGGTGATAATGGTCGAACATTTTTTAATACCATCGAGAGGTCTCCATTTATATGCAAGGATTTGAGACTTACTGTTGACAGAGCACCGAAAAAAGCAAAAGTAAATGGAATGTTGACTGTTGTTTGTAATCTTAGAAATTGGAGGTAAATAAGATTTTATTTAAAATATTTCTATTTCCTCTATTCGATTTTTTTGTTTTGGAATCCCTTTTTTTCTAGAATAACGGATTTTAAATTTACCACATATTTTTTACGAATTATATTTTTTTACTAACAATGAAATAGCAACCAACAGATTAATCCTGGGAATTTAAACCAAATTGGTTGATAGCAAAAAATTTCACAGTCTATGGTCAAAACAGAAATGCCGGAAAATTTACCACACCCTGTATTAAAATATTTTAAGTGATCATCCTTTGGATTTGTTATTAAATTTTGATCAAAACGTTGGCCCAATTATTCATTGTTCGGTCAGTGGCCAACGACTTCCAACAATTCTACCTGGTCATAATATACAAATTTCATTTGAAATTTTGCCTTATGTAAAAGGGTTACAGGTTCAGTTTGTTGTTTTGCTGTTTAATTTCTTTTTTAGAGCATTTCTGGAGTATTTTTAACAGATTTATTGCTAAAAAGAACTTTTGAGTTTAATAATATTTTTGATATTTTTATTGAATAATTTGTTGATAAATGTTTTATTATTATTTGATTTTATTTAAATACAGTTGACATACATACTGTTGACATATTTTTTTTATTTTTTACTTTTATTGTTAACTATTTTTAATTAAATTTTTAACCTTTAGACTATTTCCTGTTCGTTTAATGCAGCAATCCAATCTTTTCATGGTCGTGCGTGGAGTTCCCCCGTTTTGTTTCGCAGTTTAGCCTAACAATCCGGTTTAACCTTCTCTTCCGTCCCCAACGGCAGCAGCTTGAGGCGAGAAGAGGGACTGTTTAATCTGTCTTTTTTTGGGGTAAGGGTGTCATCATCATCTAGTCAGTTATTTTGCTAACGTTGAATTAAAAATGCTAGTTCCATGAATTAAGTTAGAAAAAGATCCGCAATAGTCAGATAAATACATAGTTGCTTTTCTTCCTTTTTATGAGAAAAGCAGTTAGCAAAATAAATTAGCTTTGATACAACGGATAATTTCGTGGAGCAGTCGATAACAAATTAAGCGGAAAAATGATAAGGCTAAATTATTTTTTGGAGGACGTTTAAAAAATATAATTAATAGAGAGGAGCATTTAAGGATGGGTAAAAAGTTGTGAAAGAGAGAACTGGTGGTCACGGGTGAAGCGGAAGATTGTCGGGGGAAGGTGGTGTAGATAACCCGATTCGCTGCTGCAAAAACTGCTGTTGCTTGTTTTTGCCCTTGCCAAACGGTTTTCAGGCGCGATTTTTCCCGCTTTTCTTTGATAAGCTGCCAGGCTTAATGCGCAGAATGCGATGGAAGATAGAATCAGTCATTCCTTCTAATTGGACGGATAGGCATATTAAACGGCTGCTATTTACTGATTATTTTGGATGCTTATGTTGGGGACGAAGAAAGGCGACCTCTTCTCGCCAGCCGCCGGTTATGTTCGTTCAACTGATACCCATTTCCTCTTCCTCCGATAAAGCAAAACATTAAATCAGAATGAATGAGGCTGGCGTTTAACTACTATTTACTACCAGAATTAGCAAATAACTAGCTATCCGTTAAAGCCTTCATATTTATTGGTTGCGCTTTTGCATTGCCACTTGTATTTCTGTTATTATTCACCAGAAAACGCTTTTTAACTATAAAGCTTCTGAATATTTTTTCCTTTGTATTTTTAGCTTTAAAAATATTTTTTCTTAAATTTTAGATTTAATTCTAATTTTAATTAAATTACTCTTTAATATGCAACAATCACAACAACAAAGACCTGAACATCCTGCAACATTTAATGAATTGCTAATTAATGAAGTTATTTTTATTTAATATTTTTGTATGATCTGTAATTTTATTTGGAATTTCAGGTTAGAGCGCATCCACAACTTTACAATCAACAGCACCGTGTTTGCACTGATAACGGTGAGAGGAACGTTATTTGGGTAAATTTCTTGTTTATGTTTACAAAAGTAAACACTTTTAGGAGGTTATTGCCCAAAGAATCGACGAAACTGTAAACGGTGAATTTGCGAAAAAACGTTGGCTTCAAATGCGCGATCGTTATAGAAAGGAGCTGAAAATGGCACTTCGAACTTCTATTCAACCGAAATGGCCATATTTTGCCAAACTTTCGTGGCTCGATCCTTATTTGAAAGGAGCAAAGTAATGACGACAATTTAATTATTTAAAATAATTTTTTCTTTAAAGGAAAGTTGATTCTGCGTCTAATTCGCCGTTAGGACAACAGAACAATTTAATTGCCGAGTTTGGGATCGCTTCTAAGCAGCAAGACTTTAATGGACTGAATGGAATTTTTGGTGGGACCGAAAATAATAATGGTAGCTATTTAGAATAATCCATTTTTAATTCCAAAAATTTATTAAAAATTTTTTCTTTAACCCCCCTCCACTCTATTAGTTTTAATATTCTTTCGGGCATTAATTAATAATGTAAATAGATCACCAACTCCAATTCCCTTCACCAACCGTTAATCTGTTAGAAACATTGATGGCAGCAAGTCGTGAATTTTTAGAGAGACAACAACGGGAAAAACAAGAAAATGTCTCTACAAGTTCAGCAATTTCTAATAATGATTTGAATATTCAACAATTACATAATGATTTATTATTTGATAATGCTACAATTGCCTCCTCTTCAGCAAACAGTGATGAGAGTATTGCGGATCAACAAAATAATAATAGTTATTTAAATGATGGGAATGAAGATATTGAAGGAATTGGACTGGCTGGAGGTGAAAATACTGATTTTGCTAACATTCGAAATGTTAATGGTAATAATGGAGAAGCAACAGATAAGGTGAGAAAAATTTTTTTATTTCATTTTTACATTATATATATAATAAATAGAAAATCTTTTTTTAAAAAAAAAATATCGGCCGGCCGAAGGCCGGCCGCTCCACAGAAGCCTGACATCTTGGGGTAGTTTGGTACGGGCTATTCAGGAAAACTATAGAAAAAATTTTTGGGGGGTCGCAAGAGTCTCAAACTGAATGATGGGTTTCAGTATCTCGAAAAAGTTCAATAGAAAGGTGGTTTGGGCCTGGGGTGAGGGCACTCCGCCATTGATAGTAGATAATGATAGAAAAAAATTCGGGTCGAAAAAGTTAAGTCTTAAGGTAGAAAACCCCGTGAGACTGAAACGTCCTACCCGTACTCAAATGGTTTTTCGACTGTAACTTTTTTTTGAATGGGCGTAGCGTGATGGGACCTGGGGCGTTCCATAGGGTATCTGAATGCGCATTTAACAATATATAATTTGTGGGGGTCACTTGAGTCTGGGGGTGGGGTACTTGAGTCTGAAGGGGGAAATTGCTTATATTGAAAAAGTCTTGCTGGGGAACGACTTTGGTGGTGTTGGGTTATTTGTAGGCATAGGTATGGAGAACATATTTGTTGTTGGACATTTGAGTCTGAGATGAAATCCTGGGGAGTTATGAGTCAAAGAGTCAGTGCGACTCGAGTCGATTTTTGGAAAGTGAATTGAAACCCGTTTTCGATAGCTCATTAGAAAGAGCGTCCCCTGGCGGTCAGCATAAGGTATAATATGTCGGGGGTCCACTTGAGTCTCAGAAAGTTATGGGTCAAGAAGTGCTGAGACTCAAATCTTTCTGAGACTCTAACTCCATAGGGAATTTTGTCCTCCGAGGCCGAAGGCCGAGGAGTTGGAGGGCCGAAGGCGAGGGCCGAAGGCCCGAGCCTTCATTACATCTAAAAGGCAGAGCAATTGTCAAAGGCAGAGCATAGATACTCCGAGGCCGAAAGCCGGGGAGTTGGGGTGCCGAAGGCCCGCCGTAGGCGAGGGCCGAAGGCCCGAGCTTTCATTACATCTAAAAGGCAGAGCAATTGTCAAAGGCAGAGCATAGATCCTCAGAGGCCGAAGGCCCGAGCTTTCATTACATCTAAAAGACAGCAATTGTCAAAGGCAGAGCATAGATCCTCCGAGGCCGAAGGCCGAGGAGTTGGCGGGCCGAAGGCCCGCCGTAGGCGAGGGCCGAAGGCCCGAGCTTTCATTACATCTAAAAGGCAGAGCAATTGTCAAAGGCAGAGCATAGATCCTCAGAGGCCGAAGGCCCGAGCTTTCATTACATCTAAAAGACAGCAATTGTCAAAGGCAGAGCATAGATCCTCCGAGGCCGAAGGCCGAGGAGTTGGCGGGCCGAAGGCCCGCCGTAGGCGAGGGCCGAAGGCCCGAGCTTTCATTACATCTAAAAGGCAGAGCAATTGTCAAAGGCAGAGCATAGATCCTCCGAGGCCGAAGGCCGAGGAGTTGGCGGGCCGAAGGCCCGCCGTAGGCGAGGGCCGAAGGCCCGAGCTTTCATTACGTCTAAAAGGCAGAGCAATTGTCAAAGGTAGAGCATAGATCCTCCGAGGCCGAAGGCAGAGGAGTTGGCGGGCCGAAGGCCCGCCGTAGGCGAGGGCCGAAGGCCCGAGCTTTAATTACATCTAAAAGGCAGAGCAATTGTCAAAGGCAAAGCATTGATCCTCCGAGGCCGAAGGCCGAGGAGTTGGCGGGCCGAAGGCCCGCCGTAGGCGAGGGCCGAAGGCCCGAGCTTTCATTACATCTAAAAGGCAGAGCATTTGTCAAAGGCAGAGCATAGATCCTCCGAGGCCGAAGGCCGAGGAGTTGGCGGCTAAACTTTATGGCGAAGGCCGAAGGCCCGGAGCAACGAAAAGGCAGGGCTGAACTTTACCGGCGAGGGCCGAAGGCCCGGAGCAATGAAAAGGCAGGGCTAAACTTTATGGCGAGGGCCGAAGGCCCGGAGCAATGAAAAGGCAGGGGTAATCAAATATATTCCAGGCATCCTAACATTCTAGCAGCGCGCGAAGCGCGCCCCAAAGCCGATAGGCTTTTCAACGTGCAGAGCCCAATTTAAACCCAAAGCAAAATTAAACTGCCATTGCATACGTAAGTTACCGCCATCGCATACGTAACTACAGCTAGTTTATATCATATAACAAGTACTTGAATTTAGTTTGGTTCGAAATTCATAATTTTGATTTTTGAGCGTTTTTTTTGATTTTAAGAGAAAGAAGAAAATAAGCAAGGAATTTGAAAGGAAAATTTGTGAAGATAGTCGGATATTATTGTTAAAAATTTAAATCATACCTTTTTTCAAATTAGAAACAATCCGAACTTCAATCACGTTCTCGTATTCGCAATTCGCCATTTATGATCCGTCGTGGTTTTGTCGGGGATAGCAAAGTTACCAAAAATCAACAACGTGGCCGATCCAAATTTAACATTAACTGCAACAAAAAAATTAAAAAATTTGATATTGCTTCATTTTGCATGAATGGAAATAATAATATCAACAATGTTAAAGATAAAGCATATTTAGAAGAAATTGAGACGGCAACAATTTTAGATGAGGATGAAGATGAGGATTGCCTTTTTGCACGTCTTGTTGTGGCTAGACTTAAAAAATTTAGTCCAAAGAAACGAAGAGAAGTGAAAATTAAAATTTAAATTGAATTGTTTAATTTTAATTTAGATGCGCTCACGTATACATCATTGGTTGGATCAAGAGGAAGATAAAATTGAAATGACAACGAACGATGAGGGGAAGGAGCTCGATACGACACAGTCAAATGAAGACAATAATGATGATTTAATCCGATTATAAATTAATTTTAATTTAAGATATACTCATTTTTTCATTTTATTCACTTTAATTTAATGTTATGTCTTTTTGGAGATTGGACTTTAAATTAATTGTTTGATTAATTTTAAATATTTAATTTATAGTTTAATTTAACCAAATTTAATTCTTTTTTAGTCCGATCTCTAATTCTTTTTCCTCACTCTTTCACTACCCCAATCTTAAAGCCGGAATTTTGTGCTTTTAAAAGACATCCAGGACATGAAAGGGAAAAATTAATTAAATAATAATTAATTAACGTCATTTTACATCAATCCTTAACACATTTTAAATTTTAATTAAGTTTACATTACACAAAATTTCGTGCCTATTTTATTGCTCAACAAACACCTTGTGATTGCCATTTTATCTACACTATTCATTTTGTCTCTATTTACTCGAATTTTGTCTATATATTTGATTGTCTTTGCTTTTCCTTGATAAATTATAAAAATATAACATGGATTTTAAAATATTTTTCAGAAACATTTTCTAAAATTTTTCAAAATCTATTTTCTAATTAGAAAAAAAGTTAGGTAATGTTTTAGAAAAAAATAATTTCCTTACAATATTTTATTAATTAAAACAAAAACTTTTTCTTATTTGATTACTTTTCCACATTTTGTAATTTTATCCATCTTTTGTTTAATAATAATGTTTTTGAAGGGAAAAAGTTGGCCGTCGAGAGTTAACTAATACTTGAGTGGGAAGCAGCAAATTAAATAGGGGGTGGGGATATACAAAGAGGAAATGATGGCAACTGAATAAAAAAAAGAAGAATTTTTGTGTTGACTTTGAATGAGTTTTTGTGTTGTTTTTAATTTTCACACCAATCATCCTCCGCCTTTTTATACAAAATATGAGCAAATAATATACTTATAATCATCAGCTTCTTTAAAGACTTTTCTTGAATTGTACATATATTTTCTAGGCTTTTAAAAAATTGTTGAATTGTGTTTGAAGTGGGACGATAAAATGTTATATAAAACAAAATAATATTATATAATATTTTTTAGTTATCGCAGAATTTGTTTAGGATAACGACAAGGAAATTCATTTTAAGAAAATTTTGTTTTATTTTCAAAAATTATTTAAAAAAGTTTTTATGAAGAAATTAATGAATGAATGACTTTGAGTTAAATTATGTAATTAAAGCTTGGTATTATTTTTGTTTCTAAAAGTATGTTTACATATTTGTTTGGCAACAGATGTTTGTTGTTTTATATTTAGTATATGTACATAAATAGGAAAAATATATTTAAAAAATAATTTTTAAAGTTTTGGCCATATTTTCTTTATTTAAAAATTAAAAAAAGGATAAATGTAGGCGGAGTGTATTTATTTATTTAATACTTTCCTTCCGTCCAATCTCTTTTCTTCTTCCTCATTTTTTTTTAAATTTTAGGCATTTAATTAATTGTATAAAAAGTATTTTTTAATTAATTAATTTTTTTAAAATAAAGAAATGAAAGAAGAAAATGAGAACGGAATTAATTATTTACAAAAATGTTCTCAAAACAACTTAAATAATTCACCAAAAAATATTTCTAATAATTCAGTAGTTAATAGTACAGAATTAGAACGTTTAATTCGTTTACGTGCTGAACGTGTTCAAAGAACGCCGAAATGTGCTCGGGTATATTGAAAGAAAATTTTTTGTTTAAATTAATTTTTAGTGTCGCAATCATGGGGCTGTTTCTGTACTTAAAGGTAATTTTTAAGAAATAGCAAAAATTAAGAAATAATTTTCACTCTTTGCATTTCCTCCTCTAAAATAAAATTAAAGAGAAATTTAAAAAGGCCATAAACGAAGCTGTCCGTGGAAGGATTGTACATGTGCTAAATGTACACTTATTGCTGAACGTCAAAGAGTGATGGCTGCCCAAGTAGCTTTAAGAAGACAACAATCACAAGACGAAAAAGAAGCTGTAAAAAAGAATAGTGTGGCAAATTAACGGCAGTTTTCGCTATAACTTTTTTGATTAAATTTTCTAGAGTTCGGGTGTTTTCCTTTGCTTTCCGTGGACCAAATTTTTATTATTTAATATCAAAAAAATCCCTAGAGTGCCAGAAATTCAGGAAAAAAATAATTAAGGATTTTCATTTAAAATTAAAAAAAGTTATAGATAAAAGAAAAGCGGCCTCTAATTTACTGCACCTTGTAATTTTTCTTAAATTTAAATATTTATTTTTATTTTTTAGCAAGAATTAGGGTTAATTCTTGGTGTTGAATCTGCTTCTGAAATTCTTGAATTAATTAGACGTGCAAAGGCAGAAGCATCTTCAACAACAACAACAAAAGAATTTGACAATAATGTTTTAATAAAAGAAGGAGAAAAAGAAAAAATAAATAAAAAGTTTGGATTAAATAATGGTAAGAAAAAATATTTTTTTTTAAATTATCAGAAAATAAATGCTTATCTTATATTTAAAGGTAAATCAAAAATTTAATTATATTCACTAAATTTATTGAAAATTTTTGGACTTTTATTTCCCCTACTGTTTTTTTAATTTTTATTGTTTAAGGAAGAGAGAGAAAATGTTGGGGAGAGAAAAGGATTACTGTATAGCCACTTTCTTAAGAATTAAATTTTCTTCCTTTTTCACATTTTTGCCTTTTTAAGTACCAATTAAAAAATCAAAAAATATTATTTTTAAATATTTAAAAAGCCTTTCTTTTTTAATCTTTAAATATATTTTTTAATAAATAATCCCCAATTGACCGAGATTGGCAGTTAGTTAATATATTAGTTAAATAAATAAATAAAAATAGCAATTTGGATTAACCAAATAATTTTTTTTAATTAAAATTTTAGAGCCTGAAATCCAGAAAAAATATAACAATAATTTAACAAGACTTCAAGTAAATAAAAGAAAGAAAAAGGCAACTTTAATAAATGAAGGAGAAAATAATAAAAAGGTATTAAAAATTAAATTAAAAATTAAAAAATTTTTTTTCTTAAGGAAAAGCAACAAAATTTAACAGAACAACAGACAATTAAAGAAAGTTCATCTTCATCATCATCCTCTTCTTCAAATAATTTAAATAATCATTCAATTATTTTACCTCCTTTTCCTTTTTTTAATAATCCATTTTTTCGTTTTCCTTTCTTTTCTTCATTTCCTCTATTTAATTATTCCCCAATTTCTTCAAATTCTTCTTCTTCTATTTTATTTCAAAATGAAACAGATCAACAAAATTTTCAATTTAGAGAAGGAGAAAGTTCATCAGAAACAATACCTGCACAACAAACAGATTTTTGATTAAAAGGATTTTTTAAATAAATTTAAGGAAAAATTATTTTTTGTGGACTTGCAAAATTATTTAATTAAATACACTCTTTACATACAGTAGTGGTCAAAATGCAAATGAATTTAGACTATAACAATTAACGAACGCCATTAGCAAATTTCAAGAACTTTTGAATAGGCCTAAGATAAAATTTCAAAACAATCCATAGGGGGTCTAAAATATTTTATGAAAAACCCCCTATTTTACGTTGATTTTTGGGGTATCGATGACTCGACACTGATTTTTGTAGAAGATTAGATTAGTACTTTATTATAAAATTGATTTTTAACTGAAAAAATAGGTAGCGAATTTTCATTTCATTTATTTGTTGTCCCTATCTTTCTTGACCACTACTGTACATATATCAAAAAATTTGTTTGACCTAATAAATTAATGTGAATTCAAAAGATTTTTAATAAATATGTAGGTCAGGATTTTAACCATATTTATTTTGCTTTTTTTAAATTCCCTTTCCTTCGAAATTTTCATATATTTTCAAAATTGTCATAAAAATTTCAACATAATTCAATGATGTAAACCGAATGTTACATATAAAATATAAATCCAATTTGTAAAAGTTAAGAAAATCTACAAATTCTAATCTACTAATTGTATAATAATTTGGGAAATTTGTAAATTTATTTACCTTCAATTATGTTTATGTACATATGTACTTACCAAATATAATTAGGTGATTAATTTTTGCACTAGGCTGAGATGAGAAACCGACTTAACAACTCTACGAATAAATTTAACAAATTTAGAACACTGCTACATATTCAAAACAAAAAACAAATGCAAAAATACTTAGGAATTCGGAAAACTAATAAATTCTTGGATAAAAAAAAATAAACCACAAAACAAAACAAAAGATTTATTTACAAATTTATTTTACAAACAATTATACAGAAATGAACTACATGAAATACAAATTTGGAACAAATACAAAGGAAAACATTACAACAATTTGTGAGAGGGAATATCACTATCCTATGAGTTTTTACAGCTTGGTCCATATTATTCGTCGAACTTCTGTCCTGGCTTCGGTTTGCGGCAGAGCACGAGGAACCTGTGCACAGCGGGCCCTTCGAATCGCTCGTCCTTGCCTGCGACCACAGCCGATGCACGCTCATTGCGAATGTCAGCCTTGCCAAGTGCCTCCTTGCCATTTGGAAGAGTTAGCAGGCATGGCGAGATGTTTCCTGAATTGATGCAAAATTTATTTTTAAATTATTAAATGTAGATGCAAAACACACCTTTCACATGATCGACGTGAACAGGATAGAAGACTCGGGCGTTCTTGTCGAAGACAGCTGCATCACTCCACGGCCGCCATTGATAGTCGTAGCCACGGACACGTTCTGGGAGGTCGACCAGAACCTGAATGGAGCCGATGTTGTCGACGAAGGCCTTCCCATTCCAGCCGAATGCAGCAGCGACCTATGAAAAAAATTAAACTAGTTAAAACGGTAAAATATAATGGAGTGCTGTCACCTTGCCATTGTTGTTCCAGATCCGTCCCATTACTGGCTCACCATGCACATACCACAGGGCTACATGCTGCTCACTAGAATCTCCTGGTGCCGCACTCAACGTCTTGTCGCCTGCTCTGATCGTCTTGTAGGTTGGCCATGCGTCTCCCATCCTGATGTCTGCCCACTCATTCAGCATTATGAGTGGTGGTGGTACTGGTGGCGGAGGAGCTTTGAAGCAGATGTTGCACACGCATCCCAACGGTCCTCCTTTCAAGTTCCTACAAATTAAAATGTCAGGTAAATCAGAATGTTAAAAAGAGCAAGATCTCACCTCATTATGATCTTCATTTCCGAGAGTGGCTTCCCTACAATGCATTCCGCCTTCCCTCCCTGTGAGAAGAAGGCTTCCTCCGTCTTCATGTTCAAGTAGCCGAGCAGTGTACCACCGGTCCTCCCCTCCCAGAGAATCGGCATCGAGTCGCCGCATCGAACCAGCTGTCGTTCGTCGGTTTTCTCGAAACGGTCCTTGTATTTGATCCACTCGTACCAGTAGCCGAGCGTGTTGTGGTCACCCTTGTACTGCAGCACCTGTTAAATTTAATATTACGTATGATTTTTGTTAAAAAGATTGTCAAAATTAACTCACTTGAATCATGCCGCCGAGGTCTTCCTTTCCCGTGAGCTCCGCCTTGCCATACGGGAACGAAGCCTGTACAACGCCACCATCGTTCCATGCATAGCCGTGCACTGGCTTTCCGTTCTTGTACCAAAGCGCGACGTACATGTTCTGCTGGCCCAGCACTTTGACAGGATTGTCCGGAAATGGTGCGCCGATCGGATTGAACGCCCAAGTGTCCTCCTTCGGGGCTGGATTCGGCATTGCGTTGACGTGAAGTGACGAAGAGTAGCTGTTGGTGGTGAGGAATACAAGTTTCTGTTGACGGTGACGAATATGAAAAACGAGCTGCTTTTATAGTAAAATTCTGAGGTTGTTTATTTTGATATAATTTTACTATAAAAGCAGCTCGTTTTTCATATTCGTCACCGTCAACAGCAACTTGTATTCCTCACCACCAACAGCTACTTGGTGGTGAGGAATACAAGTTTCTGTTGACGGTGACGAATATGAAAAACGAGCTGCTTTTATAGTAAAATTCTGAGGTTGTTTATTTTGATATAATTTTACTATAAAAGCAGCTCGTTTTTCATATTCGTCACCGTCAACAGCAACTTGTATTCCTCACCACCAACAGCTACTCTTCGTCACTTCACGTCAACGCAATGCCGAATCCAGCCCCGAAGGAGGACACTTGGGCGTTCAATCCGATCGGCGCACCATTTCCGGACAATCCTGTCAAAGTGCTGGGCCAGCAGAACATGTACGTCGCGCTTTGGTACAAGAACGGAAAGCCAGTGCACGGCTATGCATGGAACGATGGTGGCGTTGTACAGGCTTCGTTCCCGTATGGCAAGGCGGAGCTCACGGGAAAGGAAGACCTCGGCGGCATGATTCAAGTGAGTTAATTTTGACAATCTTTTTAACAAAAATCATACGTAATATTAAATTTAACAGGTGCTGCAGTACAAGGGTGACCACAACACGCTCGGCTACTGGTACGAGTGGATCAAATACAAGGACCGTTTCGAGAAAACCGACGAACGACAGCTGGTTCGATGCGGCGACTCGATGCCGATTCTCTGGGAGGGGAGGACCGGTGGTACACTGCTCGGCTACTTGAACATGAAGACGGAGGAAGCCTTCTTCTCACAGGGAGGGAAGGCGGAATGCATTGTAGGGAAGCCACTCTCGGAAATGAAGATCATAATGAGGTGAGATCTTGCTCTTTTTAACATTCTGATTTACCTGACATTTTAATTTGTAGGAACTTGAAAGGAGGACCGTTGGGATGCGTGTGCAACATCTGCTTCAAAGCTCCTCCGCCACCAGTACCACCACCACTCATAATGCTGAATGAGTGGGCAGACATCAGGATGGGAGACGCATGGCCAACCTACAAGACGATCAGAGCAGGCGACAAGACGTTGAGTGCGGCACCAGGAGATTCTAGTGAGCAGCATGTAGCCCTGTGGTATGTGCATGGTGAGCCAGTAATGGGACGGATCTGGAACAACAATGGCAAGGTGACAGCACTCCATTATATTTTACCGTTTTAACTAGTTTAATTTTTTTCATAGGTCGCTGCTGCATTCGGCTGGAATGGGAAGGCCTTCGTCGACAACATCGGCTCCATTCAGGTTCTGGTCGACCTCCCAGAACGTGTCCGTGGCTACGACTATCAATGGCGGCCGTGGAGTGATGCAGCTGTCTTCGACAAGAACGCCCGAGTCTTCTATCCTGTTCACGTCGATCATGTGAAAGGTGTGTTTTGCATCTACATTTAATAATTTAAAAATAAATTTTGCATCAATTCAGGAAACATCTCGCCATGCCTGCTAACTCTTCCAAATGGCAAGGAGGCACTTGGCAAGGCTGACATTCGCAATGAGCGTGCATCGGCTGTGGTCGCAGGCAAGGACGAGCGATTCGAAGGGCCCGCTGTGCACAGGTTCCTCGTGCTCTGCCGCAAACCGAAGCCAGGACAGAAGTTCGACGAATAATATGGACCAAGCTGTAAAAACTCATAGGATAGTGATATTCCCTCTCACAAATTGTTGTAATGTTTTCCTTTGTATTTGCTCCAAATTTGTTCATTTTCTGTATAATTGTTTGTAAAATAAATTTGTAAATAAATCTTTTGTTTTGTTTTGTGGTTTATTTTTTTTTATCCAAGAATTTATTAGTTTTCCGAATTCCTAAGTATTTTTGCATTTGTTTTTTGTTTTGAATATGTAGCAGTGTTCTAAATTTGTTAAATTTATTCGTAGAGTTGTTAAGTCGGTTTCTCATCTCAGCCTAATGTCATCATTTATCCTTAGAAAATTTATTTTTGTAAAGGGTGCACAAAATTTTGCAGCCAAAAAATTCAAACACTTTCTAATTTTGATTGTCAAATTATTACTTTTGATAGAAATATGTATTCACTACCAAAAATATCAGACTTATAAGTTAAAGATTTCCCAAGTTAATATACATATATACTTAATTGAAAAATATTATCAAGTATGCATAAACTTTTCCACCACAGTGTATTCAATTTTGGCAGGTCAATTAAAAGTAAAAAGATCATTCAAATTTATATAAAGAAATATTTTTAAAAAATTAGAAACATATAATTTTAAATAAGATTACAAAGCAATAATACTTAAATTAATAACAAATATCATCACATTATTAAAACATCTGTGCGAGCATTCCAACCCCAATCTGCTTATTTAAAAAATATAAAAAAAATAAATTTGTAAAAACAAATAGCTATTTATTGGAGGGAAGGTTCGCATGATTTTAATTTTCTTTAAAATTTTATTGCCAAATTTGTCTGCTTTTTTGACAGACTTGGCACCTCGAAATTCTGTCCTTAAGTCCACCAGCTTTTAATGTTTGAGGCATTGGCTTTCGGAATTGATTTTGCTAAAAATTATGAAAAAATGTTTTCTAATTTATTTCTTCTCAAAATTACTTGTCCAACAACTGCCAACCAAAAGCCATGATTTGTGGCATAGTAATTGCAAGTGCCCTTTCCATGACATTCAATGAAAGGAACAGAATAAAATTCTTCTAAACAACTTCCAGGAGATTCAAAATTTTGACCAGTTCCTTCAGCCCCGGCGGCGGTGTGCTTTAAATTTATTTTTGTAAATTATTCGAGTTAAGTTTTGTAGAGTAAAAGAGATATGCTAACGTAAGATAAATTTCTAAAACAAAATATTTAAAAAAAACCATAGCAAAGCTATAGCCTTTCCATAAAGGTTGCCATCCAGATGGGCATTCAGGCACGTAATTATCTTGTGAATGAACAGCCATTGACTGTGTAGGACTTTCGCAAACTGAACAACGAGAAACATGCTCTCTTAAAGCTTCACCTGTCATCTTAAAAATTAAAAAAAAATTTTCAATAAATAAAATAAATTGACAGGTGTCATCATTTGATTCATTGGTTTTCCAGTTCCCAGCCAAAATGAATAATCATTACGGCTACTAAAATGGCAAATTTCCTTTAGATTGCAGAATACAAATGGCATCGTTGAAAATTTGGGTAAACACGAGCCTTAAGAATTTTTAAAGTTTTAACAAAGAAAATTTTATAATTACTCACCTGGTGTACCCAAATCTTGACCAGCAGCCCTTCCATTCCCTTGAACATACAAAAGTGAATAACCACTCCAAAGTTGTTGCATCCCATCTGGACATGATGGAACTTGTGTGCTTTGAGAATGTCTGGTTATTGTAAAGCCACGAGATGGAGCCAAGCCGCTGAAAATTAATTTTTGAATTATTTTGAACAAGATATTCAAATAATTTAAACATTTCATTTACCCAGGTGGCCCGTGATATCCTGCAGGTCCAGGTGCCCCAGGCCGGCCTTCGCGTCCAACAACTCCAGGTATGCCATTTACTCCAGCTTCACCTTTTGGTCCCAGATAACCTGGAGGTCCATGTTCTCCAACTTCTCCTTTTCGGCCTGGATAGCCAGCTGGTCCTGGTGGACCAGGAAGACCAGTAATGCCTTGCTGGCCTCTTATGCCTGATATACCAGGATGACCATATTCTCCGCGTAAACCGCGTGGTGAATGTTCTTCCTGTTTTCGGTTAAAAATTAAAAAATGTTTTTATTAATAAAACCAGGCTAAATGGTGCTTGAATTCCAGGCAAGCCAGGAAGCCCTTGATCGCCAGGCAAACCTCTAGGACCATGTAGCCCTTGAAGACCCTGCATTCCTCTTTCGCCTTTAGTTCCATCAATGCCAGGTAAGCCGTCAGGGCCTTTATCTCCTGGAAATCCGCGAATGCCCTCAGGGCCTATATCTCCCTTTAAATTAATTTTAATTAAATTTAAATTTCGTGGATTTTTAACTCTCTGTCCAGGAAATCCAGGTCCACCAGGTCCTCCTGGAAAGCCAGTTTGTCCATCCAAATTTGGCTGGCCTTTAGGTCCTGGAGAGCCTTGTGGACCGGTTAGACCAGGCAATCCATCTTGGCCTCTACGACCTAAAATTAATTTAAAAATAATGATACGTATTTACTATTAAATACATAATTTACAAAAAAATATTAAATATACACATATCACAGACTAATTACCAGGTTTTCCATCAATACCACGAAGTCCATGTTCTCCCAATATTCCATCAAGTCCAGGTTCGCCTCTCTCCCCTTGAAATCCAGGAGCCCCAGGATATCCAACTTCACCAGGCATGCCACGTGGCCCAACTTGACCAGGAGATCCATCATGGCCAGGAACGCCATCATCTCCCCTTTCTCCAATTATTCCAATCATTCCACTTCCGTCCAAGCCAGGAAGGCCAGTATCACCTGGAGGGCCTTCAGGACCAGGCAGCCCATCCTTTCCAGGTAATCCTGGAAAGCCTGGCACACCAGCCTCGCCACAATTTCCTTTAATTCCAGGTAAACCATCTAGACCAACGTCGCCGGGTGGACCAGGAATACCAATAGAGCCGGCATCGCCCTATAAATTAGGGATACATCATTGAAATTAACCTTAAATAATTAGAGCTATTATAATTTAAATTTGGAATTAATAATTGAAAATCAGAAAAAATCAGAAACTAAAATAAGCCTGAATTTTTAGTAAATAAATTTTTTGTGATCTCATAATACAGTAAAAATTTTCAATATTCTTCCAAGCTATTTTGGACTTTTCGATATTATTTTAACTTTGTAGTTTTTCTTAAAATTTATTAAAAATTTCAAACTTGGGCATTATCGGTCTTAAAAATGAAAACTTTTCATGGATTATATTTTTTAAAAATTATTAAGAAAATTTTCACTTTTATAAGAAATCCTTGAGAAATATTTTTAAATATTTTTCGATATTTTGAAAAAAAATTCGTTGATAAGTAACGACTTTTCTGTTCATGTTTCTTTTATTACAGAAATTATTAATTAATTTGTGTTTTATTTTTTTAATTCTAAAAATGGCATATATTTAAATATTTCTATTTGGTCCAAAATTTCAACCAATCATTTGATAACCTAAGGGAAATTAATGGAGAGAAGGAAAATAGTTTTGCAGAATGTGGGGACGAGTGGGGACAACTTTTGCGGTCGTGGGGACAACGAGCTGAACATTTACATAAATAAATTTTTTAAGTAATTTATAAAAATAAAATAAACTGACAGGCATTCCTATAGGTCCTGGCGGTCCATTTAATCCTGGATATCCAGCTTCTCCAGGCGGGCCTGCAAATCCTTGAGATCCAGGAATTCCTTGAAGTCCAGGTATTCCAACATCACCACGTGGACCTTTTTCTCCTTTAATACCAGGTAATCCCTTAATTAAAATAACAAAATATCTAAAATATTTTAAATATCGCATAAGGAAAATTAGTTTGGTCATTTTTATTTTTGGTTTAATTTCTTTCAAATTCAACGGTTGCAAGTTTGCAAAAAGCTATTTTGGGTTCTAACACAGTTCCGACATAGAATAATTCTACAGTTTAAGAGACAAGTTGGAATTCTGATTTGTCGAATCCGTTCAGTCCTAACTGATAACTCTAATCATAAACATAACCATGCAGGCTTTGAAAGATATTCATGTCAAATAATTAATCTTGTTAATTTAAACTTGAAAGATGAAAAATTTGAATTTTTAAAAGAAAAATTTCTTTTAAAAATTGTTTGATGCTGAAGGGGTTTGAACCCTCGACAAATTAATATTTCAATCTACAGGAAAGCTTAAACCTAACTTAAATGTACTTAACCATACTTTCCACTGGGGAATTGTTCAGTGTCCGCGGCAACCGTTTAGTTGAATGCAATAAAAGTTATGAAAAACAGGAGTAAAAATTTGCCGGATTATATAAAATATTTGTATAATTATTCATAAAAAATATACATCAATTCCATTTATTCCATCGAGTCCACGTAACCCAGCATCGCCCATATCTCCTTTAGGTCCAGGAACTCCTGGCAAGCCATCCAGTCCAGATTTTCCTACCAATCCAGACATGCCTATTTCGCCTTTTATTCCAGGCAAACCAGTGAGACCAGGAAGACCAGGTAAACCAGGTTGACCATGAATTCCTTCGAAGCCATATTCGCCAGGTTGGCCTTTGGGCCCTGGAAGGCCCTGAGAAAAAATATTAGCATATATGTAAATAAAAATAGCAAAATATTTACAGGAGAGCTCGCTCCAGGTACACCCGGTCCTCCTTTTAATCCTATTAATCCTCTTTCACCCATAGGACCAGTCATTCCATCAAGTCCAGGCACTCCATCATCTCCCATCAATCCAGATTGTCCAGGCAAGCCATTAGCACCTCTTAATCCAGCAACTCCAGGTAATCCTGCATCTCCACGATCACCAGGCATGCCGGGGATGCCATCTTTTCCAGGAAGTCCAGGATATCCTTTAAATGTTGAACTATTTTATTTTTATCTTCCTTGTATTACCATCTTCACCAGTCAACCCTTCTGGTCCTAGAAATCCATCTCTTCCTGGAAGGCCTTGAAGACCCATTGGACCATCAATTCCTGGCATTCCAAGTTCGCCACGTTCTCCATTTAGACCAGGGAAGCCAATGGATCCATCTTCACCATCCTGGCCCGGTTTACCAGGGAAGCCATCCTTGCCCTTAATACATATGTACTTATATTCAATGTTTATTTAATATTCAATAATATGTATTTATGTATATTTAGCTAATATACTTAATTATTTATTATCTAATATTTGCAACTAACAGGAATTCCAGGCAATCCAGCATCTCCAATTTCTCCTTTTTCTCCAAAACGACCAGGGATTCCAGGCTGGCCTGCTGCTCCTTTTTGACCATCTAGTCCTGGTACCCCTGGAGCACCGCGACGACCGTCTTTTCCAGGTATACCGGCAAGTCCTGTTTTAAATTTTCTCTTGAATTGAAAAATTATAACCTTGGACTAACCCTTCTCTCCTTTTTCCCCAGGCATTCCAATAATTCCTTCACGACCCGGTTCTCCTCGTCTTCCTTCTAATCCCTGAGGTCCTGGCCGACCATCAGGACCTGGTAAGCCTGATTCGCCTTTTCTTCCTGGGTAGCCCGCCAATCCTGTCAATCCATATCCGGGTTCGCCTGTGGCACCTAAATTAAATTATAGCGCAGATTCAAAACTATTATGTAGAAAAAATAAAAACCTTGCATGCCAGGCTGACCATCAGGCCCATCTTCTCCAATTCCTCCTTTTATTCCTTCCAATCCAGGCGATCCTTGACGTCCAGGCAACCCTCGAGGTCCTGGCGGTCCCGCACGTCCATTCTTTCCAGGAATTCCCTCCAATCCTCGTTCTCCAAGCATTCCAGGGATTCCTTCAGCACCAGGACGACCTTGCATGCCTGGCTGACCGGGAAAACCACGTTCGCCTTTTTCACCAGGAATTCCAGAAAGACCTTGACGTCCATGTTTTTCTGACATGTCAAATAGTTCTTCGATAATTGGTGGCATCTCCCCTGGGCTGCCTTCAAATCGAATTAAAATTTTATTGAAATAAAGAATTAATCACCTTGTAGTCCAGGCAATCCTGGCAGGCCAGCATCACCTTGCATTCCTTGAAATCCTTGTGCACCTGGTGAGCCAGGAAATGAATCTCCAGGTGGTCCAGGTGGACCGGGCAATCCTAACAGTCCATCACGGCCTCGTTTTCCAGGTATGCCGGCAACACCTTTTTCACCAGCTGGACCAATGACTCCCATCGCTCCAGGCTGCCCCGGCCATCCATCTTTGCCGGGAAGACCAACAAGTCCAGGCAGACCCGACATTCCACGCTCTCCTTTCTCTCCTGGTACACCTGGTGGATTCTCAAGAGGGCCAATAACATCACCAGCTTCGCCTTTTAGTCCGGGATAGCCAGGAAGTCCAGGTAGACCTTCAGAGCCCTATTAAATAATAAATTAATACCACATATGTATAATTATCATAATTAGGGATTGACTAATAACACTCAAGATCAGATGACCACCTTCCTTTTTGTTTAATTCTTGACCACTTTTTGACGAAAATGACAATTTTAGGCCATTTAAGAATAATTTTAAATAAAATATTTTGTTTAAAAAATATTTTTTATTCCTAAGGTAATTTTTCTAGTTTTAGGGTTCCCTTTTACTGAAATTTAGATTATAAAAGTTTAATAAGATTACAGGTAAACCCATTGGGCCAGGCAGTCCAAATTTTCCGGGCGCTCCTTTCGGTCCTTGTTGTCCAATAACTCCATTAGGACCAGGCTGCCCTCGCCAACCATCCTGCCCACGATCGCCTTGATCTCCCTTTTCGCCAGGTATTCCATCTTGACAAAATCCACAATCATCGCCACGAAATCCTGGCAATCCAGGCGGACCAGGTTTGCCAGCAAGACCAATTCGTCCATTATCGCCAGGTGAACCAGGCATTCCTGGTTGACCGATAGGGCCGACTTTGTTCACTCCAGTTCCTGGAAATCCTTTCGGGCCAGTTGGGCCAGTATGACCAACATCTCCAGGAAAACCAGGCAGTCCATCTAAGCCTGGCAAACCATCAGAGCCTAAAATAAAGTTGAAATAAAGTTACCTACTTTTTAAACAAAAATCAAAAATATTTTTTGAATTTAGCTCAGATTTTTCAAAAATAAATTTATTTTATTATATTCTATAATTTGTTTTTCACGGTCCAATAAGGCTTATTTCGGTTCTAAAATTCTTTGGAACGACAAATTTTTTTTGCAAAAAAGTTGCAATTACGAAAATTGAAAAAATTTTGAGTTACTAAAATTGCCCATAATAAGTAATTCAATTGGGTGATAATAGATTTTGTAGTATGTATTTCATAGATTTTCCTTAATCTCCGTGAACTTCAAATAATTCGGATTAAGTCAACATTAAAACAATCTAGGAAAATACTGAATATAACCTAACAAATAAGTTAATTTAAATTTGTTTTAATACCTGGCGGCCCTTGAATATCATAACCAGGCAGTCCTTGTTCACCAGGTTTTCCAACTGGACCAGGCTCTCCAGGTCTTCCCGGTTCGCCAAAATAGCCAGCAAAACCGTCAACACCTCGCTCACCCTTCTCACTAAATCCAATTTGTCCGGGCAAACCGGGCGTGCCCGGCGGTCCAGGCTCCCCTACGGGACCTCTCGAGCCGACTGCGCCCATTAGACCATTATTTCCTTAAAATAATTAATGAAGTACTTATTAAATTGTCTAGTCAACCTGGTGGGCCTCTTTCTCCTGGTATGCCGTCAGCGCCTTGAACTCCACGTGGTCCTGGCGCCCCATGTCCAACGCCGAAAGGCCCTGGTGGGCCAGCATCTCCTTCCGGGCCATGTCTTCCGGGATGACCAAGATCACCAGCACTTCCTTTCTCCCCAGGATATCCAGGCATTCTTGAATACTTAATTTATTCCAAGAATATTATTAAAACTACCCTGCCAATCCTGCCGTGCCTTTCTCTCCTTTTATGCCCATTGAGCCAAAATCCCCATCTTTGCCTTTTTTACCCTTTAATATTTATTTTAAATCCATATCTACCAAATATTTACTTACTCTATTTCCGGCATCACCAAAGTCACCTTTTTGGCCTTTAAGGCCCGGATAACCAGGAAGACCATCAAGACCGAACATTCCTGGCGGGCCAACTGGACCAACTCGACCTTTCTCCCCCTTCTCTCCAGGTTGACCAGCAAGTCCTTGCACTATTTCACTTTCCTCGGGACTTGTTAAAGAACTTGCCAAAAATCCGGGGGGTCCAGGCGGACCTGAACAATGGTATAGTAAATGAAATATTTATTAAACTATATAGACTTGCCTGGCAATCCTTGTTTGCCCTTTTCTCCTTTAAGTCCAGTTGTTCGTATTCCCATTCTACCTTTCTCTCCCGGTGGACCTTGAAAACCAGGCGGTCCATATGGACCCAAATCACCACGATAGCCTTTCAATCCAGGAGTTCCTACTTTGCCAGGATATCCTTTGAATAATTTTAAGTAAAAATAAGGAAAAAATTTGAAATCGAATTTTCGGATCTCAGTAAAATTGAGATCCTACTCACATATACAGTCGAATCTCAATTTTACATCAACTATTGGGGATAATAAATGTATGTGAAATAAATCTTATTATGTCACTTACCGGGTGTTCCAGGTATTCCAGGTTCTCCACGTGCTCCTTTTACTCCTTCAGAATTTATTCCTCCTTCTCCAGGAGGCCCTGGATATCCATAACGACCGGGTTCACCAGGAGGGCCTCGAGATCCTGCAACTCCTGTCATTCCTGGAATTCCATGTTTTCCCTGAAAAGAGAATAATTGGAATATTTTTTAACAATTTACATCTGTTCCATTACAGCCAGGTGGCCCCATTTCTCCAGGCAGGCCAGGTAATCCATCTAATCCAGGCATTCCTTCACGACCATGCGCCCCAGGCAGTCCTCTATCACCACGCAAGCCTTTAGGGCCAACATCGCCAAAATCTCCTTCAGATCCTTGCATTCCCTCCACTCCATTAGGTCCTTCTGGTCCATCAATGCCATGTGCTCCATGAAAGCCTTGTTTGCCTGGGAAACCAGGAAGGCCCTAATAATAATTTAAAAGTAGTTTCCATATTTTATTCATTTAAGCCCTTCTCTACCTGTTCTCCCTTTTGTCCAGGGCATATACAAGGAGGAGAACAACCTTGACATGCTGTAAATAATTCTACTTCTTTTATCCTTTCAATTAAAATAATTGTAGAAAAAATAAAAATTAAATAATTTTTCGTTGTTTTATTTAAAATATAATTATTAAAATATTTTTTTCTTTTCCTAATTTTCTTTAAATTATTTTTGTTTTTTATTTGGAATATTTTTGTTGTTATTCCAATACTGTTCATTTGCATTTTATATTTAATTAATTGTTTCAGACATTCTTTTTAATGTATAAAATTATTTAAAAAAATAAAACTCAAAATATTAGATTAAAATATTGAATAAATCGTTATGAATCTTGTGATTTTTTAAATAAAAATTTCCTTATAAATATTTTTAAAATAATTAAAAATTATTTTAAAAATATTAAAAGATTAGAACAAAATAGCCAGAGGATATATTTGTAGTCGAGAGGAGAGAAGAAATAAATGACTCACAAAATATAATATTAAACAGCCTGCAGACTTTTCAAAAAAAATTTGGCCATCAAAAGAAATCGAATTCTGGAAGGATTTTTGCTTTAATAGTTAGTAGAAGAGTAACATTTGCACATCAAAAAAAGAAAATGATTAGTGGCAAAGCTAAACAATCGATCTTTGGATAAATTACTAAATATTAGTAGATATTTGAAGAAAATAAAAAAAATATTTTGAAGATTTGGAGGCAAAAAATAAAAAAATTAAAAGAGAAATATTAAATTTAAAAAAAAGTGGTAGAATAATTTAATAAAAAAATCTTTAATTTAATTAAAACTTTAAAATCTCAAAATTAAGTAAAAGAATTTTACAATTAAAAAAAGTATTTTTTGATATAAATAAATCTACAATGATCTAGCAGCTGTGTGATTCCTTCTTCTATTTAAATACCTAATGCAAAATCTTTAACTATTGGATTATTTAGATATATAAAAAATTAAAAATATTTTCTATACTATTTCTAATAAAAATTAAAATTTTAACAATTTTTTAATCAAAAATAACAATAAATTTATTTATTTAAATATTTCAACAATTTATTTTAAAAATAAGACAAAGAAGAAAACGAGAAAATATTTGCTTGTTTTTGGTTTTATCTGATAAAAAATTATTTTTATGATAAATTCCAATTCATGGAAAAATTCAAAAAAATTTTCTTTTAAAAGTGCTGCTTCAGCAAAAATGAATTTTTTTATAAAAAAAGATTATACATATTTTTAATGAAAACAAAAATAGTAGTCTTTTTTATTTAAAAATTGAGAAAAAAATTATTGTTTTTTATCAATTTGTTTTTATCAAGGATGGAACCATTTACACATATAAATTAATAAAAGAAAATAATATTTTTTCTTAAAATTAAACTAACAAATAAGTGAGAGGTAGAGGAGAGGGATTGATAAATTAAAAATAAAATTAAAAAACAGGTTTTTATTTATTTATTAAATATTGTAAAGATTTAAAATAAGAATTGTTTTCTTGTTTTTTAATGAGTGACTTTTTTGTTTACAAAAAAGGGAAAATTTAAGAAAAAAGTGTAAATCTCAGAATATATTTTTTTATTTAAATATTTAAGTAAATGAGTCAAATTAATTAAAATAATATTAAATTAATAAGGTCTAATTAGAAAAGAATTTTAGTAAACAAAATAATAATTATTTTGTCGGCATTTTATTTTATGATAAAAAAGTAATAAAAAATTTGTTCGGGAAGAGAAGCACTTATTTTAAAGTATTTATTATTATTAAATAAAGTCTCGATAAATTAATTTAAATGAAGAAAGAAATAAAAAGATTTTTAGCTACGCTAAAAAGAATAAAATTTAGAAATTTATTCTCGCTCAAGCCCCTTTGGGGATATATGTGGTAGACTTTTCGGTCGAGGGTCGAGTTGCTGTCGTACTTTAGATAATTAAGAATTTATATCAAAATTGATCAACTAAGTACGTACTTACAGATATGTGTACTTGGAAGTAAGGAGGTCGATTAAAAAGTACAGTACTTCCAAAATAAGTATGGATCGCTTATACATAAATTACTAAAAAGAAAATTTTTTAAAAATATTTTCAAAAATACTTTTTCCCCATTTTTCTTTGTTTTTTTATTAAAAATAGATAGATACCGAATAACTGATAAAAATTTGGAAGCAAAAATATTATGAAAATAATTTCTCTTTAACGAAAAATTATCTCAAAAAATTGTTTTAAAAAGATAAAAAATATTTATTTATTTATGTACTTAAATATTTATTTATTAATATTAGGACATAAAAATGATTTTTTTCAAATTTCGGTTGAGTCTAATAATGAAAAAATGAAGGTTTCGCTGTAACGAGGAATCAATTGTTTAGCAAAACTTGTTTTTTTTTAATTTTTTATTAATTTTGTAACAAACATTTTAAATAAAGGAAAAATATTGATATTTAATTATTTTTTAAAGAAATAAAATTAAATAAAAATTAGTCGTTTTTAAATCACAGCTATTATAATAATAATCTGTTAATTTTTAATTGATATGAAAATATTAATTAAAAATATTTTTAATTATTTTTAGGAATATCATAAACATGAACATAAAATTAGATTATATGGAAAATGAAAATAAAAACCAATCATAGAAATTTCATATCTAGAAGGTCTTATTTAATGTTTGGCAATTTATTCATTATTATTTTTATAATTAAAATTAATATATACTTTAAATAATTAACAATTTATATCAAAATAGATCAACTAAAAATAAACTAAAAATATCAAAGTTTATATTTTTCTAATAAAAAGAAAAAAAGTTTTTCGCATTTTTTATTACCAATTTTACGATTTTTCTTTCTTAATACTACTGCAACGGATTTGCTTAAATTATATGAGTACTAGTTAAAAATTAAAATCTTTTGATATATGTACTATTTAAAGATCAACAAAATTAAATTGATCAAACTATTTATAAATAATTTGATTTTGCTGGGAAAAGTTCAAAAAATTTTAATTAATTTAAAATTTAAAGGATAATTAAATAAATAAATATGTACATGAAATTAGTAGAACTAAAAAAAGGAAATCAAAATTAATTTAAATTAAAAAAAAATTTAAAATTATTTTTGTAAATATGTATTTTATAACGCTAAAATAAAATATATTAATGTTTTACAACTGACAACAAACGAAATCTACTTAATAAAATATTTGCGAAAGCAACTCAAATATTTTTATATATTTGAGACCTAAATATAAAAAGATAATTAAATAAATATGTACACATTTACAATTCATGTGAATTATAAATGATTAAAAAGAGTAAATAAAATAAATATATTGTAAGTTTTTCTCTATATTTTTTAAATATTTTATTTGCTTCGAACTTTGTACTCTCTATCTACTACACAATCAACACCCCCCCCCCTCCTCCGTCACTCGGCCAAGAAATACTTTCTGTCCCCGCAAATTTGCCTAATGCAATTGGTGCACCAAAATGGGAAAAAAGTAGACGAACTTTGCTCTCAAAATTTATATTTAAATATATTCTTTGTGTTTGATATACAGTCGTGGAAAAAAGTATGGAAGCGCTAGAAAATTTTTTCTTAATTCTTAATTTTTCATTCAAAAAATACGTTCTATATACCAATCGAAAGCTCTATTAGTATCTCAGTTGACATGTTTCTGCATTTTTCATGAAAATGAAAATTGGCCGAGATAATCCGGATCTACCGGATATACCAAATCCCATTTTTTCGGAAAAATTTTTCGGAACAAATTTAACAAACCCAAATGATAAAGCATATTTTTCTGAGTATTTTCCACAAAACCGCTTAGAAATATCTTTTTTCGGAGCAGAGATATGATTTTTTGAAAATCGCATTTTTCCCTTAAAAATCGAATTTTTTGCAAAAAATGACCAAAAATACGATTTTCAAAAAATTATATCTCTGTTCCGGACAAAGATATTTCTAAGCGGTTTTGTGGAAAATACTCAGAAAAATATGCTTTATCATTTGGGTTTGTTAAATTTGTTCCGAAAAATTTTTCCGAAAAAATGGGATTTGGTATATCCGGTAGATCCGGATTATCTCGGCCAATTTTCATTTTCATGAAAAATGCAGAAACATGTCAACTGAGATATGAATAGAGCTTTCGATTGGTATATAGAACGTATTTTTTGAATGAAAAATTAAGAATTAAGAAAAAATTTTCTAGCGCTTCCATACTTTTTTCCACGACTGTAGGTAAAGAAAAATAAATTATTTTACTAATTTTGAACAGCGTTTGGTTTGCTTGTACCAGAATTCGTACTTGTACCTGTGTACGAGTACAAGAAAAAAATAAGTCAGGTACGAGTATGAGTAATGAGCAAATCATCTTGTACCTCCCATAATTTGTCATTATTTTTTTGATAGAAATGTCAAAAGAATTAAATTACTTTCAGTTTTCTTATGAAAGAAGTTTGGTTTGAAAATTAAGGAATGAGTAAGTTGATAGGCTTTGCTCAATTTGATTGTGGTATAGAGTTAAGCTCGAATCTAAAATTGGGAATGAGGTTTCCTCCCAAAAATATAGGATTGAAACTTGTTCTAATTTATTTTTAAATATTATCAAAAATCGTGAAAAAATAATTTAAAAATTTAAATTTACTCCAAAAATTTCAAATTATAAATCTTCATGTTCTTTTTGTTGCCAATCATCACTTTCTCTAATTAATACCCAACCTTCATTTCCAACTTTAGCCAATACTTTCCCTTCACCTTCCTCTTCTATTTTTTCATTAAATAATAAAAGTTCAGCTTCTGCTTTCCAAAGTCCAGACAATATTGGGTGGGCTAAAGGGTCCTCTAAGGGTAACCAACCATCAAGGGCCTATTTCAATTGTCCACAGATTCTGCATTCTGTGCACAGAACACAGATTCTGTGGAAATTCTGTTTCAATTAAATTCTGTGTGCACAGAATCTGTGGTGCCCGCAGATTCTGCGGAAACATCCAATGATTCTGTGGAAACATTCCGCAGATTCTGTGGATGAAAATTTCTGTGGAAAATATAAAAATCTGTGGATTTTTTCCACTGATCCACAGAATTTGTATTTCAATTATTTTTCTGTGGTTCTGTGTATTTTTTCTTCTAAATTCAAATTTTTTATTTCCGCGTTTTTGAAAATAACAGTTTTATTGAAACGAAAAATGGTTTGGACAGTTCGGTACTACCGCAGTATTAATGGTACCTGATTTTTTGAAGTAAAACTTTAAAAATTCTTAAATTAAACTGAAAAATATTGTAAAGATTTAAAAATTTTCCCTCCAAATCACATAACATCCCTTTAAATCTCTTTGATATCACTTTAAAACCGCTGATATACCGCTTAATTTTCTTGTTCATCCAATATCCTTAAATCTCCAATTAAATTAATGTCCTAAAGCAGGGTTCGGATCGGAAAAATCAGGAGATGTCGATCCGACATGTGGCTTTTTCAAACTACGATAGAAGTTGTTGCAAGGGAGGGAAATGTTTGGGGATTGTTTAGTCAGAAATTGAGGTTCCTGGAAATCGAAAATGCCTGGAATCCAAAATTATAGTCAAATCGGAACTTTAAAATCGTAGAGGAGTGATTAAGTGGGATATCCATTGATTTTGAGGTTTAATATATTGGAGTGATTAAGGAGGAAATCTATCATTAAATAGGAGGAGAGATTATGACGGATATCAATGAGAGATCATGGGAGATATCCCAGTATACGCTATACAGATATATTCTATAGATCCTGGTAAACATCCCCTCATTAGAGATATCCATGATGATTAGAACATCATAGCTCTAAATTTCAGAATCTCTCACGTTTTTTATTTTTTTATTGCTTGAATATAACAAAAACTGCGTAAAAAAGATGTACCTTTTTCAAAATTAATTTTAAGCAATAATTTTAGGTAATAAAATTATAATTTTTATATCAAAAAATAGAGAATGATTCAAACTTTAATAATCTTTAAAAATTTTGAAATTTGGTTAAGCCTAGGCCTAGAAAAAAATTGTTAAAGTTTTTCCACAGAAAGTTCGCAGAAAAAATTTTAGGGTGGATTTTTTAAAGAATTCTGTGTATTTTCCGCAGACCACAGAAATAATTGAAACAGAAATGCACAGAATCGACTAAAAAAGCCACAGATCTGTGGATTTTTTTCTGTGCACAGAAAAATAATTGAAATAGAATTCTGTGGTTTTTGCATGTTTTTGGATGTTTTGCAGAATCTGTGGATAAATAAAAATTAGGAACATTATTTTTAATAAAAATATTTTGAAAATACATGTAAGTGAAAATAAAATCTGATGATTATTTTTAAAAAAATAACAAAAAAATATTTTTAATTATTAAAGTAAATGTCAATTATGTATTTTAAATTGATAAAAATTAATTATTTTATAAAAATAATTATTTTAGAAGGAAATTAAAAATATTTTTATGTTAAAATTTAAAAAAACTTTTTTATTTTTTTAAATATAAAATATATAAATATTCAAAGCAAACCGGGAATTTTAAAATTAAATTAAAATAAAAATTAAAAATTCGTTAAATTATTTTTTTGGAATGAAAGAAATTTTGCAGACTATTTTTTGTATTCGAAATAAACACCGGGAAAGTGAAGAAAAAAGAAGAAAAAAGTGAATTGAAAAAGCGAAAATGGAAATTAAAATTCTAAAAAAAAAGAAAATAAACCCGTCTAGGTTGATATTAATTAATTAATTAATTCTATATATTATCATCATTCTCTAATTTATTTAAATTTATTTTCAAATACATAACCATGAGAAGTACCCTAAAAAATTAAAAATTTTAAAAGAGAATTAAAATTTAAATAAAATCGGTCCCCAACAATTTAACAAATTAATGAAATTTTTAACTAAAATCTTCAATTAATTCCCAAAATTCCCCCCCTTTTTCCTTTTTTTTAATTAATTTTTAATTTAAATTTAAAAATACCAACAGTTATTTTTGCAGCTAAAGTTTTTGTATGCCAAACTAAAATTTCTTTAGGTTCTTCATTCCAACCAAAAACTTCAACTTTCTCACGAGGAATGTTAAATTGAGAAAGAAAACATGATTCTGGAGCTCCTTTAATGCATCCCTCGTGGAAGCTTGCATTGCCAGCCAAAATTAAGTTTAAACTAAAAAAATTTAAATAAATTTAATTAAAAGTACTCTCAATTTCCCCAAAAATAATTTTCAAAATTATTTTCAACTTACTTTATAGCAAATCCAGCCATATCAACAGCAAAACGTCTTGAAGGTGCGTAAATAACATCCCAACCAATTAATGTTCCATTTTTATTTACTCTTGGGGCTTCTACTTTTGCACCACCAGCCAAAGCTTTAAATTAAAAAAGAATATTTTTTTATTCAAAAATATATTTCTTTACCAACAGCCCATACTCCAATTGTTTTTACTTTTTTAATATAATTATTAAATAATCTAATGTCATAAGTATTATCATCATCAGCAAAATAAACAACCTGAAAATTTAAAAAAATAATAAAAAGTTGTGTATTATTTAAATATAATTTTATTTAATCTAGTTTATAAGGACTTTCTACTAGGATTGTTCCCCGGGTACTTTATGGATATGTCACCCCCCTCCTATTTTGAGTCCCAGAGTTTTCCTTAAACGTAGAAAATGGTCAGAGATTATTTTCTTCTCCATGTCAATCATTTTTCTTTCTTCAAGCAAAATAAATGAAATGTGGTAAATGTTGAAACAAAATGAGTGAAATGTAAGTACAAAATATGTGAAAAGGCAAAATAAACATGCAAAATACTTGAAGAAGAAAAAAATGATGACATGGAGAAGAAAATAATCTCTGACCATTTTCTACGTTTAAGGAAAATTCTGAGACTCAAAATAGGAGGGGGGTGACATATCCATAAAGTACCGTTCCCCGTCCTCGAAAGTCGGGGAATTTGAGTTTTTTGAAAATTCCCCGAACCCTCCCCCCCCTGGCGTTGCCTCCCCGAAAAGTTATCCCCGTGCTCCCCCCTCCCAACAGCATACTTTCTACTAAATTAAATTTAAATCTTTATAAAGGCAAATAACAAAAATATTTATTACTCAGCACTTATTATCCAATTAACTTTCGAAATAAAAATAGAAAGTAAAGAAGAAGATTACAATTAATTATAGAAATTTAAATTAAAAAACTAACAGCATTTTTGTTATAATTTTTATAATTTTTCCTAACATATTCTAAAGCAACATTTCTGTGTGTCCACCCACGAAGGGGAAATCCAGGTTTTGTTGTTGTATAAAAATATGTGTAAGGAATTTTAGAACGTTGTAAAATTTTTTCAACAGCTGGAGAAGTATGGTTAGCGTCTTCTACAACAACCCTTAAAAATGAAAATTTTAAAAAATAATTTTTAATAGAAGAATAAATTATTTACCAATGTAAATTCTGTATATGCATAAGTGTTTGGGAAAGTCTAGAAAATAAATTTATAAATTATTTTTAATAAAAAAAAAGAATTAAATAAGAGTCAATTTAAATTAGACTACCTACTTTAAATGCTCAAATAATTAGCCTGGATAATTATCTTTCCAACCTATGGCTGAGAGGATAATTATTTTAGAAAAGTTAATTATTCGAGTAAATATGGTATACTAAAGATTTTTAATACATTCAAATAATACAAAATCAAAACCCCAAAAAAATATTATAAAGGATATACATATTACAATTGCCCCCTCTAACCTAGTCATATCAGCAAGCCTTTCATGTCTCTTATATGTTGGAGTAATTAAAATAACAGTAGTTCTTTGTTTAATTTGTTCATTCCAAATATAAACTCTCCAAATAGCAAACAATAAAATAATTGTAAGTAAAAAAGAAAATAATTTTGAATTAAATAAACGATTTAAAGGCCAACGTCTCAATAAATATTTTCCATTAATTTTAGAAAATTTTAATTTTGAAGGAGAACATCTCCGATTATTTAATTGTTTTTGGTGGGGAATTAATAAATTTGTTGAATTTGGAGAAGTTAAAGAAGAAGAAAATAATTTTAAATTTGGGGGGATTGGGGAAAGTGAACCAGAAGAACAAGAATCCCCTCCACCAGAATCTGTTGACCCGTCATTTGAGAAACGTCTACATTTGTTATTAAACATTTTTTGGAGAGAATTGAAGAGATTTTTATTTAATTTCTAAAAAAAATTTAAATAAAGTTTTTCTTTTTATATAAATTAAATCGAGTAAATAATGTGGAAAAAATATGATAATAATAAATATGTGGATTTAAAAATCACTAAACTCTATTGTATAAGACAAATTTTTGTTGGTTAAAGATTGTTTAAAAATAAAAAAAGTTTTTTTATTATTTTTTTAATAAAATAATTTTAAACAAAAGGAGTTTAAATAAATTTTGTTTTTTATTATTAAAAAATATTTATTTAATAAAAAAAGATTAAAGTTATAAAAAGTAAAGATTAATTTATTAAAAAGCAAAATAAATTCAGATTACTAAAAAATTAATTAATTAATCATTATAGAAGTATGTTCCTTTTTTGAAATATTTTTTAAAATAATTTAATGAAACATATTTTTTAATAACCAAGGTATGTAACCAAAACTTTATTTTTAGAAATAAATTTTTTTTAAAAAACTGTAGAGAGGAACTTATTTATTTAAATATATTTTACATAATTATTTTTTAGTCTTTTTAATAAAAAAAATATTTAAAAATTGTTTATTTTCAAAATATTAGCAAGAAATAAATTTTAATTTTTAAAAAAATAAAATGAATCAGATGTTGAAATCTTAAAAATACTTTAAATAAAAAATTAAATTAAGGGAAGTTAAATAAAAAATATATTTAACAATGTATTAATATATATTTATTAAAATTCTAAACTTTAAAAACTCTTAAATATCAAAAAGTCTGTTTGGATTATCCAAAATTTCTTTTGTTGACTTTGATAAGAGGATTATTTGATTAAAAAATATTTTAAAAAAATGATGTATGTATATATTTAATTTTGATTTACTAAAAAATAAAAGTTTTTATTTTAAAAAGAAAGAAAAAAGAAAAATATTTTTAAAAAAAATAATCGAAAGACGATCAAGTTTTTTGAAAAAAAAAGAAAAAAATATTTTTGTGTGCAGACAGAAAAATAAATGTTCCAAGTAATTTGGCCCTCCGATTGACCTGTTACACTCAAATAAATAAATATTTTTTTACTTAAAAATTATGAAACGTTGAAGAAGAAAAGAAAATCATAAGAAAATTGGAAAAAGAAATGAAAAAGAAATTAGAAAAATTTTTTAAATCGAAAAATAATTAGAAAAAATTATTTTTTTTTAATTTAAGTACCTAAATATTGTTTTAATTTTAAAAAATAATTTTTAAATTTATTTAGGCATTTTGAGTTTAAATAATTTAAAGTTCATAAAACAAAGGGGGATTATTGTTAGCTTTATTTTAATTAAAAAATTTTTTTAAACTTCAAAGAAAATAAATATAAATTAACCTAAATTTATTTAAAATAACTGTATATCTATTTAAAAAAAGAAAAGGAATGTGTCAATGCATTGCACTAATATTTGCGCAAGTATTTTTTATTAAACTTTTTTTAAACCGAATATAAAACTAAAATTAAAAGAAGAATGTTAAAATGGGTCGAGAAAAGAATTGGGCGTTAATTTATGTAATTAAAATATAATTATTTTTAAAATAAAATAATTATTTAAAGGAAAGGCATTAAAGTTTTTTAAATTAATTTTTTAAAATTAAAATAAATGCTTATTTAAAATATAAAATAATTTAATAAAAAAAATTTTTTTTCAAGCCAAAAATAAATTTAAAAACGTGGATTGATACCTATACATTAAAAATTAAATTTTAATTAAATTACGTACATATATAAATTGCAATAATCTCTATCTCTATTCTAAAAAGAGAAGGGAGAGCAAAAAAAGAGAAAATCATTTATTTAAATAAAAGCAAATATACCCAATTAGTATATCTCTAAGCTGCCTTTTTTATTTAAAAAATCATTTATTGACTGAACAAATAAAAAAAAGCTTGGCCAGCTTTTTCTATTTTAACTCTTTACTCTTTTTACTTGAGAAAGAGAATTTCTAGTTTTTATAAAACATTAAAGTTTTCTTTTTCTTTGAGAAAAAATAAAAAGAGAAAATAAATACCGTATTTTCTCGATTAATTCCCCTCCCTCGAATAATTCCCCCTCTCGATTAATTCCCCCTGCCAGAGAAAGGTTGAAACAATAATTCCCCTCCCTCGAATAATTCCCCTCCCTTAAAACTCAAATAATTCCCCTCTCTCAAAAGAATTACACAATTTTATTTTTCCTTCACCTTTTTCCCTCTCCTAAAGAGTAGACATGGATCAAAGTATGTAGTAGTATTTAACAGCTGAAATATCAAGGTATAGGATTTAAGGATAACGGAGTATTAGAGGATAGCAATAGATTTGAACGTAATCAGGAAATATCAGAGGATTGAAGGGATATCAGGAGATATATTCGAAGGAGACGAAATTTAATTCAAATAATGGGATAGTACAAAAAATAATATATAAAGCAGGTAAGTTTATTTGGTTCCATACGTGGTGATATAATATATATCCCTCAGTATCGTATCATACAATGACCCCTCATGTGGTACTATAGTCCTAATACACACATTTTCGAGTACATAAAGAACTTAGTAACCACATGCAAGTTATATGGATCCATGATGGGGAATATAATGAAATAGTGATAAATAAATTAAGAAAACAGAACGCAAAACTTGATACTTTTTTAAATTCAGGAATGGGTTGAAACAATAATTCCCCTCCCTCGAATAATTCCCCTCCCTCGATTAATTCCCCCTGCTAGAGATAGGTTGAAAAAATAATTCCCCAGGGGAATTAATCGAGAAAATACGGTATTGTTAAAGTATTTAATATTTCTGGAAAAATAAAAAAATGTTTGCGCAAAAATTTTCTTTCAAATATTATTCTTAAAAATTAATTTTTAAAAAAATTTAGAAGGCTTTTTGAGGAGGAAAAATTAGGTGGAAATAATCACAACTATTAAATCAAAATTTTAAAAATAAAAAAATAATAACCGTTAAATTATATTTTTGTTGGAGACCTGGAAAAAAAGAAATTAACCAAAAATTTCTATCCTCCGGAAAATAAAAGATAAAAAGATTTCTTTTGTTTTGTGAAAACAAAAAAAAATATTTTTATTTTCACAAGAATTTAACTCTACCTCCTCTCTCCCCTCTCATTTATTTTTTTAAATATCCAGATAATAATGCATTTTAAATTCTTCAAATATATCCATGACATTTTTATTTTAAAATTAAAAAAAAGAAAAAGAGAATTTTGAAATTAAAAAAATCATTGAAAGTAAATTAAAAAAAATTTTTTTATTTGTTTTATTTTATACGATTTTAGACAATTCATTTTTAAAATGATTTTAGAGAAATTAAAAAAAAATTTTAAAATTTAACTTTGCATAATTGACTGTGAAAGGAATTAATTTTAGAAAGTTGTTAAATCTTTTATTTCTAATTTTAAAAAAATTATTAGATTTTTTCTTTAATGGAATTGAAGAAATTTTCAAATATTTCTGGAAAATACTTTGGAAAAATTAATTTAGAAATTAATTTCTAGTAAAATTAACTATTTTTTTAAAATTTTTATTAAATGTATAAAATAAAAATTATTTTTTTAAATAATATTATTTTATCTTTTATAAAATGATCTTTGCTTCAAAAATATAAAAATATCTTGTAAAAGTGAAAAATAAAAATTTCTATTTTTTCCTGCTTAATTTGTAAATTCCAGATTTAAATAACAAATAAATAAATTAAATTAAATTTTTTTTAAAAATAAAAATAATTCTGAGGAAATTACAAAAATTTAAATCAAAAAATAAAAAAAATGTAAAAAGGTATGTATTTATTATTATTTATTATTCCCTCGAGGCGAGAAAAGAAAGGAAGTAATTAGTTTGTCTATTATATATATAAATTGTAAAAAGAGAATGAGTGAGAGAGATAACGGAAATATGTAATGTACATAAATTTATGAGAAAATAAATAAATATTTATTTATTTAAAAAATTTTTTTTAAATATTTAAAAAATTTAAAAATTAAAATTTGAAGGTAAATAAAAAATTTTTTTAAATAAAAGAATATATTAAAAGTTGTATAAAAAGGATATATATTCTTTATCTTAAAATGTTAAATACAAGGTATAAAAATTGGGAAGACCTAAAAATAAAAATAACTGACAAGAAAAAGATTAAATTTAAATAAATTTAAAATTATTTTTTATATAATTTAATAAAAATATAAAGGCAAAATTAAATATTTTCTAAAAAAATTTTTTTGAAATTACATAAAGAAATGAAAAATAACAATGGTTTTTCTCCCTACAACCCCGAATTTGTGCCGAAACAATAAAAAGAATGAAAGATACATACTATGACTGGGATGTGATTGGACTTATTAGGAGGTGGTGGGGGGGGGGGTGTCAGAATTATTTAAACCTTTTTTTATTAAAATAATTTTCAAACATTTTGAAGAATGTGATAAAACATTCAAAAAATTAAAAAAAAATTTAAACATTAGTGGAAGGTAAAAAAATAAGAGATACTCAATATTCTACCCAATGGGGTTTCTCATTACAAAATAAAAAAAAGTTTTTTAGTTTTTATTTCTAAAAATAATTTAAAATAAAAATTTACTCGCAAAAGAGAATTAAATATAGAAATATAGAAATAAACATTTGATCTTTCTATTAATAATTTAAAAATATATAGAAATGTGGCATTTATTTAGTATTTTAGATTTGTATAAACATATTTTTATTTAAATTATTTACCTCTCTCCATAAAATATTAAATATTTCTAAAACAAAATCTACCATAAAAACTAAAAAAATTATTGACGTAAATTAAATTTTAAAAAATTAAAATAGTAAGTAATTTATTTTATTAAACATTTAAATTTAAATTTGCTAAAAATAATTAAAAAAATATTTTTTTGCTGAAAAAATTAATTGGATTGAAGATAATATTAAAATAAAATAAAATATTATTTTTGATTTAAAGTTTTTATTTATAAATATTTTTTAAAATTAAAAAAATATCAAAAAATATTTAAGCATTTTTAGAAATTAAATAAATAAATTTATTTTTAGATTAATCCTCACTTTAATTTCTCCTTCCTTTAATTGGCCATTACATTCCTTTCTTTGTTTTCGATTAATTAAATAATCCCTACCTATTTTTATTTGATTTACCTTTAAATTCTTTTTTTTCATTTAATGTTTATGTCACTGATTTACTTTAAATATATTAAAGGAAAAGAAGGAAAAGTTTAAAAAACTAAACAGTTGTCTCTCTCTTTCCCCATTTTTACCTAACAATAAATATATTTAATAATAACAATAACCACACAAAATGGTAATTATCATACTTTCTTCTATCGTTTCTATAGCCTACATGCCTACTTCTAGATTCCCGGATAACCAAATGTAAATTAAATTTATTTATTACAAAATAGAATAAATTTTTAAGGACAATAGGGGAATTTAGAAATTAAATTCCAAAATCCTTCCCTTTCTATAAAAACAAAATATAACAGGTTTCTGTGGACACAGTTTAAAGAAATTAATAAATAATTTTATATTTGGTATGTAATAAAATATCGAAAAATATATAAATAAAAAAAGTACATCAAAAAATAAAAGGAAATAAACTTTGGAGAAAAAAAATTGCGCAAATAAACGGGTTTAATAAATAAAAATAAAATAAAATATTATTATTTTAATTTATAAAAAAAATAAGAAAAAAAATTTATTTATTAAAATTTTGTCTCAAAAAATTTTACAAAATTTTAACTTGTATTTTTTAATTTTGGGGCCTTAATAAATAAACTAGAGGGGAAATTAATTTAACAAAGAAAAATTTTACTTTATGGAGGTATGACTAAATGACCTACGGTTTTTGGATATTTGGAAATTTGTATATTTGGTGATACCTCCCATAAGTAAAATTTTATCAAAAAATTTTTTATTAAATAAAAATATTTAATAAAATATAATGATTGGATTTCTTAATTTAAATAATTAATTGAGTATTTATTACATTTTTGGAATTTAAAAATGTATGTTTAGAAGTTGGACTAATTTTAAAATTATTTAATTACTAAGAAATGGTATTTTATATTTAAATTTTAATAAATTTTAAAATTATAATATACATTTAATAGCTTAAAAAATAAAAATAAATAAATAAATTGATGTAAATAGGTAGATAAATATTTTAAAAATAATTTAATTAATAAAAAAATATTTAATTTTTAATTGTTTATTTGTTGCCATTGTTTGTATGATTATTTAAATATTCTTTTATTCTTTGTTCGAAAACTTTTATATATCCAATTAAAAATTATTTTAAGCAAAAAATAATAATAATTTGTGAAAAATATTTTTTAAAAAAAGGTATTAAAATAGTTGCACTGTGCAAACAAAAATATTTTTTTAATATAGATAGAACTAAATACTCAATAATCAACCCTGCCAACACTTCTCCCTCTATTAATTACTCTCTGTTTAACCTCCCAAATAATTAATCCGTTAATTGGCATCACACATAAAAAATATTTTTATAATAAATGACTCTAATTTGGTTATATTTCCGATTTAGAGGACATAGTTTATACTCTCTGTTTACATATTATAAGAGATATACATACTTAAATAGTAGTACTAAACATGGAACTAAAATTAAAAATATACCCAGAAAATAATTATTTGAGAATTTCAGAATAAGTTTTTCTAATTAAAATTAAATCGTTTTAAAAATAAATATTATTTTTTGCAATAATAGATAAATTTTTAATTGATTGTTATTTTATATATAGAAAAAAAATTTAAAAAAAAACTTTTTATTCTTTGTGTTTTTATTTGTTTAATAAAATATTATTTTTAAAAATATAAATTCAAAAAATAAAAAACTTTGCTAAAATTTTGCAAATAGGTAGGTGGTAAATTGCTCGTCTCTATCTTAAAAATGTTTAATATACATATTTTAATATACATATTAAATAAATTTTGAGCTAACAAAGAATTAAAATTAATTTTAAAATTTAAAAAATAAATAGAAAAATTAATATTGACAAACAAAAATTAAATAAATATATTAAAAAAATAAATTTAAAAATTATTTTAAATGAGAAATTTATTTTTGTAAAATATTTTGCAGCAAATCGAAATAAATTTTATTAAATTCGTTTAAATTATTCTGTCCATTAAATGGCCTAGCATTTTTAAATTATTTTAGAAGGAATTTTATTTTAAAATTAAATAAATATATTTATTTTTGGGATGATTAGTATTTTCTTTTGAATTTTTAATTTAAGATTTTTAATCCTTAAACGATGACAAAATTTTTTGAAAAAGTGAATAAATTAAAAATAAAAGAGTATTTTTTAAAAATATTTTATTTTTGGATTTGTTAAATTAAATTTCGAGTCATTAATTTAATTAATTGAATAATATTTATTTAAAAATTAAGAAGAAAAGAACAAAATTAATTATTATTATTAAATCTATAAAAAATTAATTAATTTAAATTTTCTAAAAAAGTTTTTTTAATTTTTTTATTAAATACTCCTCCATTCTTTCTAAATAATCGGTCAATTGCCAACAAAGTCATAATTGAGAATTGAATAATTAAAAGAAAAATAAGTGAAAATATAATTAACCAAAATGTTGAATTTGATAAACAAATCTTTTTTTAATTAAAAATTAATTTTTAAAATTACTAAAATTAACCTCTAATTTTTCGTTTTGTTTTTTAAATTCAATATTAGAAGATTTTAATAATTTCTCGTTATTTGGAAATTCTTTAAAATAAAAATTATTTTTAGAAAAAAATATTTTTAAAAGAAAAACCATTTCTTTCAATTTTTGAATAAATTCTTCTTTTATTTTTATTATTTATTTTAACTAATTTTACATTGTTACTTTCATTATTTTTTCTTTCTTTATTTAAAGGCAAAAGTAAATCATAATCGGGAATTAAATTATTAATTAAAGTTGTTGTTGAAGGTAATAATAAATTATTTGTTTTTCTTTCAGAATTTTTAGAAAGAATATTTTTATTTAAAAATTTTGTTGAGGAAGAAGTTCTGTTTTGGTCAACTAAACAAATTTTTAATTAATTAAAAATTATTTTTATTTAATTAAAATATCACCAAAATATTGAATATCATCAGAATTATCTAATACACGAATTAACCCAACAACATCTAATAATTCTTGAACACCCTCTTCTCTATTATTTGTTTTTCTTTTACTTCTTTTATTTAAATATTTCCCGAATCCATTAATTATTTGAAATGAAGATAATGAACGTTTTTGTCGATATGGACTATTAGAAATAATTTTTTAGAAATATTTTTTTTAATTAAATTTACCTAATATTTGTTGGTTGTTCTGTTTTTCCCGAAACAATTTGTGTCCCACTTAATGCCGAAATTGGCCTTCCTGGGCCATATGGCCGAATTGATGGAGGACCTACAGGTTGGTCAGCGGCAGCCCATGATGTATTTGGAGATTTTTGCGTTGTTGTTGTTGTTGATGGAGATGAATATCTTTCTCCTCCTCCTCCCTCTCCTTTCGTATAAAAATGTGTAACAATATTATTACCTCCCCCTCCACTTCCACTAACCTAAAAATTATTTTTAAAATAATTTTTAATTATTTTTTCTTTCAAACCAAAGTAATATCTTGAGGGATATTTAAAGCATCTCGCCCTATTGAGGGAGGGCCAACTCTTTCTGATCTTTCGGATGGTACTGGAAAAGCAGATGGACGTTGTAAAATTTGTTCAACTGTTGGAGAGAGTGAGGGAGGCGAACCAAGACCCAATACAGCCGCAGATCCACTTGCTGGAGAGGATTGTGGAGCTGGAGAGGAAGGGCCAGTTCCTGGGGCAAGTGGACTATCCGAGTCTTCTAAAGGGTCTTCAATGCTTGGACAGGTTGTTGGTGGCTATTTTGAATAAAATTTTAAAAAATAATTTCAAAAATAAAAATTAACAGTTGTAGAAGAACATCCTCTTCCTCTATTTTTAACGCAAAGACGAAGTTGACATCTAAAACGAGTCATTGACTTATCAACAAATTTAAATACACTAGATTGCTAAAAAATAATTTTAAAACATTCTAATGTTAAATTATATTTACTAAAAATGCTGTATGTAAATCACTGCTATATTGGGGAGTTTTAAATAAATATTGATCAACACCGCAACTAAATAAAAAAATTTTTTTAAATTTCTTTTTACATCCTTTACCCATTCTGATCAATTATTAAAATTTTATCTCCTTGTAAATCCTCTACATGACAATTCTGAACTAAAATCCCAACATTTTCACTACTACATTGCCAAACATGAAAAACTGTTTCTCCTACAACAGCTGCATGTACCTAAGTATATAAACATTTAGAATATTTTCTTAGAAAATCAACTTCAGGTCCATCAACAGTTCCTTTACGTATAGAATATGAACAATGAGGATTTGATGCCTCGTCGAATTGTGGATCCTACATATTTTTTAATTTATTAATAATTTCTTTGATAAATATACAGCCTTTTTTGGCAAATAATTTTTATATTTAATTAAACTTACCAATTCATTTGGAGTCATTTCACTAATGGCAATGTTCTTAAATTTTATTAATAATTTATAATTTAAAAAATAATTTAAAACTCTTTCTAAATCATCAACTAAATTAGCTTCCATATAAACACATTGAGCACAATAAGAACGATCAGAATCTGTCACAAAAAGTGGATGAATCTAATTTAAATTTTTAAATAAATATTTAAATTAAATTTTAATTTGCCTGAACTGATAAACAAATTCTATACATTGTCCCAGAAGGATTGTCCTTTAAAAAATAATTTTTTTTTAAACTTAATTTTTATTAAAAAACAGACAATATGTTCTGTAGTCATTCCACATTCCCCGTGATTAAATATAATTTTATTTTGATTTCTAGTCATACATTTTGTTGTATCGTGAAAATCTTCGGCATAAATGTGGGAGGGATTGGCACTTGATGTTCGAATCGAAAACAAAATTTAAATTTTAAAATAAAATTATTTTTAAAATTTAATTTCATACTTTAATAGAAATACTTTCATGTTCACAATTAACAATTGGGGTATCAATAATTTCATTTGGATATTTTGCATTAATTAAATTGTTAATAATTAATATAATGAAAAAATAAAAAATAATTTTTTGTTGATTTTTAAACATAATTTTTGGAAATATAATTTTATGTAAAAGAAAATTATTTTAGAATTAATTTAGTGAAATGTTGCAAAAATATTATTTTATTTATTTAAAAGACAATTTTCTCATTCCTTTTAAAAGCTAAAAAATATTTTTAGAAAAGTGAAAAAAAACAATTAGAAGATTTTCTATTTAATAATAATTTTGTTTTTAAGGACTATTTTCTTTTTCCTTTTTTGTTCAGCCAAAAATGAACTAATCAAGGAAAAACAATATGTATAATTTATAAATTATTTAATGGACTTTAAAAGAATCTTGCGTGATTGGCTGATTTTGAATAAATTAAATAAATATATTAAAGCTAAACAGAATATTAAGAGGGTCATTTAAGGTGAAAACATTTATAGAAATTTTACAGACCGGACCTTGGAAATTCTCTTTAATTATTCCTTTAAAATGAGAGCCGTTTTTTCTCAAGTATTTATTCTGTTCATTCAATTCTCTTTATTAATGGCGTAAAAAATAGATTTTAATAAATTACAAAAAGCAAAAGGGCATTTAATAATATTTGTAGATATAGTACTTGACAATAAACGTTTTGCCGTTAAGTATTTCTCCACAAAAATGTCAATGCCAACTTTTAAGAATTAAATTTTAAATTGACTTTCCATTAATAATATGCATAAAAATTAATTTTTAAACATTTGAAAAAGTAACTTTAAACGAAACAAAAAAAAAATAACTCAATTTTATAATTTCAAAAAAAAAAACAAATACATACATATAAAATCCATATACGATATACATAGATAGGTGTGGATATGTTATAGATACACCATGTTTTTTGGATTTATATAATCAGTACTAATATTACAATAAATTTTTTCTTTATTTGAATTCATCCCCAATTTATGTTTCTCATTTAGACTACAATTGCACGTGACATCTTCCTAGAACGAGCAAGTACATGCATTCGCATGTGTTTCACAAGCGCTGGATTCTTCAGATCCGTTTTGCTGCCATACATTGAGAGAGCAATCCTGTGAAGGTCAGAACAATACTTAGGCATCCTCTAAAATAAAGAAAAAAATTTTCTTAATTAAACGGAAATATGTATTTACATCTTGCAACGTCCACATATTAATGATCATCGTACTAGAGGTTATTATGCACCACAACGAGAACACCATGAAGACGAGCAAAGCCTCTCGTTTACTAAAGCCCGAGAGCAGATCGGTTGTCACTTGCTGAAGAAGAGGCAATTTGTCCAGCGCTTTGTCCCAGTAGGCAGTATTGAACATGCAGAATATGCTGAGCACAAAAGCGACAGAGAAGATGACGAAGGAGGTAATCTAATGAATAAAACAAAGCATTAAAAAAGTAATAAATTTATTTCGTACATGAATCAAGAACATTGGCAACAACATCCATGCTTTCTGCCTGAGACAACCCAACAAGGCCAGTAAGCACATGCACCCAGCAATGAAAAAGCCGAAGAGATGATCAGGAGGGCATTTGCAATCGTATCCGAACACAGCAAGTTCCAACAAGTACATTAACATCATGAAGGACGTGATGCCCTGAAAAAGATAAAGACTATTATTAGAAATGAAATTTCATTTCTGCATAGTTATAGATTTAAAAATACCCACCAATGCGCGCTTGTATTCGCGAAACTGTTCCAATGCCATTTTGAGTTCAGAAGTCGAGACACAATTACAGCCTTCCCTAGATCCCGTTGTCCTTGTAGTCGTCGTAGTTGTCGTGCCGACATTGTATGGAGGAGGAGCAGGATCGACTTCTAGTGTATCCATCGATGTCAATGTTTGTAGATTGAGAAATGGAATATCTAGTTGTGATGATGTATTTTGGAACTTGCAAAATATATTGGCTTTTATACTTATAAATAAAGCCCCCCCCCTTCAAATTTAAAAACCGTATTTAATAGACGAATATTTAATTTTGGGAGCGTGTAAATGAGTGGTCCTAGATGTTATTTTTAACAAATTTTGTCTTTTTTCATGTCTGAGTTTTCGTACGTACAAAACTTGTTTGATAATCTAGGAAATATTTAAAAAATTATTTTAAAATAGTTAACTAGAAATTTAATATTAAATCTTTAGATTAACAAAAATATATTCATTTACAAATATATATTCAAAATATATTCATTAACGTGTTTTTAAGAGTTATTTACGCTTGGTAATTTTTGCTAAAAATAATAATTTTTAAGAATTTTAATTATCCATGGTTTTTTAATTAAAAAATTTTCTGCTATATATTTTCAGACAAGAACAAACAGAAAAAATATTAGAAACTATTTAATGTAAAAATTTCAAATTTTATACATATGTAACATAATTTGTAGACGATAATTAACTTTTTTAATCTTTATTTATTTTACATATTAACACAAAATTTGTTATTAAAAAAGGTAATTAAACTTTAATTATACTTTGATTATAAACAAAGTTAAATTTAAAAATCGTTATTTTCAATTCAATTTTTAGGTTTATTTGTATATTTTTAATTTAAAATTTAATCAAAAATTAATATTTTAAAAACAAAACTATGTATAATTCTTATTGATTCACTTCAATTTAAAGTTTATCCTTTAAAATATTTTAAAATTAGGAATAAAAACTTTGAAATTATTCAACAGTCTTTAAATTATTATTAAATTCAATTAATAAAATGCGCAGTCAACAAAGAATTGGAACAAATATTTTTAGTTACAGTTTTGGAAAATATTTTTAACTCAAGGGAACTCGAGAAATTTTAATTCTTTTTAACATTTTTTAATTCTCTTTCAAGTGATATCTGTAAAGTTTCTTTGATTGCTTACAAACTTAAAAAACTTCAAATTTCAATCTATAAACTAAAAGGCTTTATTTTTATTATAGAAAAACAATCTACATATTTTATCATTAAATTATTAACATTATAATAAGAACAAAGTAAAATAGTTATTTTTTATTTATGAAAAGAATTTCTTTTTATTATAGAAATTATTCCCTTTCCTCATCTAACGAGACTTTTTAGACTCTTGTGCTCGAACATGCAGTCGCATATGTTTCATTAATTCCAGGTTATTCGGGTGTGGATTTAAGCTTAAAACATCAAGAGCGATATTGTGAAGTTCATTGCTATATTCAGGCATCATCTGAAATAAATGAAATTTTCATTTAAAAAATTATTTTAAATTACTTTAATTAATGTCCAAATATGAGAAATATTCTTAAATCTCTTGATTATGCACCACAACCTCACTACCAAAAGTAACTTCAGCCACTTGGTAAAGCCAAACGAGAAAAGTTTTTCCAATATTTGTCGAATCAAAGGATATTCATTTAACATGTTACAGTATGTAGTGTTCAGCATACAAATTAAGGTTATAACAAAGGCCGTCAACGAGAGGGTGAAATAGAGGATCTGAAAGGGAAGAAATAATTTAAAAGATCACTTCAATTAATTCTTACATGCACTATCAATGCTGGATATAACATAGAAATTTTCTGCTTGAAGCAGCCACGAATTGCATATATACCAGCGAACACATTAAGGAGGCAATATATACCAACAACAATACCATCCATAAACAAATAAGCAATCAGAGGCATCAAAATAATGTAGCTGATGATGATAACGATTACCTTAACCTAAATATTTAGATGTTAGATAATGTTATTAACCTCTTAACCTACCAGTAAACGTTCGTAACCACAAAAACGATTTAATGCCTCATTGAACTCGTTTATCGAAGTCGAAAGACAGCTACAACCACCTTTACTCACATTATTGCAGCATCTAGAAGTACTTGTAGAACTCGCCGTACTTGCCGTAGAAGCACTAAAGGAAGAAGCAGTCTCGAGATCAAACTCTGGCACCCGCATCAAAAACTTGTAGAAATGAAGAGATGAGACTAATCTTAAACTGGATATTAATTTATAACTAGAAGATTCATCGGCTTTTATATTAGAAACTTTTTATGATTAAACTAAACTCAAAATAGATTGTTATTTTACTCAATGTCACATGCATCTAAACCTTAAAATAATTCATAATTACAGAATCCTTCACATATTTAAAAATTATTTTATCCAAATTAAAATTCAAGTTTTAAAGAAATAACCACAAAAATATTAAAATAATCAAAATTAAAAAAATATTTCTTTCAAATCTACAATTCCAATGATTATTAAATTCTTTCTTCATTTCATTCAAAATAATTAATTTCGCCTCTCTTTTATTAGAAAAAGGTCCACAAAGACGAAATTGTGCAGGAAATAGAGGATAAAACCAAATAGCAACAGCTAAATGGAAATCAGAAAAAGCAAGTTTATAAAAGGGAGGTGTAGCAACGCCAATCATTTCTGCAAGTTCTAAACAAAATTGAACATGATCCTCCTAAAATTTTACAAAATATTTCTCTTTAAATTAATATTTTATTTTTACAATTTGTGTATGTCTTCGGGTCTTTATATAATTAACAGAAATATTACAACGCCTCTTTTCCAATTCATCTTTCATACAAAATGGGGAAGGAAGTTTAACATTTCCACTAAATACTTCAAAAAATAAACGAGATTGTAATTCAGCAATTGGCCATTTAGAACCAGCAATTGGCTAAAAAATTAAGAATTTTTGATTTAAATTTATTTTAATATAAAAATGCCTGAACATGTCCAATTACAGCCAAATTATTATGAGGTGTTAATTCTGGTATAAACATGTGTTTGTACTTAAATGAGATAAAAGTTTTAAAAATTTTTTTAATTTTAGATGTCAGTCTAGAGAGGTATTAAAAGTATAGAGACTTCCTTTATATTTTTTACTTGAATAAATCCGTTAGACTTCCTTTATATTTTTAGTGAGAATGAAAAAATTCACCAAATGAAAGTCATTGTGATGTGTAGCTATTAATTTTCCATTTTCAACAAATTCAAAATTAAATTCATATCCAGTACAAAGAATAATATAATCAATTTCCTTTTCTATAGTTCCATCAACAAATTCAATTTCATTTCCATCAGATAAAGACCAAATATCTGGTTTAATTCGGACATTTCCTGTTGCAAAATGTAAAGACAATTCTGTACCAAATCCTAATTGAGTACTAAAAAATTTTTAAAATTAAAGAAAAATTGGCTTTCAAAAACCTAAATAAATTATGAACAGGGCGATAACCAGCTCCTTTTATTGGATGAACAGGAAGCAAAGATAATAAATTGCTCGTATTTTGTACAAATTTACTTCTCAAACATTTGGGAATAAATTGTCGAATTAATGAATTCCAACGAGTATTGAAATGATCACAAAAAGATTTTCCTTCTTTACAAAATTTGTTTAGAAGCCAACCACCACGACGGGCTGACAATAAAACCTGAAAGGAATATTTAATACTTAATCTCTATATAACGTCAACCCTCGGGCCGGATTTTACCGATGGGGGGAGAGGATGACGTTATGAAGAACTTTTTTACAGTATTTATATTTTACTTGTCTGGCTAAAGGTGCAAGAGCTGTTGCTATTTCCACAGCAGAATATCCAAATCCAACCAAACAAATATTTTTATTATAAAATTTATTTAAATCACCAATTTTATCAGAATGTATTATTTGTCCCTTAAATGAAAAAAAAAATTATTTTTTATAAAATTTTGTCAACTTTAAATTGTTTTTCTAGTCTCCACTCAGGTGGTCGCCAACTTGTAGGGCGCATTCCAGTACAAATAAGTACAGCATCAAATTCTTCTTCAAATATTTTATTTGTTTTTAAATCTAACCAAGTAATTAACCATTGACCTTTAAAGAAACAAAAAAATTTTTTCAATTAAATACATGTAAAAACCATTTAATTTCCATTCATTTGATCTTTTAATTTGTTTAACTTCAGCTCTCAATTTAAGATATTTTGACAAACAAAATTTCTTCATATATCTCTTTAAATAAACAATAACATCACTTGGACGTAAAAATAAAGGAAAATCTTCAGGAATTGGAAATTCACTAAATGAGCATATTCTTGAAGTTATTAATGAACTAAATGATGGAATTGGTTGCCCTTTAAATAATTTTAAGAATATTATTTTAAAAACATTTAAATACTTTCAGCATTTGGATCCAATGCCATTTGCCAAACACCTCCAATATTTTGTTGTCTATCAAAAATACAAACATCATGGCCATATTGCTGTGCTTGTCTGAAATTTTTTATTTTTTAAAGAACAAAATTCTTGTTTATTTATCCAAAAAATAATAATTTTTCAATTTATTTGAAAAATATTTTTTTACTTACCTAGCTGCTGTCAAACCACAAGGACCTGCTCCAATAACCGCAACTCGTTTATTTTCAAAAAACATGGGAATTGGCCAAATAACATTTGGATCGTTGAAGAAAATAATTATTTACTTGTAGAAAAAGACGATCGCTACCCTAACACAACACGCGCAACTTTTATTTCTTTTAGGAATTTCTCTTTGCGGAACCGCCTTTTTTCTTTATCAATTAAAAGTAACTCTATTTATATATTCTATAATTTTAAGTGTTTAATAAATATTATTAAAATGATAAATTCTTTTTGCATTTCACTTCCGCCCTTTGCAAATATTGTATTTATTATTGAATTTTTAATTTATCAAAAAATTAATTAAACCAAATTAAGTCAAAATTAAGTTTAAATAATATTTTTCAATCAGCAAAATACAAATTTATTTCCATCCCATTCCAATTCATTAAAATTAGTTGGCGCAATTATTGAAGACTTTTCTTTTTCCAAAGCTTCGTTTATCCCATTGCAATGATTGCGACCAGTTACATGAAGTTGTAATAAATTTGTTGTATTTGAATTGAAAGTGTTTTTGATAAATTGGAAAATCTAAAAATTTATTAAATTTAAAGAAAATAAATTAATAAAAAAATAATGTTCAAAATCTTATTTATTTTTTGAGAAAATGCTAGAAAAACATAAAAAGAAAATCTGTTAAACTTACAAATTCAACTGCAGTAGGAAGAATTGGTCCATGTTCTAACTCTAGAATATATTTAACTTTGGCAGATTTTTTGACTAGTTGCGAAGTCATCTTTAAATAAATTGTTTGTTAATTTTTAAATTAGTTTTGAAGAAAAATTACCGAAAGTTCATTTAAAACAGAATGTCTAAAAGGGGAATGTGCAATTAGTGTGGGAGGAAGTCCATTTTGCGGGCCAGTTTTTGTGCAGACTAATTGTGGCTGACTTAAAAGTAAATTGTGAAAAGCTGCAGCATCTTTCGCTCCTCTAAACAAAATTGTTTTTTAATTTAAAAAATATTCTTCTTTCATTACTTTATCACAATTGCAGAATGCAAAGGGTCTGTGGGAGGTGATCCGTGTGTACTCATTCGAGTAGTTTCAGTAGTTGGCAAACGATTAGAAGACAAACTTAAATCTGACGAATCAAATTCTGAGGCACTTAAATAATAAAAAATAAATAAAAATATTATAATTTTTCAAACTTTTGTCTTAATCGAAAACTTCCTTTAGAAGAAATTCCCATATTTTCTAGCCACTCTTTGTGATCTAGCTCTGCTGTACAATCTTCTTCATTGGGTAAAAAATCTTTAGGGGATTCCTCTCGAGTTAAATCAATATATTCTGACTTGAAATGACGTGTAAAATGAATACCTTTAAATAATTTAGTAAAAATCTTTTTAAATATTCAGACCATTTTTCTGCAGAATCTGTCTGAAACCTGAAGTCGTCGGTGTTATAACAATTCTTGATTGAAAATTATTTTTAAAATTTGAGGTTCCCAGATTTGCAAAATTTTTATTTGGAGATTGATAAATATTTGTAGTATTCTTCATTGGGGTTCTTTTTCTTTTTGGTGTTGGATTTTTGTTAAGAGGAGAAGCTTCACAATTATTCTTTTGTGGTGTTTTTAATTGTGAAATAGGTGAATTTAATGAAGACAAATTTTTATTATATAAATTAATAAAAATAACGGTAAATTGTGTCGAACAAAGGTAGAAAAATCTGCGGTTACCATCAATCCAGCGATTGAATAAAAATTTAAACGATTCATTCCTGATAGAAAGAAAAATATATAAAAACTTGATATCTTTAACAAACCAATTAGTTTTTAAAGACTCAATAAAATTTGGTTCAATTGATTGTAAATTTGCACTTTTCAGAGTACTTTTTGTCCCAACATTTCTTCGAGGATATAATTGAACAGAACCAATGGATGGAAACTGATAATAAATAGCGGCAGATTGAAGATAAACCAATGGATCAAAAGAATTTGCAGAAATCTAATATTATAAATATAATGAATTAATAGATTAAAAAGGCTCACAAATGGAGAAAAATTGTCAAATTTTCTTGTTAAATCCATTGCTTTATCGAAATGATCGGATAAAATGTGTGGATCGAGAGGATAAACACCTAAAAATATTAACAATATTTTTAAATACTTACTAAATTAATTTAAAAAAACCTGAAGAAGTTATGCTTTCCATCCACGGAAAAGGCAATTCTGAAATAATTCTCAATTTCGTTCCCAAACGTAAATCATTTGGCAGATTTAACGAAGTAGATTTACTGTTACTTTGCGAAGTCGTCGCCACTAGACTAGTTTTATCGTTAGCTTGACTATGACAATTTAGGTGAGAAAAATCGATTGGAAAATCATTAAATTGCTGAAAATATGTAAATATTTAAGTAAATTTATATAATTAATAATAAACTTTTTCGACTAGCTTTACATATGCTTTATCAATCATATTTGGTAAATCGAAGGCAGAACGCGCATCTGAATCATCCCAATCAGGTGGCAATAAATTCTGGTTAATGTTGGGAGAATCAAATTTAATAAACTTGTTAGCATCAACATGTTCTCGAAGTTTTAATCTTTTATTTGGAGATTTATTAACCTTAAATTTAACTTATAAATTAAAAACTAAAATAAAAATTAACTGAATAATTAGACTCGTATGCAAATTCGTTGTGTTGTAGAGAAGCAATAACAGAACAGGATTCTTGTATGGACAAAGACTCTTGCTCAAATAAATTTTTAAGTGATTTGCTAAAAATTTAAAAAATTTAGATATAAACATAAATTAAAAAAAAACAAACCAGCTCCTGCGTTTGCTAAAGAGTCGCTTGGCTGCTTCTTTTGATTTTTCTCCAAAAGGAGAATAATGTAATCCTTTCTTTTTGCCGGAATGTCCTACCATTTACTATACAATAAATACAACTTAAAGTTAAAATTTGTAAGAAATAACTTTGTATTAAAAAATAAAAAATTAGTAGTTTGAAAAAATTCAACAATTAGGCGCAAACATGATAAAATTTAAAAATAATTTTAGCGGTCATTTTGTGAGGGCAAGACACTAGGGCGCGGTCGGGACACGCACAAGTAGGGCCATAACTTGCTAGAAAATTTTTTCTGGTCCTTATCAATTTTGGTACCAGTCTCTTTAGCTCGATGAGAGGAATCGTTTAATACTAAAATTGGTAAGAATTGGAAATCTTGAAGCAGGTTATGGCTTTGCGCCGTTATGGCCGCGCGCCTACTTGGGCTGTACTCGGCGCGGGCCACTATGGCGCGTCATTTCTAAATTTTTTAATTTTTTTTACAATTATGAAAATCTCATACAAACTATCAATTTTTTAAGCAGTTGTAACTTTAACAATGTCTCGCAAACTCAAAGCTAGAAATCTCAACCAGTTAGAAACTCAAAATGATAACGAACAAATTGTGCAAGATAGAGGAAATGAAATGCATGTTGATTTACCTGCACGACTCGATGATAATGAAGATTTACTTAATATGGAAATTCCGCCTCTTATAAAATCTATTACATACAAAGAAGGGTGTGAGCGTTTGGTGATTTCGCACATTCAAGTCGATAACTTTAAATCTTATTTTGGAAAACGAATTATTGGACCATTCCATAAGGTCTGCGATTTTTTATAATAAACTTTATTTTTCATTTTCTAACTCCAGTGCTTTACTTCAATAATTGGGCCAAATGGAAGCGGGAAAAGTAATGTAATTGATGCCTTGTTGTTTGTATTTGGTTACCGTGCTTCTAAAATTCGTTCGAAAAAGGTCAGTGTCCTCATCCATTCTTCTGCTGGGAAAGATGATTTAAATAGTTGTACAGTTGCAGTTCACTTTTGTAAGATAAACGACAATGTAAGTCTGAGAAAAGGTTTTTTTAAATAACTCCCATCTTCAGCTTATTGGTAATGGTTACACAAAGGTTCATGGTTCGGATATTGAAATTTCACGGACTGCATATAAAGATAATACTAGCAAGTAAAATAATTTTGAAAAAGAAATTCATAATTAAATATAAATCTAGATATACACTTAATGGGCGAACAGTGAAATTCAAAGAAATTGGCGATCTTTTACGTGCAAATGGAATTGACTTGGTTCACAATCGTTTTTTAATCTTACAGGTTTAAAAACTTCTAAAAATTTTTGACTTTTTAATTTTCTAATTAGGGAGAAGTTGAGCAAATTTCAATGATGAAACCTAAAGCTGAAACGGAAGATGAGGAAGGTATGCTTGAATATTTGGAAGATATTATTGGTTCAAGCCGGTTAAAACCGCTTGTTTTGAAACTTCATAGACGAATTGAACAGTTAAACGAGCGTCGAGCTCTACAACTTCAGCGAGTTCAACACGCAGAGAAGGAGAAAAATCAATTGGATGGGCCAGTCCGAGAAGTGTTAAAACTAATGCGTCTGGAGAATGCTTTGACTTGTTTGAACAACAAAATTTTGCTTTCAAAAAGGTAATTGGGGAAACACAAAAAATTTTTGGTTTGAAAATCTAATTAAAAAATAAGGTCAATCAATGTTCGTTTTAATTAAATTTTTAATTGAAGATTGTTACTACATGAGCAAGCAGTCAAAATTAAAAATCAGAAAAATCAATTAGAAAATGAGCTTGCTGTTTATCAGCAACAACTTAATGAAATTCTTCAAATTGCTAAACAAATTTCTAAGGAACGTCAAAAGCTTCAAAAGTTTTTTCCTTTTTCTTTCGATTCACCGAAAACATATTTTCAGCATTCTCGACAGATGCGACGATGCTGTCCAATCAGTCAGAAAGAAAAAAGCTAATCAGGAACAAGTAATAGTTAAAGCAGAAAATGACTCGAATAGACATGAAAGTCGCCGCAATAAATTAATGAAGGATATTGAAAATGAAAATCAAAGGGTTTTGAATATGGAAATTTTACATATAACATATTTTTATATAGGTTGAGGAACTTGAGTCTGTGCCTGAACGTTCTAGAGGAAAGATTGAGGCTTTTCGTAATCAGCTCGAAGAAATGAATGCACAAATTGAAGTTATTTGCTGGTTATTATTTAAAAAGTTATTTTTTAAATTAGGAGTTTTCACCCATTTTGATGGCGAAGTTGCAAGAAGTACGTGAAGCTTTGAAATCTGAGGAACCAAAGAAAGCAAAATTGGAAGAGGAACTTGGTGAACTTTCAATTAAAGAGGATTCATTGAATAGTAAGGTAAGTATTTATAATTCTTGGTTGCATTCTTCTTAAAAATTTTTAGTTAACTTTGGCTCAGCAACGTCTTTTAAACCTTCAAAGTGAAGAAGAGGAACAGAGACAAAAATTCGATGCTTTACAAGCAGATTTGCTTAGAACTGAGGAGACTGTCTCAAGCCGAGAGAAGTTAGTTCATCTTTGGAAAATTTTATTTATTTTTAAATATTTTCAGAAAACTTCAAACAGCCCAAGCCCAGCTTCCGGACCTTGAAGCCACATTTGAAGGGAAAACTTCAAGACTGGCTCATTTACACGAACAGGAAGCTCGGTTCACTGGACGAATACGTGAACTCAGACGAAAATATGAAGAGCAGAAACAAACTGAGGAATGTTACACTAGCGCTAATAAACTTCTAAATCGAATAATGGAGGCAAAACGTAATGGAGAAATTCAAGGGATATTTGGACGTTTGGTTTGTTTTGATTTCGTTGAAAAATCTATCGATTAAAAATATTTTTAGGGCGATTTGGGTGCTATCGATGAAAAATACGACACTGCTATTTCTGTAAATTTTCCGCAGCTTGAATATATTGTTACCGACACAATTCAAACTGCCCAACAATGTATTGAATTGTTGAAACGTGAACAACTTGGCGTCTCTACATTTATTGCACTTGACAAACAACAACAATATTGGCGAAATATTCGTGCAGTTCCTAAGACACCAGAAAATGTTCCTCGACTTTTTGATTTGATTCGTGTTAAAGATGAACATGTTTGTTTTTTGATTTTTTGTTTATAAGTCTACGAATTATAACTGAAGTTTCATAAATCTCTCTTAAATACTAGTTAGATTTTGTATGCTAATCATTATTAAATAAAGGTTCTTCCTGCTTTTTATTATGTTCTGGGTGAAACGCTTGTAGCGGATGATATTGTCGCTGCTACACGTATTGCAATGGGTAGTGAGCGTCGTTGGAGAACCGTTACTCTTAAAGGCGAGGTAAATACATTTTTAATTTGTTTATTTCTATTATTTTTTCTATTAGCTTGTTGACGTTTCTGGTGCAATGACAGGTGGTGGAACTGTCCAAGCCCGGTATGTATTACATTAAACGTATTTTATTAAGTTTTTCATTTATCTTTTAACATTACAATATCATTTTACTTTTAAGAAGCCGAATTGGTCGTGAAGTTGTCGTTGTTACCAGCCAACAATTAGATAATCGTCAAGAAGCCTCAACACAACAACAATTGGCAGAATTACAGCAAGAATTAAACAATGCGGAGGCAGAGTTGACCAACATTAAACGCCAACATGCACAACTTGAACCTGAACTTCAGAAACGTAGAGATGATTTAAAACAGATCAGACTGTCGATTAGAGAAATGCAACTAGAGATTGAGGTTTTTTCTTAAAAATTTGGTTTTTGGATTTTTTGGTTAAAAATTTTATTTTTTAGAATTCAAATATACGAATAGTTGACCTTAGGAAGCAAATTGAGATACAAAAACAAAATGTTGTGAATGCATCAGCAAACCCTGAGGAAGTTAAAAATGTTAAAGCAGAAATTACTTCTCTTACTTCAAGTATGTTTTATTTTTTATTAACCCTAGAATAAAATTATTTAAAAGAAACTACTGAAATTGGCAAGCAAACTGATAAAATTCGCTCATCTCTTATGGCAATAAATGCTCGGATGGAGGAGGTTGATGAGAGAATTGCAGGTCCTCACAGAGAACGTTTACGTGAAGCAGAGGACCGTAAGAAAGAAGCGGAAAATGGAATTACTAAAGAATCGGCAGCAATTATAACAAGTGAAAGAAATTTGAAAAAGTCGCGTGCTAAAATTGCAAATTTGGAGAAAGATGTTATGGTAATTTAATTTAATATTTTTATTCAAAATTAATTTCTTATTTTCAGGATGTAGAAAAACAATTCGAATTGTGCACAAAAAGTATTTCTTTGGCTAGAGATCGTTTAGTAGAATATGAAACACAACTTGTGCAATGCAATGAAGATCTAGATTTAGCTAAACAAAAATTAAATGAGTTTATTAGTTCGGTTAGTGATAATAATGAAAGAGAAGTCGAATTACAAAGACAAGTCAGTCAATTGCAACATGAAGTAAAACGTCTTACTGGTGAATTGGCAACACTAGAGGCAAAATTGAAAGCTTTGTCTTCAAAGGTATATTTTTTTTATATTTTTCCCTTGATGCTGATATTTGTTTTTTTTTTAAATTTAGCTTTCAAAATTGCGACTCTATAGGTTGAAACGATTGACAGATGCTCTTTCTAAACATATAGAGCCTTTAATTTTACCTGATGAAGATTTTGATGAATTAGTGGATGATGATGTTGAAGAAATGGAGCAGGATGAGAATTTGAATGTTAATGAACAATTACCTAAACAAAAGTTACAACGACAACTTTCATCAGCACAAAAACGTCAACAGCAACAACAAAATATTTTACAACAACAGCAAGAAGAGGCAAATGATGGGTTGGATTCTTATCTTGAAGAATGTATTGAACAAGAGGAAACGGAAGCAGCTGATAGAATTGAATTGGAAAGGGTGATTTTTAAACTTCATTTAAACAGAATACTTTTTAATACTTTATAAACTTTAGAAAAATATTCAGATTGAAATTGATGAAAACTCGGGACCGGTGGACGAACCAATGGAGCAGGACTTAGTTGACGACGATGTAATTGATGCAAATCTTACTACCACTCCTGCTTCTCAAAATTTATCTCATCTCCAGTCACCAAATGATCGTCGTCCACATAATTCTGCTGCTAAAACGAGAACAAATCCAGATTCTCAAATGATAATACAGAATTCACAATGTTTTATTCCATTACCTCGCTATACGGATGAACGGATTAGGGAATTTTGCGTCGACGATTTGGAGACAGATCTAGCAACATTGGAACAGCGAAGAGCAAAGCAACGAGTTAATTTGGCGATTGTTATGGATTTTATGCAAAAGGTGTTTTTTAATATTAATTGGAATTTAAAAATTATTTTAAAATTAAAGTTGGATCGCTACGAGGCGGAATCTAACCGTCTTTCTGAAATTACTTCACTTCGTGATCGCCATCGTGCTTTGCATGATAAATTGAAGAAACAGCGTCTTTTTGAATTTATGGAAGGATTTCAAGAGATTGCCACACTTCTCCGCACTACATATCAAATGATTACTATCTTGGGAGATGTTTCACTTGAATTGGTAGATGCATTAGATCCATTTTCTGAAGGAATTGCATTTAATGTTCGACCACCGAAAAAATCTTGGAAACAGATATTGAATTTGTCTGGCGGTGAAAAAACTTTGGCATCTCTTTCTTTGGTAAGTTTACATTTAGTTTGATATGAAAAAATGTCTAAACTAAAATTTGGTTTCCTTTACATTTGGTTTGAGGTTGTTTGAGAATTTTCCTTTATGTGTCGAACTCTATTTTACTTTGATGTTTTTAAATATACATTTTACAGGTTTTTGCCCTTCATCATTATAAACCGACACCACTCTATGTGATGGATGAAATTGATGCTGCGTTGGATTTTCGAAATGTTTCTATAATCGCTAATTATCTTTTGGTAGACTTGAGTTTTAAATTTAAAAAAAATAAATTTTTATAGGAGCGTACACGTAATGCTCAATTTATTGTTATTTCACTTCGCAATCAAATGTATGAAAAATCGGATCGTTTAATTGGAATTTACAAAATTAATGATTGTACAGGAAATGTATGTGTGGATCGACATGTTTTTGAGAATAAACGTGAGTTAAAGTATGAACAATTAAATACATGATTTCTTTTTTTTGCTTTAAAAATATACAAAATATCTCATCAATTTTTGTCACTTAATTTTTTTGTTTAAATTGTATTTTAAAATACTTACAAATAAAAATTCAATATTTTTTTGACATTGATAATAATGCTCGCTTTTTTTAGAAATCTTTCTAAATTTATTTAAATGAGAGGCCTTTTCTTTCTAATAAATTAATCTTCCAACATAATTTTATTAATTATGAAGAGAATAAAGTTGCCCATCGTGTAATTACATTCCCTGGTTGCCCCGTAGATTGTCGCCAATGTTCTCTTCCAGCTTCCTCAATTGCCAATTCCCCTAACACACAGTAACCAATTTCGACGTCTGGTATTCCTCCTGTACATGTATTCATTACCGAAATCACAATTGTTGCGTCTTGAATTTCTGATGAAGCTATTTGGAATTCAAAAACTTCATCAAAAACTGGGGCAATTGAGAAACGACGACCATCTTTTGGCCGGCGTGGGCCGGAACGCTTTTCAGGCCTCTGGGCTTCTCGTAGTAACCAAGCAACGATATATGGGGCTATAAAAATATTTTTTGACAAGAAAATAAATTATCGAATGCCTGGCACTTTTACTCCGCTTGCACGAATAACACCAATATTTAGCTGCCCGTCTGCTGGTGAATATCTTAATGATATGAGAAGTTGCCCAAGTTGTTCTCCTCGCCAAAGATTCAACTATAATTTTTAGAATAATTTTATAAAATTATATCAATTACTTCTGCGCTTTTTCTTCCGTATGAGAGATTTGTGGGTGGAACTTTTGCACCCCCTCTACCCAAATCCATAGCTGCTGCCGAAATAAATACTTGTCCAGGCCCACCAAGTGCATGCATTAAAAGTCCAATACCACGTAATCGGGAGAATGAGTGGGGGCCTAAAAAATAATTTTAATTCATTTTTGATTCAAAAAACTTGCCATGTAATTTTGTAATATCATCCCATTCATCACTTCCTTTTGTACTTGCTCTTCTACGTGTTATTGGCAAAGGTGAAATAAATCCCCTTCCATTTCCTCTACCAGGTGAAATAATTCCTCTACGGTCAGCCAAAGAAAGTGAACGTTTAACGTTTTGGCAATTCGGAGCGCTTGAATGGCGGCCCCGTTTAGAGCCGGGTAATTGCATAAAGCCATAAAGTGCATGACAAGCAGCTAATCTATCCATTTAAAAAAATTTTTTAAAGCTGAAAATAAAAGAAAATATTAAAAAATAAATATAATGCATATTTATATTTTCGCGTGATACCAAAATAATCAAGAAAAAAAGTTTCCAAAAATATATCAACTAAAAATGGATATTTGTAAAATATTTAAAAAATTGATAAAAATGTTTTAAAGAAAATGTTAAATAAAAGTAATTACTAAAGGATTCATAAATAATTATATATTCTTTTGTTAATTATCATGCTTTTATTTTTTTGTTACATTATTAAACACAAAAAAAGAATAATTTAAATAATTATGTAAATTATTGGAAAAGAGAAGAAAGTAAAATAAAGGCTTCGAAATTTTCTGAATCTTCCAAAAAGAGGAATATTAATATAGAAATTAATAAGTAGATATACCTATTTTGAAATGCCTCAGTATTCCCAACGGGGATAAAATTAACAAAGAATTTAAGAAATAAACGAGGAATTAAGGAAAGGGATTATTTAATTTTAGTTTTTTTGTGATCAAGAATAATTTTTGAATTGTGTTAAATTTAACAAAAATTTTATCTAATTTTTTATGATGAGAAAAAAATTTTTTTTGAAAATCAAACTCTGAGTTGTTAATATATTTTTGGAGTTTTTGCAATTATTTTAAATATCGCATTCTTTTAAAATAAATTTTTAAAACTATTTTTGTATAATAATTTTTGATTATAAAATATTCTCTAAAAATTTGTCGTCATTCCACGGCTTTATTTTTAGCTTTTAATATTATTGGAAATATAATATTTAGAAAAATGTTATTTTTAATAATATAAATAGTTATTTTGAGACTAAAACCTTATATATTTTAGTTGCTTTATTTAAAAACCAAAGATTTTTAGAATACTTATAACTAAAATAAAAGGGAAATGGTAAAATTTGTATAATTTTTATTATTAAATTATTCTACTAAATTATTTTACTAAAATAATTGTAAAAAATAATTTTTTTGTTAATTAAAATTTTTTAATTAAAATTTCTATTAAAATAAATAATTATTTAAATAAAAAAGGCAAAATAAATAAATAAATATTTTTATATTCACTCAAGAAGAAATAAATATTTATTTATAAATTGTCTCTAACCCCAACCCAATTTTTATAACAAAAAAAGCTTTTTTCCTCTCTTGTTCAACCATTAACTAACAACAAAAAAATGCCGAAAGAGCAGAAAGGCATAAAAAGACCAAAAACAGAGAAAGTATGTAAGTATATTTTGTTGTTGTTAATTTGTTAAATATTTTTTTTGTCTTTTTACATATTTTCTCTTTTAAAATAAAATACAAAAATCCCCTCCCTACTCCACTTTCTCTTGAGGAAAGAAACTAACTAAATATTTTATAAAACATTTGACTCAAGAATGAAAAAAAATAAAATGGCACAATTAAAGGCCCCAAGTGGCGATAATCAACAACAAAAAAATAATGAATAAATGGAAGTTTTAAAAAGAGGAAAAATATTTTTTAAATAAATGAGAGTCGAGATTAATAAAAATAAATGTTGTTATAAAATTTTAAAAAATATTCTGGTATTCGTTTTAAGAATAAAATAATTATTGGATTTTATTGAGTATCTCAATTAGATTATAAATAAAATAAAAAATTCAAATATATTTTATTAAATTAAATTTGTGTAGAAAATAATGAAGTAAAAATTATATGAAAAAAAAAATATATTTTTTTGATTAAAGAAACCAATGAATTTTTAAATTAAATTACTAGAAATGTATAAATAATAAATTAAAGAATTTTTTTCATTTTTTTCTTATATGTATTTTTTAAGAAATATTAAATAACTAAATAATAATTTAACCAGAAATTTTTAATAATATTAAATTAAAATTTCCATTTTGAGAAAATCAACCAAATTTTTGATTAAAAAATTTAAGGTAATTTATTTTCTTTTAATTAATTTGACGGAATAAGCCAACTTTAAATTTAAATTCAAAATTAAATAATTTATAAATTTAAAATTTTTTTGGAATATAATACCTATTTAATTAAAAAATTATTTTAGAAAAAATTGTAGATATTGTGGAAAATATTATTCAACAATTTAATTAAAAAACCAATTTTGAAGTCATTTCTTTAATTTAAATTAATTTATTCAAAAAATTTATTTTAAGTAATAAAAACATTAAAGTATTAAATAACTTTTTATTATATATTCCTTTTTTGTTTACAATTTTACTAAAAAGGAAATTAAAAGTTTTTCTCAATGTAATTTTAATTTAAATAAATAATATTTTGAATAATTCGGAAGTAAAGATATTTTTTGTAAAAATTATTTAAAAATCTGATACTCTCAAGCATTAAAGAATGGAAAAATAAAATGAATATTTTGACTTTAATTTGAAAAAATTAAGCGTTTAATTATAATAATTCAGATATAAGGTATCAAGTATCTTATGTCTGGAGTCTTGAAGAGATTCAAGCAAAGTAGAAATGAGAAATGTACAATGTGCAAGCAAGGATCAGACGAAGGAGATGGCTAAAATTTTTGAATTTTCAGAAGGCCAAGAAGTCAATGGAGGAAAAAATCGGAGTTTTTAAAATTCCCAAGGCGTCTAACTTCTTATGCTATTAAATAATAATCTTTAAATATATATAATTTATCTTTAAATTTTAATTTATTAAATTTACTTTTCAATTCTTTTTTTTCCATTAAAATATATTCTTCATCTTTTAATAACACAAAATAGCCGGTTGACGCCTTCACAAAACAATTTAACACACAAAATATATCCATCCATCCACATCCCTTTAACTTGTTAGTATATCCTCTAAAACCAATCGAAATCACCAAAATATTTTTCTATTTTTCTCTTTTCTTATACGGATCAACAAACATAAAGTCCACAAAATTGGGTCATTCACTTTATCTAAAATTATCCATAATCTCTTTTTCTCTCGCTTTCCTTCACATAAGGTGATAAAAAAGATATATTCGAAAGATAATTTGCGCGGGGTATTTTCTTCTGTTAAATTTTAACTTTTCTTTATATGAATGTTGACATTTTTGTGTTTAAATGAATGCCAGGAATGGATGTGAAATGATAGACAATAAAAAAGTGTTTTTAATTTTTTTTACTTTTTTTATCGAAAAGCGAAAATCGCCTCTCCACTAAATTTTCCTTTTTTGTACTTTTTCCTTTTCTCTTTTTCTTTTCCTAAAAATAAATTTTTGTAATTAATTTTTAAAATTAAAAAAATATTTTTTAAAGTTTTAAAAGAAATATTTAAATTAATTTTTTATAATTTTGAAATGGCCGTAAGGCCAACCAGCAGTCGGCAATTTGACAAAAATAATAAAAACAATAATAACAACAATAATAATTCTGAAAAGCAAAGAGTTGTTGAATTTAATATAAAAGAGGAATCTTCTGATAAATCTTCTGATTTATTAAATACAAAAACAGAAAATAAAAAAGAGGAAAAATATTTAAAAAGAGAATTAGCCTATAGAAGTATTATTTTATTTAGTTCTTTATTTAGTATTAGTGCACTTCTTTGCCTTTGTGCATTACTTCCATCATTATATAGCCATGTTAATAGTTTGGCTGGATTCGCTAGAAAAGATTTTGCTTTTTGTGAAGTAATTTTATTAAATATTAAAAATCCCTCGACCAACTAAGGAGAGATTTAATTTAAAAAATATGAATTATTATTTCTATATTTATTCTCAATTTATTACCCAAATTTTGGTGAAATTTTCTTGTGTCTGGTCGAGATATTCTGAAACAATTCGAGATATTCTGATTAATTCAACTACTTGGGACAATAAATTGTCATAAATTTAATTAGTTTAAACCCCTATTTTTAACACCTCAATTTTTGCAATTTGATTATAATTTATAAATATACTTTAATCTCCCAATTATTACTCATAAAATTTTTAAAGAGAACAGCACTTGATTCAGAAATGGCACTACCTATTAAAAATCAAAAAGTAGAAATTTTAAAAACGAATAGAAGTAAAAGACATGTTCCTTATGGTAGTGGATATAATGCTGCATTAATGAATGGGGGAGGGCCTATGTTTCAAGAATGCCCAGGTATCCATATAAAAATAAACAATTTAAACTTTGATTTTTAACTTTTAGCTTGTTGTATTCCTGGCGAGAGAGGACCTCCTGGTGATCCAGGCCTTCCAGGAATTCCTGGTGCTCCTGGCCCTGATGGGGCACAAGGCCGGCCAGGAACTACTCCAAATGCTTCGTGTATTCCTGAAAGAGTATTTGAACCTCCACCATGCTTGCCTTGTCCACAAGGACCGAGAGGGCCACCTGGACATCCAGGATTTCCTGGGGAGGTAATTTAAGTATTATTATGTGTAATTTAAAGAAAAATTAACTTTATAGATGGGTGATCCAGGTATTCCAGGTCGTCCTGGTCGAGATGGATTACCAGGGAAAAAGGTAAGTAAAATTATTATTTAAAGTTCAACTTCATAATTAGGGAGAAGATGGGCCTCCCGGATTAGATGGTCAACCAGGACCTGCAGGACCGCCTGGCGATAAAGGATCAACACCAGAGGCACATATAATTCCAGGTCCACCTGGCGATCCTGGTGAAACTGGACCTTGGTAATTTTGATATTTTTATTGAAAATAAAATATTTTTGTTTTTCTAGGGGGCCTCCCGGCCTTGCAGGTCCACCAGGTGAAGATGGTTATCCAGGAAGTGCTGGTGAAAAAGGATGGCCTGGATTACCTGGACCTCCTGGGGCGATGGGTGCTTCTGGACAAGCTGGTCCTCAAGGAGAGCCTGGGCCTACGGGCACACCTGGAACTTGTGTATGTCAAGATACGGAAGTTGTGGTTACTGAACAAAAGAAAAAGATAACACAAGGAGGAGGATATCCACCATCCACAAATGGTTAAAATATTATTAAATATTTATATAAAAATATTTTTTAGCAATAGGTGGTGGTTATTCACAACAAGGAGGTTATGCACGAAAGAAAAAGAAAAGGCATTAAAAAATATCAAACAAAAAAAAAGATTTTTTTATTTTTATATTTTCTTAAATAATTTATTTAAATTTGGACTCAAAAATTAAATTTTAAACATTTTTGAAATTAAAAATATTTTTGTTTGAATTATTAATAGCCCAAATTTATTTTGATTTGTTATATGTAAATATTTTTATTAAAATATTAAATTTATATAAATTTTTAATTTTAAAGAAAAACAAAAATTAGCTTTCTCAAATTAAAGTTTTAATTATATGTATGATTATTCTCTCTCAAATAATCGCCCCGCTCGATTAATTACCCTCTCCAACAAGAAGTCTAAACTATAGTTACCAGGTATATATTTAAATAAAATTTGTTATAATTAATTTGTGGCATCCCTCGTACAAAATTACTTTAAAAAATTAAAATAAATTGTATTTTTCTCACAAATTCTTGTCACTTTTTCCAAAATAATCTTTTGGGGCCTTTTAAAATTAACTTAGATCAGGCATTTATTTTAGAAAGCTTAAATTTATAATATTTAATTTAAAAAATTTTTTTAATTATTTTTTTTCAAATTAAATTTATATTTTTTGATTAATTTGTGCTATCCCTGTTACATACTTAAAATATTGTTAAATAATTAAAAGTAAAAACAAATTAATTAAATTAGTTATTAAATTTTTCCCTTTTTTAAAATTCTTCCAAAAATATATTTAAAATGACATTAAAAATAAATATAATTTAGTAGGTCATTCATTAAATCAACCATAATAAATAAATATTTTTATTTTCTTCTCACCTTCTTTTTAAATTTGTTTCCGCGTCAGGGCATTCTCGAAAATATATTCCCTTCCCTTCTCTCTCTCTCCCTTTCTTTCAAAATTTAAATTAAATATTTATATTTATTTTTTAAAATTAAATTAAAAATATTTTTAAAAATGTCTGGAATTGGGGAAAAAGATGGGGAAGAAGAAAGGTTTCTTTTTATTTAAAATTATTTTAAAAAATTAATTAATTAAAGATATAAACAATTCTTTGTTTGTAAAGAAAGCTCTATTTTTACAAATAAATTTCCATTAATAAATAGACAAACTGCTTATCAATTTGTTGCTGGCATTCAAATTGCTTTTAGGTAAAATTTTATTTGTAAAGCTAATTAAATATAAGGAGAACTTGGAATATGTTTTCGATTCCTATGAAAATTTTTTCGAATAGATACCCCCCCTATTTCTATTTAAGAAAAAAAATAAAATATATTGTTTTAATAACTAATAAAAATGAAGATTTATTTAATTTTTTTGTGAGAATTTAATTTTAGTGATTGCCTCTCTTACCTAGAAATTCTCTTTCATTATACTAAAAATAAAATAATTTGAAATTTAAAATAATTATTTTTATTTTTTTAGTTTTCTTTCAATACTTTTAATTGTTCTAAGTTTACCATTAATGCATAGCAGAACACAGACAACATTAAATTATGTAAATGCAGAAATTAATTTTTGTGAGCGTTCACTTTTGGAAGCCCAAAAACAATTAGAAATGCGTAGAATTGGTGGAAGTTTTTCTTCATCTTCTGATAATTATTTCCCTTATAATGCTAGAATAAATCGAACAAAAAGAAATAATGGATATGGAGAATCTGTTGAGGAAGGAGTACCTCAACAACAGTTAGGGCCGGGCATTCCAGTACAGACTGAATGTCCTGGATGTTGTATTCCTGGACCTCCTGGCCCGAGAGGACCTGCTGGGCAACCAGGCAATTTTTAAAATTAAAAGAAAAGTTAAAAAAAATTTATAGGAACTCCGGGAAAACCCGGTCCTGCTGGAAAGCCAGGTATTCCTGGTACTTCTCCCAATCAGACTTGTCCTCTTGCACTACGCAGAGAACCACCACCTTGCCGGCCATGTCCAAAAGGGCCACCAGGCATTAAAGGCTGGCCAGGTTTTCCTGGCGATGTTGGCCCTGTTGGTCCACCTGGAGAGAAGGGACGTGATGGGGATGATGGGGCACCAGGTGTTTAATTACTTCGATTTGTATATTTTAATTATTTTTAAAGGAGAACCAGGCCCTCAAGGCCCGCCTGGTTTTAAAGGTCCGCCAGGCCCGCCTGGAGATAAAGGAGAAACTCCCCATGGTATTTATATTTTAAAATATAAATTTAACAAAGTTAATTTATAGGAGAAGTTAGGGAAGGTCCGCCTGGAGATCTCGGACCGCCTGGTCCCATTGGGGCTTCAGGAGTGCCTGGATTACCTGGTCGAAATGGAATGACTGGACCTTCTGGAGGTGTGTTAAATAAAATAAATTTTATTTAATTAAATAATATTTTTAGATAGAGGTTATCCAGGCAGTCCAGGCAAGAAATTTTATTTTAATATTTATTTAAATAAATATGTATATTTTTATACATTTAAAATTAAAATATATAATTTATTTTTTTTTATTTCTTTAGGAGAGCCTGGAGAGCCAGGTTATCCAGGACCTGAAGGCCCTACAGGAATTCAAGGACCTCCTGGCCAACCGGGTGTTTGTGTATGTCAAAATGTTGATTCTGTTATTGTTGCTGGACCAGATCCTTCACAGCCACGTTTTTCTGATCAGCAAAATTATGCATATCCGTCTTATAACAACGCTGAAGAAGGAGGGAGTGGTGGAAGTTCTATTTATGGATAAATTAAAAGAAAATTTATAGCAAACACCTCATACATTTAAAAAATATTTTTAGTAATATTTATAGATTATTTAAATTTTATTTAAAAAAATAAATGTATATTTATAATTAAATATTTTATTTAAAAATTATTTTTCTTTTTTATTTTCTTTTAAATTAATAAATTCCTTTTCCTCTTTTTTATGCCAATTAATTGCCAAACAAATTCCATTAAAGAAAATAAGTAAAAATACAAAAAAACTTTCATGAATACAAGGAAATAGTCTTTGTTGTTGTAAAAATGAACGAATAAATGCTGTAATAAATCCACAAAAAATAGAAATTAAAATAAGACGCCAAACTGAGCGATCAACAGAAGCAAAGCCAGCAAAACTTTGAAAGAATTTTTTAATTAAAATAATTTTGCATTAAATTAGGCATTATTTTGTTATTGACAAAAATTATTATTTTTAAATTACCGTAAAATCAGCCAAGTCCCCAAAGTACTCACTAAAGAATATCCCATTTGATGCCAGGGACCATAAAATTTATTTTGATATTCTAAAATATCCAAAGCTGATTTTTCAGATAAAGAATCTCCTCCTTCCATTAAATAAGGCTGATTTAATGACCAAAGATAACCGTGCTTTTTTTTAAAATGATTAATTAAAATAATTTTAAAGAAAAAACCATCCAAATTGGATTAAACATAAAATCCCATAAATGAGCACTAAAAAATATTCCTAAAGCAAAACGGAAAATAAAAACAATTATTTGACGAATACGAGCCTCCCTTTGTGAAATCCTTTTAAAAATTATTTTTTAATTTTTTTGTTAAAAAATTTCTTTTATTTACCATTCACCATCCTCAAATATAAATTCATTAATTATTTTATTTGACATTAATTAAATATTTTTTAAAATAAACAAAATAAATTTATTTATTTTTAAAAGACAATAAAAATTAAAAAAAAATAAAAGACAACCTTGACCGGCCTTGAAAGGCGGGACAATTATTGAGAAAGAAAGAGAATCGATGAAAAGTTTTTTTTGTTCAAATCTTTCATTTATTCATCACTTTAAAGCTCATGTAAGGAATAATTGGGAGAGATTCAAATAATTTTATAAGAATTATTTGGGGTTTTATAATTAAGGTTGTAAGGTTGTCTTATTGGAAGAACATGTCAAAACAGAAAGGAATAAGTGAGTGAGTGAGAGAGAAAGCTAAAAGTTAGGTAAGTATTTGAAGAAAGTTAATTTACAGTTTAAAAAATGAATAGGTAATATTTTTAAATCAATCAAACAATCAATCATTAAATATTTTTAAACTTAATTAATTAATCCTTCCTCCTTCTTCTTTTTAATTTAATATTTTCATCAGAAAAAGATTTATTATTTTCTTCTTTTTCATTTTTAATAGATTTATTTTCTTCATTTTCCCTTCTCCTTTCCTCCTCATCTTCTTGTATTTCTAAAGTTAATGCTGGACATCCTCGAGAACTTGAACTTTTTTGCCAAACATAACATCTTTCAAAAAATATTTTTTTAAATTTATTTAATTTTAAATTACTCTATTTTTTCAAACCCAAAAGCTAATTCAGAATGGGTTTTGTAATAATGCATTTCCTAAAATTTAAATAAAAATATTTTTTTATTTAAAAAAACCTGTTGATCAATTGTGTAAAAATGATCTAAATTAAATATTATTTTAATTTATACCCCATATTTACCTTTATTAATAGCATTATAAAATCTATATAAAGGTAAATAAGCCCCACATCCCGGTTCTTTTGTACAATAACCAAGTATTCTCTCAAAAGAATATCCCAATAAAGTTTCTGCAATATTTTTTTCGTCTTCATTTGAAGTTAAAAAATGATCTTCTTTAAAAATATTTATTAAAAAATCATTTAAATAATTAATTTACTAGCAAATTCAGAATATAATCTATATAGAGGTCTAATACATGTACAATTTGGATCTATTTGGTTTTTACCCAAATAACCCATTGATGCTTTAAAAAAAAGAATAAATTTTAATTAAAAATATTTTTTTAATTACGTTCCATTACAAATCCTTGTGCTCCCATTAAATGTTGTTCTAATCTTTCGGTTGTATAGAAATGGTTAAGTATTTGAGGCTAAAAATTGAATATACATATATTATTTTTTAATTGTTTATTTATTTAATATAACCCAAAGACTCCACTCCAGATAAATAAATAAGAAAAAATTTCATTAATTAAAAATCAACAAAATTCTAGCTTAGAACTCCCTCTCAATATTTAATAAATTTTAATTATTTGTGACTTTTTAACAATGGATTTTAATTTATTTTAATTTTTACATTATTGTTAAAAGAACGATAAAGATGAACAAGCCTTCCACCTAAAAATTAAAATATCTATCTATTTAAAAAACACTCAATCACCATAAGTACAAGCAGATCCACAAGGTCCAATATATTTAGTTCTTTCTACCAATTTAGTTATCTAAAAATATTCTCAAAAATTTCAGAATTAATTCTATACTTTAGTTCTTTCTTTAATATTTATTGCTGCTCCAGGTGGAAGTTGAATAACTCCAAGAAAAGCTGAGATTTTTTGTTTTGGGCCTTTATTATTTTCAATTAAATTTGAACTTTTATCTATTTCTTCCTCCTCCTCTTCTTCTTCTTGACTATTTATTCGAGTACCATTTCTAATTCCAATAACTCCAGGCTTAATTAAAATATTTAAATATCGGCTCTCAACTACTCCTCATTTTTACCTTAATAGGCAACGGGTCTAAAGGATTAGAACCCCCACTTCCTCCTCCAATTTTAGAAATAATTTCTTTTTCTTCTTCTCCAACAGGTTGAAATGGTTGTAAAGGTTGAAAGGGGGGAAGTATTGGAGGTATAGGCATTGGTGGAGGTGGTCCAATAGTGCTTAATATTCTCCATCCATCGCCGTTTGGTTTTTCTCCAATAATTTCTTTTTTCTCTCCACTTCCCCCTCCTAATTGTTCTCCAGCCAAAAAAGATTCTTCTACAGAACGTACCCATTCAGGGGTTGGAGGTAAAATAGTTGTGGTTGTTGTTGTTCTACTGTTGGTTTTTAAATAATAGAAAAATTATTTTGGGAAAATAATTTAAGAAAAATGTTTGGGGTATATGGAAGGGAATTTTTGTTTTTCAAAAAAATATTTTTTGCCAGTACCCACATTAATGTCATCATCAAAGGATATGGCTGTCTGCCCATAACCCCTAACGATTCTCCAAACTTATTTGATGAAGGTATGTCGACGATATTTGTTGGATTTGGAATATTTGTTTCGAATGTAGATAAAGAAGTATCTAATGAAGTGCTAAAAGAAGGAGTTGCTGTTGTTAGCTAAAAAAATATTTTTTTGAAAATTTTTTTAATTAAAAAAAACTTTTTCTTCGTCAGGCGAAGTAATTAATAAATTATTTTCTTCTTCTAAATTAGCTAAGGATGTACTAGAAGTAGTCAACACCTCTTCTGTAGACAAATAATTTTCTGTTGTTTTACTTGTTGTCTTTAAATTAAAAATAAAAACTTTTAAAATTTTAATTAAAAACTTGTTGTATTTCAATTAATTCTGTACTATTTTCTATTTGTTCTTCAATATTATTAGATTCCGTTACTGTTTGTTCTTCAATTTCAGTTACAGGATAAATAGTTGTTGTTGCTATTGTTGTTGTTGGTAATTCTGTAGTTATAGTTGAATACTCTAACTATAAAAATTAATTTAAAAATAATAACAGAATACGTATATTTAAAAGTCAGGTTTTTTCACTTAACGTATATACATTTGCCGAAAGAATTACCTCAAATAATTACCCCCCCCCCCTCCCCAGCGAGAGATCAAAATAATAATTAACCAGGGTAATTATTTCAGCATATACGGTTTAGGAAATTCCTTCTCTCAATTTTTACCTCTTCAGTTTCTTCAGCTTCAATACTAATTGAAATATAAGGTCTTTCCCTAATACTATCTTCTTCTTCCTCTTCCTTTTCTTCAACATTTTTATTATTAAATTTCTTCCCTTTTTCTTCTTTTTCATTTAAAGGTAAATAATCTTCTTCATTTCCTCCTCTTCCCCCTCCTTCTCCAATTGAAAATATTTCTTCATTACTTAATTGTCTTTCAGTTGTTGTAGTAATTAAATTACGTTCAAAATATTCATCTGGTTTAGACATAATTAAACGGCCAGTTGGGCAAATTGGGGAAGGTTTTCGCCTTTTAGGGCAATTATAGAGGTGATTAACATATTCTATATCGCCTTTAAAATATTTAAATATTTTTTTGAATAAAATAATTCCTCCAAACATTCAGAAAAAACACGTTTTGGTTTGTGTGGTCGTTTCATTGGTTCAAGACAGGAAGGCCCAGCATTAACCAAAACTTGTCCCTTAGGTGGAAGGGGTTCGAACAAATTCCAACATTCAACATTTTGGCCAAGATCTGTGAAAAGTACATAATCTTTTTCTGTTTTTCTTGGCACTAAACGGACACAAGTTCTTGCCTTAAAAATTAATTTTTAAAAATAATTTCTTTTAAAAAAACACTTGTAAATCCATCCTTGCATTATTTAAAGCTACAGCCATATCATTATCAGCTGTAAGCCTGGAATCGTCCTCAAAAGGTATTCGAGCCATTGGCCAACCTAATTTAAAATATTTTAAAGAAACAGGAAAATTTAAAGAATATGTAGAGAGGTTTTAATGTTTTTAATTGATAGTGAATTAATTAAATTTAATATTTTTTGTATATTTTTATTCACAATGAAAGGATATTATTATCGCCTTAAAATATTTTTAAATATTTATTTGGCTACTCGGAAAAAAAACTCAAGATGTTTCAATTTGGTGTTAGGTCCATGAGTTTTAGTAAAAACATTTTTTATTTTAAACATACTAAATGTTGCATACGCAAAAGTTAAAGAAAACGAGTAAAGGTGAAGAATAAAGAAGAAATTAAATAATTTAATAAAGAATTTGTTGGAAGGCATAATAATGAAGGCATAAAATGAAGAATTTTGGAAAATAAAAATATTTAAGCATTTATTTAAAAAATAATTATTTGAAGTTTTAGACATTATTTAAATAATTAATTGAATATAATTTTGACAAAGCATTTTTAAAATAAATTTTTAAATTATTTAATTAACATAAGTGAGAGAATTAAATCTTAGATTACTGTAATATATTTATTTTATTTTTGAAGATTTAAAAAATAAAGAATAAGAATTAATTGATCCTTTTAATTTAATTATTTAATTATTTAAAGTTAATATATTCGATTATAAGGATTTTTCCTTCTTTGGATGTGAACAAATTTCATAAAAATTGTGTAGTGGATGCGCGGAGGATTGGCCAAAAGACTAGTATATATTTCTCTCCAAGCTGACCTGAAAGAGACAAGAATGGACTTTACTTACATGTGTAGAGCTGCAGCAACTTTTTTTTTAAAAAGTAAGGAAGAGAAGAGAACACACATTAGAAAAGTAAAACTTAACAAAAAGTACACAAAAAGGAGAAATTTTTTTAATGTAAGTCCTCAATAACTCAATCTTTGTTAGGTCAATCGGTCGAGCGCTGCGCACTAAAAGGTGGAAAAATAGAAAATAGTTTATATTTTTTAGAAGGAAGCATCTTTCCAATAAATTGTGGATATTATTAAATATTTTTTACCAAATTAAAATTTTGGCCTTTGAAAGTATTATTTGCCTGTATTGTGGCATTTTTCTCTCTTTCCATTATTCCTTTTCTTATTTCTCCTTTGACTAAGCTGGAGGCAAACTTGTATTTCAACGGTGAAGAAAGGCTGACCATTATGTAATAAATTGACGATTTTAATGAAGGAAAAAATGATGGAAACCAAGGAACCCTTGTTTTCATATAGGGTTAATTTTTATATTAAGAAGTGTTAAAATATGTACTAATTAAAAATAATTTGGCATGGAATTTTTTAAAATAAATTTTTAAAAAATTTTAATCAAAAAACAAAATTTTAATATTTAATTTCAAAAAATCTCAATAAAATTTTCAAATCCTTTAAATTTTAATTTTCGTTATTCTTATTTTAAAGATAAAATTTGCTTGTTCTTTAAATTCTGCATTGCAAAATGAAAATTTAAGATTCGGATCATGTTTGTTGGTGATTTGGTATTTTGTATATTTCACACCATTAAATTGTTTAATTTCAACATTTTCAGCTTCCTTGTTCACTTCAAAATTTAATTCAGAAATATATTCTAACATAATAACAGGCACTAATTTTGAACAGTCTTTGGATGTTATATGCTAAAATTTCAAAAATAATTTGAAATTATAATTAAATAATTGGAACTTATGCAGTTTGGATACACAACACATTCATATTCGCGAGATAACAATAAGCAATTCCTACTGCGTACTAAACAAAGCAACTTTCGATTCTTGCGAGACGCGTGCTGGATAACCTAGCACGTTGCGAGGAATTATGCACAAGCATTTTGCCACCACAATAGGGTTACTTTGACTATTTTAAGCTTGCAAATAAATTGGGGTGTGTACCCAAACTGCATAAGTTCCAAATAATTTACCTCAAAAATAAGTCCATAAAGCCGTGACATCTCAAAACATCTGTAACTTTTTAAACAAAATTGTGACCATTTATTGCCTTCTTTTGTTAAAATATTGAATAAAATATCCATTTGTTGCTCCAAAATGTTGTTCTCATTAAAATCAATAATAAGAGACTCAGAAATTGATAAATGATTCAAAACAAATTTCAAAGCATTATCCAATCCATAAGATAAACTGCCAACGTTTAGAGACGGTTTTTGAATAATAAATCGAAGAGGAATTGATTTGTCGTTATCAAATAACAAATTAATCATTTCTGGGTTAAATAGATTGTTGAAACCGGTATACTCGAAGAAACAATTAAATAGTCGTTCTAACCAGCATCGAACAATAGACATTTCTTTTATGTTTTTTGGAAAGTTTGGCAATTTTAAAATGTAATGCCGAAGTTTCTTTTTCTTTAAATCAAAATATATTTTGTCCAATTTAACAGCAAATGGATTTCTGTCTTCATAATCTTGTAAATACAAAGGAATTGATTTAGATATCGCTTGTTGCCACTAAAATATATAAAAATAATTTAACCAAATAAAAATTAAAAATAAACCTTTTCTTTAAGTTGATCATTCAAAACAAATTTAGAAATTACAGATTCAAGGGGAATAATTTCATAAATAGTTGATTGATTAATATTAGCATCGATACTCTGAAATAAATTAAATAAAAATACAACAAAAGTTTAAATATTTACTATGTTAAGTTTATTGAATTTCAAGCGAGCCAGTTCATTTTGATATCCATCAATAAAATTATTGAAATAACGATTTGTTTGTCTAACAGAGACTAATTGATCGAAATTAACACATTTTAATACATCAAGTTGAACTTCGGGTGGCAGAGAATTCATCTCCAAATTTATTTATCTAAAAACAAAAAATATATAAAAAATAAGTATTTATTTATAAATTCACTATTCATAAAGAAATCACAATTTTTGTGGAAAATGGGAGAAGACTATCTTGAGGGTTTTCGGTCTTAGGTGAGGTCTTGGTCTCTTTCTTCACGGAACGAATTTTTTAAAAAAATGAGTCAAATAAACAAATTTATCAAAAAATAAAAGTCATTGTCCTCATCTCACTTATTAAATTTGTGGCCCTAAAGAGGGCCGTTTGGGTTGAGGCTGTTGTTGACGAAATTCCAACATCGATTCTATTACATCCAGGAATGAAATTCTCCAAGGAATTCATAAATAAATTCAAAAATTATTATCTATGTGATTCTTAATTTATGGGATTTCTATTACCAGAATATCAGTTCTGGTTCATCTTTATACACTAATTAAGAAGAACAAACGATTAAAAAAGCTAGAATTAAAAAGAAATTAAAGACGTGGTGAGACTCAAATGTTTAAAAACCTAAAGGTTTAGGCTTCAAAAGGTTTAGACTAAAAGTAACCAGGTAACGAAAGAGTCTTAAAATATGGCATCAAAACGAAAGTTTTTGGGATATAACTTTTTTGTTTTTAAACCAATCCAAATAATTTTTTCTTTAATTAAAAGCTCTGGATGTGCTGGTTATTTTTTCATAGAAATTGTTTAGTTTTACCGTCTTTCAAAAAAGTTAGGAGCCGTTAACTGCGAATAATCGTGATTTAACATACTTAGGCGGGTGTAACTTTCTAAGAAATGATCGGATCCTTTCATAAAGTTAATAAAAAGAATAAAAACAAATATAGATTCTAATTGATAAAGAAAATTTCTGGAAATGATCGAAATAAAAAAAGTTATGGCATAGAAAAAGGCGTTTCGATGCTAAGTCGCCGAGACTCTATTGACAAGCAAGCCTAAAGGTTTAGGTTTGTGCTTAGACTGAAAATAAATGTAAAGACAAAAGAGTCTTGCTGACTTTTTGACATAATTCAATTGTTTTCATCTGTTTTCAATTAATTGTTTTCACACCATTTCATCATTTTACTAATTTCAAATAGTGATTTTTAAGCTTTTAATTTTGTTTTCTTTTTTTAGATTTAGATTCAAATGGATATTGATATTGAAGGATGTGTTGCTTTTTGGCAATCTTTAAAAAAAGATGTTGTTGTGGATACACCAAATATGTATCTATAATTATTTAATAAAAATAAATAATTTTAGGAAATGTTGTAATGATTGGGGAAGACATATTTTACGTACTTGGAAAAATGCTCCAAAATTAGATAAGGAAAATCAAGGAGCAGCAAAACGAGCAGAAATTGAAACTGAAATAATTGAGCCGCTCTTCCATTGTGCAATATTTACAAAAAAGCCTTATTCTCAAAGATTTCAATGGGTTAATATTTAAATTTATTTGTATATTTATTTAATTTTTAGATAATTGAAGCATTTCTTGAAGACGAAAATCCGAGTAAAAAGTTAAGGGCAATGTTTTTTCGGTGTACACTTCCCGTTGTTTGGAGAAATCTTGAGGTAATTTTTTCATTATTTTATGAAATATATCTTTAGGTGCCGAATAATCAAGTCCGAACTGCTGCTTCTTGGATTGTTCTCAATTTTTTTCCTTTGCTTTCTGATGATGAATTTGTATATTTTTCTTTTTTTTTGTTATCATTTTTTAATTTTTAATAGGTCAAAGAAGAATATTTAAAAAGGCAACAAGAGGCAATGGATCGAATGTTAATGGATGATTGTGTTCCTATTCGTGTTTTTGCTCTCAAAATGGTGCCTCGCCACCTGTGCGCTCATTGGGAAATTTTTCCTCGGGAATTAATTAAAGCTTATTTGTCCAAGGTTTCGATAAAAAATTTTCCTAAAATTCATCGTTCTTTTAAGATTGTTGACTGCCTCTCACTCGATGCTCTACCAGAGGTCCGTGCTGCTGTTTATGAAGGTATTGGGAATTTACTACCTCGTGCTGATGCTCTTACTGCCACACAGCGTTCTTTGGAAATTCTTGCTAAGCGTGGAACAAATGATAAAACAGAAAAAGTTAGATTGTCTGCTTTTCGAATGTTGAATAAACTTCATGGGCATCGTTATATTAAGGTTATTTTTAGATAATTTCTTTGTCAAAATTATATTTTCCTTCTATTTTTAGTTGTTGGATTTAATCCCAATGAATAATTTATTGCTTCGTCTCGATTTTGAACATTCAAAATCGGTGCAGCGTGAAATCGTTCAACTTCTTTTCCGCCCATTTATTCCAAAACATGTTGAGGGTATCGATTATATGGAACGGTTTAAACGTGTCTTTTTAATGTGCAAAACATCAAGAAATGCCTCTTTCCATCTACATCATTTAATCTACCCACAAAAATTGATTGGAATAGAAATGGCAGGTTTTGTGATAGGATTAAAGTTTAATTTTAAATTTAAATCCATTTTAGTTCATCATATTCGGAGTCTGTTGCTTGGAGTAAAAATCATTTTAAAGAAGAGTGCGGGTATTGAAAATGGGGGAAATGATACAACTGATGTTTTAAATATGTCTAATATATCTGGAATTTCTACAATGATGGAGGAGGTACAACAAAAGAATGGAGGCGGTGGAGATATTGGTAAAAATGAAATTTTTTGATTTTTGAGTCTTAAAAATTAAGATGAACAAACAAAATTACGAGTAACAAAAGATGTCTTGGATTCATCAATTGTTCTTTGGATGGCTATTCGTTATGATTTATTTAATGCAAAAAATGCAAAATATAATTTAGAAATGGTTCGAATGATGTCAAGTATTTTAGATACTCTCAATCAATTTCCAGTAATTTTTAAAATTAATTTTTTTTAATTTTCGTATTTTTTAGGATGATTCTGCAATAATGGATTCTGCTTTAGTTATTGCAAGTCAATTGCCTAAAGACAAAATTGGAAAAATGTTTTTTCGTATCAAGAACAAAATTGAAGAAGACAATGTAAATCAACAACATTTTCTTCATTATGTTGAGGCACTTGCAGCTTGGGATATGAACAAATTAATTTCAATTATAGAAATTGGTACATACATATATTTATTGAAAAAGTATATTTTTCCACAAATTTTCTAATCTTAAGGTCTACGAAAACTTCGAAATGCCCTTGTTGCAATTACTGATCCATCAGCACTTTCTGCTACTCCATTGAGCTCTCGTCGTCGATTAGAGACTAATCCATATAGAGAATCACCTCCTTCCAAACGAGTTAAAGTAAATGAAAACGTTGTCGGAGAATTCTTACGTCCATTAGAATTAATTCAAACTTTAATTTCAAGTCCTTTGGCAAGTGAAGAATTAAAAACAAATTTTACCGTTCATCTAGATGGATTTTTTGAGGTTTTTTTTTTCTAAATTTATAATAACTCTATTTTTTAGTGTCTCTCAGTTATTCATAAACAATTTGGCAAATTATTGCTTTTACCTGGTTGGGAACAAAAATTCGATCCTCGAGTATTATTTTCTGCTTATGAGACATTTAACATTTTGGCATTGATTACTAAAAGAATTGAGGTTTCTTTAATTTTTAGAATATATTTTGATTAAATCTGTTAGGAGCCGTCTCGTAGAGAGTCAATTAATGAGGCAGAGCTTAATTTGCCTACAAATGATAGATTATTGTATAATGAATTAAAATGGTTTGCCGATGTCATTAAAGAAACGAGACCAACATTTAATGTTATGAAAGTAAATTACATATTCTAAATTTTATAATTATGTTTAAATTTTAGATGTTTTTGAGATGTGTCGATTTACATTTAATTGCTGGCCAATTAACTTATTTAATTTTAAATGAAACTGCGAATATGTTTATTAAATTAAAAGAAATTTTGGAGGATATTTTTAATGCCGGTCCAGTAGAAATTGCTCTTAGAAAGAGTGTAGCAGTTCTGAAAGAAGCTTTACTGGTTTTTAATTTAAAATTTTAAATTATTTTTAAATTTAAATAGAATTGTGATGATCGTGAACAGGCCAATAAAATTATTCAGAATAAAATTGATCCACTTTTGGATTATTTGGAGGAAACGACTTTGGTAGAAGAAATTGATGAACCACAACAAAATGAGAGAGGTGACAGAAGTGATGATGAATAGAAAATGTTTAAATTTTTCTTTTAAAAAAATGCCTCAAATTTTTGAGAGATCTCTTAATACGAAAATTAATGTATTTTATTGAAGCGCTCTTATTTTATTTTTTTTTGTAAGAAGAAATAATTATTTTGATTTTTAATTTAAAAATTTATTAGATTATTATTCTTTTTTAAATATTTTTTGATTTTTTTATATTCAATTTTGTTTTTATTGACCTTTGTAGATTTAAAATGGTTGTTCTTAAACAAGTTTTCTTTAATTCTGTACGTTTTTACACTTCAACTCGTCAAAATCTTAAAATTGGCAAAAATACTAAAGTTTATTTTTTAAATCTAATTTCTGTTTTAAATGGTTTTTAGGTTTTAATTCAAGGATTTACTGGAAAACAAGGGACGTTCCATGGCCAGCAAATGATTGAGTATGGCACAAATGTGGTTGGTGGTGTTTCTCCTTCTAAAGCTGGGACTCAACATTTGGGAAAGCCTATATTTGCAACAGCAAAAGTATTTTTATTTTGTTGTCTATATTTATATTTTTTATATTTTAGGAAGCTAAAGATGCAACTGGTGCTGATGCTTCTGTGATTTATGTACCTGGTTAATCCTTTTTTATCTAATTTTTTATAAAAAAAATTCTTTAGCTCCATTTGCTGCTGCAGCAATAAATGAAGCAATTGATGCAAACATTGGTTTAGTTGTTTGTATAACTGAAGGAATACCTCAATTAGTATAGATTATGTAAATTTAATATACAAATTTATTCTTTTAAGGACATGGTAAGAGTTAAAAGTCGTTTATTGGCTCAAAACACAACTCGCCTTTTGGGCCCAAACTGTCCTGGAATTATTGCACCAGAAGAATGCAAAATTGGTATTATGCCTGGACATATTCACAAAAAAGGTGTCATTGGAATTGTTTCTCGTTCTGGCACTTTAACATATGAGGTTTTTTTAGAGAATTATTTTTTTTTAATATATACTTTAAAGGCTGTCCATCAAACAACGGAAGTTGGTCTTGGCCAATCCCTTTGTGTTGGAATTGGTGGAGATCCTTTCAATGGGACAAACTTTATTGATTGTTTAGATGTAATTTTTTAAAATTTATTATTTCCTAAAGACTTTTTTAAAAGGTTTTTTTGAATGATCAAAATACGAGAGGAATAATAATGATTGGAGAAATTGGTGGTGATGCTGAGGAAAGTGCTGCTAAATTTTTGTTAGAAAATAATACTGGACCTAATGCAAAGCCTGTTGTTTCATTTATTGCTGGGGTAACTGCTCCAAAAGGTTTATTTAATTAAAAAAATTCTTTTCAAAAATTATTTTTAAGGTCGCAGAATGGGGCATGCTGGTGCTATAATTGCTGGAGGTAAAGGAGGGGCTCGTGAAAAGATTGAGGCATTACGCGGTGCTGGTGTTCATGTTGTAGACTCTCCTGCAATGATGGTTTTTAATTGATTTAAATAATTTTAAAAATATTTTTGTAGGGATCTGAAATGGCTGGGCTTATGATTAAAATTGCAAGTAAGCATTGATTAAAAATACATATTTCTTTCTCTAATATCTCGTCTCCTTTTATTATCTTAAATTTTCTCTTGTCTGTATAGATTGTATTTAAATTTCTTTCCTGAAATAAAAATATATTTTTTATTTTAGCCGGTGGTTCTGCAAGAGCTCGGCAATCCATTTAAAAATATGACAAAACAATTGACAATAAAAAAGAGAATATGTGAATTTAAATTTTTATTAGGAATTTATTTGTCTTTACTAAATTTGACGTAAATTTTTCGCTACAAAATTTGTTTTAATTAATTAAAAGGAAGATTGAAGAATTTAAAAAGTCTGGGCCTAAACTAATTTTACAATATTTTTTTGGCTTGTAGTTTAAGTAACAAACTCCTGGGCCCAGGCTGAAATAGTATAGAATGCTTTAATTTGAAATTTTAAAAGTATGTATAATATATTTATATATTTTTAGTAAATATTTAAAGTAAATTTCAAAAATTATTAAAAAACCAGAAAAGTGATATTTTAATATATTTGTCAAAAGATTTAAAATTTGATGCAAAATATTATTAGTTAAAGAAGGAACTTTTTTTAACTACTTTTGGATATTTAATTGTTGACATTTTTTAATTAGAATTATTGTTTGGTTTGTAATTCTTCACAAAATTGTTAAACAAAAAATATTTTTAAAGAAATTTCTCAAATTTTTATTATGAATATTAGACAGGAACAATTTCTTTATAAAAATCTCTATTTATTTATATAAATCTTTTTCTCTTTCTCCTCTTCCTTAATTCGTTGTTTTTAATTAATTTAAATTTTATTTCCACCATTTTCTTCTCCTTTTGTTGCTGCTTCCATTAAATAACGTTGATAAAAAGGTGAAAAAGGTTGCTTTTTAGTTCTTGTAGCTGTTGGTTCAAAAAGTTGTTTGTATATTCGGCTTAATTGACTTCCATCTGGATTTTGACTTGCAAAAGGGACACGGACAACCATTCGCCTTTTTTGTGGTTTTAATGGAAGAATTGAAGGAGGAATATTGTTGTTGTTATTTATACTTCTTTTTAAAAATTCTAAATTATTAGAATATTTAAGTTGAAATTGTGGTGGAATTTCATTAAGTTCATTTTCAAATAAATTTAATTCGAATGGAAATGATGTTCTGAAAAAATAAAATAATAAAATTTCCTTTTTCCTCTTTTAATTTACCTAATTTCATTAGCATTTCCATTTCCAATTAAAATAATTATTGCAATAATTAAACAAAAATTTAAAATTAATTTTGATTTTAAAAATCCAAAAGAAAAATTCATTCTTTTATTTTTTTGTTGTTTAAATTCTTTGCGCATTTTCCCATTTAAAATTGTTTTGTTGTTAGAAGAAGAAGAGGAATTCCCCCCTATTTTTGTTTCTTTTGCCATTCTTTTTCTCGGATTTCCGTTGAAGTGAGGAGAACTTTTTGGTGTGAAATGACGAAAATAATATTTTAAAAAGTACTAAATTAGTAGTTTTAAAGTGGCCGACAACACGCACTTTTACTTTTTTTTCTTTTCTTTTGGTCACTAAAAAAGTATGAAAAAGTTGATGACTTTATAAGTGTTAAAAAGTTAAAAATAGGAGACTAAAAAAGGAGGGGAAAAAATAAAAAAAAGATTTTTAATTTTTAACACAAAAAAGGACAAAAAAGGGAAGTTTTTGTGGGGTTTTATAAGAATGTCTGAATAAATAAAAATGAAAAGATTCTTAATTGGGAATGACTTGGAAGAAAAGAAAAGTTTAGATTATTTTGTTAAAAAAATTTAAATTTATTTTACATAAATTGAAGGGAAAAGGGGGGAGTTTTTAAGAATTTATTTAGATGACAACAATTTTTGAACAAATCTTGGAAAATCATTCAAAAAATAATTTTTTTAATTTGAATGATTTTTAGTCTTTTAAAAAAGTTTGGAGAAATGTCTAGAATTAATTTTTAATTTAAATAAATTAATTAAAAATAAAAAAAGAATAATTAATAAAAAAGGAAGTGAATTTATAAAAATAGTACAAAATTGGAGTTTAAAATTCTAAGAAATATACTTAAATTTATTTTTTAAAATTCTGTTGAGGAAAAGGAATTTTTAAAATAAACTATAGGTGTTAATATTTAATTTAAAAAAATATTTTAAATTTTTGTTTTATTTAAATTAAATAATTTCCGGCTCACTTTTCCTTCCCCTTCTTAAAAAAGGAGTGACTAACAAAATAAATTTAAATAATCACATTTCTTTTTTACAAAAAAAAGGTTAAAAATATATTTAATTAATTTGCGTGTTGAAATTTTTTGTTAAAGAAAAATAAAAAAATAAATTACCTAACTGCCTGCATTGTCTATAAATATATTTAGATTAATTTTTGTATTTATTAACCTTTAAATAATTACTCTAAATATACAAATTAGCATCATGCTATATTTTAAATTTGGAATAAATAGTAAAAGTTTAAATTAAAAAAAACTTTTTTTAATTCAGTTTTTTTATATTTCAATTATATGATTAAAAAAATAAAAATGGAAAGAAAAAGTTTACAAAAATAAAAATAATTTTATTTAATTGCTTCTATAAAAAATTATTTCAAAAAAAAACTTTCCTGAAAAAATTCTTTATAAAAAATTGAAAAGAAAAAATAAACAAAAAAAATACGTCAAATATAAATTATTTTTAAATATTTAAATTCATGACGAATTGGAGGTTACAAAAAATTAATTAAATAAAATGAATTATTGTTAGTTAGTACTTTTATTTTAATAAATTAATAATGACGACGTTTAAATTAATTATTAAAAATAAATACACAAATTTAATAATCTAGTTTATACTGTGAGTGACCAATAGTTGGGAATTGTTAAATAGAAAGATTATTCTATAAAGAAGCAAAATTTTTCAATAAAAATACATCCTTTACAGAATTTTGTAATTTTAAGAATTAGATCGTGTAGGGCTAAAACACGGAACAAAGAAACATGATCCAGAAATAAAATAGCATTTTCAATTTCATTTGGAAAAATTTTTATATTAGAAAATGATTATTGAAAAAGTGCTACATTTTTAAAATCTGAATTTTTAAAAATCGTACAAGAATTATTTTCTTTAGACCGTATTTTGGTATTGTCGTGATTTGGTAAGACCGTGTTTTGTCGTGAAGTCCTTGTTTTGCCCCTCACCCGTACATAGTATTACTTATAAAAAATAAAATTTATTAAAATAATTTTAAAAATAATGAAAAATATTTTTTAAATTAAAACACAATAATTATTAAATATTAATATTTATTTAAATTAAAAAAATATTTTTTGACACTTTCAAATAAAAATTCTCGTTTTTTTTAAAAATACTTTTTAGCTTTTCCTTTCCTTCCAACATTTCACCACCCTCTTTGTGTGTTTTTTGTTGCCGTCATAATAAGAAGGGGCAAGGGAAAGGGGGGGGGGGAAGGGGGAAGGGATATTACTTTACATTTAAATAAACTAACAAAAAAATTTTTTATTTAGTTTCCTTTAAATTTGCACTAAAACCCTTTAAAAAATTTTTTGGTTCATTTGCCTTTCTTTTTAAAAAAATAAATAAAAAGGAAAATGATTCTTGCTTTTAAAATATTTTTTAGTTTATATTTTACGTCATTAATGGATTTATGAAAATAAATAAAAGAGAAGGGGGGGGAATAAAAAATTAATTTAATTATTTTTATTTTAAATTAATAATCAAAACTAATTTTTAGTATATTAAAAAATAAATAATTAATTTAAAAAAGAAATTTTTTTAAATATACCTATGTATTATTCATTATTTTAAATTAATTTAATATTTTCCAATAAATCAGATAAATTCTAATTAAAAAAATTTTTTATTGAGATTTAAAAAATGATGAAAAAAGGATAATCTAGTACTAACAAATAATTTAATATATTATAAATAATAATTTAAAATAATATTCTACTCAAATTTAACCAACAAAAAATATTTTTTAAAAATCATAAATATTTTATATAATTTAATTTAATTAAAAAATAAATAAAAATGCTAATACTTAACGGATTTCCGTTTCCAAATAATTTACTAAAATTTTGTTTATTAAATATATTAATTTTATGTTTTAATTTAATTGTTATATGTCAAGAAAATGGAAATAAAACATTAAATAATTGTAAGTTTAAATATTTTAAATTGCAGGGTGGCCCTTTTCAAATCACCAAAAGGCCTCTCAAAAAGAGGGAAAAAGGGGACGAAAAAGTCAAAAAGGGGAAAATGCCCCCTAAAATGGTAAAAGGGTCACACTGGCCCAGCCCCAACCAATCCCGAACTATTTTTGATTAAAACACTCAAATAAATTTAATTCAAAATATTTATTATTTTTAAAGACAAAAACAACAAAACTATCAATTTAAATAAAAATCAACAAGATATTTCCACAGAAATACAAAAATTATTAAATAACCAGACAATAAAAGAAGACAACAACAATAACAATATTACTTTAAAACCTTTAAATTTAATTGATGAAAATTTAATTAAATTTGAATTATTAGATATACTTTATGGACGTTCAAAAAATAAAAATATTACGGCGAATGATTTTTCTGAAATTAAAAATGGAACTAAGGAGTTGAAAATAAAGAAAAAAATATTTTGGTAAAAAATAATTAAAATATTATTTTAAACATTTAATTTTTTAATAAAAGATTTTCTGATTTTTTAAAGATTATTCTTTAATTTTCTCAAATTTATAGAAAAACAAAAAGAAACAAATAATTATTTTAAAAAATTCTAATGAAAAGAAAATAATGAAAAAAAAATTAAATATTTTAAATAAAGTAAACTTTTAAAAATTAAAAAAATGTATATTAAATTTTAAAAAATTCAAAATTAATTTTTGGCAACAAAAATGTATGGAAATAATGTGATGAGAATAAACTCATTAAAAATTTAAAAATAGATTGATGGATATAAAAATAAATATTAAAGTAACTAAAAAAAGAAAGAGGAATAAACTAAAAATTAAAAATATGTAAATTAAAAAAAGTTTAGAATTTTTTTCTCAAAAAACTTTTTTGAAAGTAACTATACATAATACATATGTATAAGAAGAGTTTTAAAAATTAAAAAAAAACATATATACTAGGTAACTACAAAATTTAATTTTAATTGCTTCTAAATATTTCAAAGGACTAAAGATAGTTTTTAAGATTAAAAAATTTTTCTTGTGTTTCTTTAAAAAACGAAAGTAAATACCTAAAATGTAATTAAATTTATTCAAAAATGTACTAAATTGTAATTAAAGAATTTTAATTAAAAAATAATTTATTCAACAAAAATGTATTAATTTATTTATTGCATGCTAATGGATATGAATTTTGATATTGGGTTGCTAGAAAACCGGGCGGGATCGAAATTGCCAAAAATTTTTATGGAACTATCACTGATTATATTTAAGAAAGATATAAAATTAATGTACAGAATTAATTGAAAAGGTTGTTTATTTTAATTCAGTAATAGATTTTTCTAGTTATTTTTTGATCTAAATTTAAACAACAATACAAAAATTAAACAATTAAAAAATTAAATGGCAAAATTTGAAAACATATTTTTCTGATAGGATATCAAGACTCGTTACGTTCAGAAAAATAATCTGCACTGAAATTTAGCAATTTTGTTTGGCCTGTTTTTCGTCTCTTTGTTCTATTTAAAACTAATTCAGTAGAAAAACTTGAAGAATTTAACAAGCTCTAAAAGTATAAAATTTAAAAAATTAACATTTTTGCGTCAAATTTTGGAAATCTTTTTCTCGCATGACGCTTAGATAAACATCTCTTGAGACAGATGCTCGACTAAAAGACGCTGGAGACATAAAAATAAACAAAGCGTCTTCAACATCTTTGCTACGACACCGATTTTAAGTAAAAACATAGCAACGTATCGTCGCCGAGCATCTGTCGTAAGAAGCTCGCAATTTTTGGTAGCGTTGCATTGAAGGGATAAAATTCAGCCGTAATCCACGTAAAACTAAAACCACCAAATTAAAACCGAAAATTTACCTTATTTAAATTTATTTGACTACAAGTACCACCACTATTTTCATCATTTTCTTTTTCAACTTGAAATTGGTCATAAATTTCTAAAATATTTTCGTTTAACATAAAATGTCGTTCATTTCTTTTTCTAGAAGAAATGTTGTCTTTTGGAGAAGAATAATTTTGATTTTTACAAATTATTGAAGTTTCAAAATTATTTTTCACATTTTTTGAAGAACGCCCCAAAAACCCTCTTTCAGTAAAAAATCTTTCAATACAAGGCAATATTGTATTTGGCTCGGAATGAATTTTTATTGAATCACGCATCCATGAGGGGAACATATTACGATCCATTGTCGCATATCTTTATTTAAAAAGAAAAAAATATATTTTGACCATCTATTAATTGCCCAAACCTGCAATCTGCCAAAATGACAGCACCAAAATCCT